TTCCAGCCTCCATAAAAGAAGAGGCTAGCTCTGGTCAGACCCTTCCTTGGCTGAAAATGATTGAGGTCTCCTCTTGGTAAGCGATTCGAAAGTGGAGAGTTGGGAGCAACTGAGTCGACGACAACCTCTCAACAACGAATCATTCACATGCATACATGCACAGTTAACAATCCAGTTTCTTCTTGCGCCCCATGCATCAGCTTTCTTATTCTTTGAACTCCGCCATATTTTGAGGCCTGCTGCCACATTCTGTAGGCAAATTGTTCTTTATTTTTTTTTCTTTTTTGGGCCCTTCACGCCCAAGATTTCCAACGGCAAAAAGAAATAGGGTGCTGAATTGGGCAGCAGTCCTCTGAGCTTTCAAAGTCTGAAAGTGACAGTAGTTGTTTGTTGGTAACCTCGCAACTGGTCACAGTGGAGGCTGATTGGGCTTTCCTACCTGCTAACCAACTCAGTGGCGGTTGAAGTCTTCAAGACACCAATTTGCCAAATAGCAACATCTCCGACAGTTGTCTTTCACCCGCATTGCCGGCACGTGAACGCTGAGCTGCAACACCTGAATAATCCTGCTTTCCCTTGGACTCTAATGGTTCGTGGCTTTTGTTACACCAACGGCGCACTGTCTACTGTCATCCCGTGCCGTCACACTGCAGGAACAATGGGTATTGGTTCCCGTGTCGTTCCTCCACGCCAAGTCGAAGCAAACGGCGCCAAAAGGCCAAGTCAATCCAATCGGATACGTCCCTCCTGGAATATATATATATGTGACCATTGTTAAATCGGTCTAAAGATAGCTTGGTGACTAGGCGTCATGCAAGAACGACTCGCAAGTCATCGACATAGTATCTGAGTGCAGATCGAGTCTAACGGGCCGACATGTCGGCGCAGTTACAAGTACACTGAATCGTGATGCCACGTTGTTTGGCAACGAAAAATGGTTACATGAGGCTATTTGACTCAACCGGCATGGGAATTCCGTGTTTGGCAAATCAAGGTCAGCCTCATATCTGCCTTGGCAACCAGACCCTGGTGCCAAACTATTGACTTGTGTAATACATGTGTCAATTTGCTGTATGTACCCTGAATATCATAGCCAGTGGCCAAAGTCATGAGGTCTTGCAGTCAGCCAGGATTGAAAGTCATGGCGCTCAGTTTTTGTCAATTTAGCGATTGTAAGCTAGCGTGTGCCGAGCTACTGCCAGCGTCAAGATCAAATTCGGGCCACTATATGATTGACATGATTCATCATCGTCAAGATCTCGCGTAGCATATGTTCCTTTCTGTTTAGGCTGGTGTGGTAACAAGGTCGGCCTTCGACGCCAAGGCAAAAAAGCCCTGGCATAATCTCAATTTACTTTACAGCCTGTATACTACGAAACTGTTGGCTCTACATACTTTCCAGATGCCTTTCACTCCACGTCCCCATATGCCGTCATTACCCTGCCAGACGAGATGTTAGTCATTGCACATCATGACAGAACCATTTCGTCATCTCCACACAAAGCACCCAAGCCTTGGAAAGAGCAAAGAGGTCCAGAACCATTCCCTTGAACTCGAAACACGTTTCTCAAGATAAGCACTACGGCGCAATGACATGTTGTACCTCAAGCGGATATGCCCGCGTAACGGCCCGCGGTGGGTTTTTTCCAAGAAAGAAGAAAGGACGGGACAAAAAGACAATCCTTGGATGAAAAGAGGGAAAAAAGAAACGAAACAAGCCAACCAACCAACCAACCGTTGCCGCTTCACCAAAAGGGAATAATAACGAAGAACAAAAAAGAAAGACAAACTTCCCACGCAATTGTGCATATGAAAAATTTTACTCAGGCACCGCGTTTCGTTCCATGTTTCCGATATATCTCGTCCGTCACCCCTCAACTGCCGAAGTAAGGTGATATTGTGAGCTGGCCCGAATGCAATGCTTCACTCCCTGCGTCTTGCTTTCCACTTCCCCTGCACGCGAGCGAGGGTAAGGGATGGCACTCTTTTTTTTTTTTTTTTTCCCAGACTGAATGGAAAATGAACAGGTTACTACTGCGTGCTTAGGCGCAAGACAGGAAGACGCGAGAGGGTAGCAGTTGCGCCCCTTACCCATCAACCCAGCGTCGCAATGTGGACCGGAGTTACGGGAGTTATGGGCGTAACCACTGAAGCAATCTTAATTGGCCTAGGCGATGCAACTTCCCCGGCCCATCTCCCCCACGAATCTATATTCTTCTAGTCCGCCTCGTTTTGATGGCCCCATGGACGGCCTGGTATCTTCCGATGCGGCATTTGCAAACACATCCATGCAATATCACCACCCACCTCCCCCTATCCTTTTTCACGACCTGATCATCGACGACCAAGCTTCATAGCGAGTGCGGCCAAGATATCCTGCATACCGTCAGGCAACATTTACCAAGCCACGTAGATCACGCAATGATGTGCAAGTTCCCCATCCTTGGGCCGAAATTCTCCGGTAGAGCGAGGTTCCCTGGCTCTGGGTTCGTCGTTCCTTGACTAATATATGTAACCGCGTGAAGCGTTGGTCTAGACAGGGAAGTAGAGGACGGGATATATAAGACATTAGGCAAGGAAAAAGAAAAGAAAAGAGAAAAAAAAAAACAGACGGAAATACCTCCAACGGCACCGCCTATTGAGACCTCTTTGTTTTGTCATGAAACGAACCATTGCCGGCCTTTGCGCGCGAAAGTGAAGAGAAACAGAGAGACATCGGCGCCAACCCATGTCCATTCTGTCTCGGGAAAGAGACAACAGTGGCTGCTTGACGGTGTGACTGGCGAATTCTTGTCTCGAGATCAGGCGGGCTTTTTTCACGCCTGGCTGAGACTCGTGGCTTCGGTGTGGGCTACAGCGAGGTAAGGAGGGTATGGTAGGTTTGACGGCTTTGACAGGTGAACGCGTGGGTTGCCACATGAAGAGAGATTTTGAGATGAACACCCTCCTCGGAGCGGCGAAGTCCGATATTAGCGACTGCTCCGTGTAGGGTCGCCTCCGTGCCATGCCACCCCGCTCTTCCGACGTCCTGTAGAATGTGCGGGGGTGATAGGAACAAGGTGCCCGGCCGGTGCCTTTGTGAACTCCTCGACCGTGTAAGCCATGTTCTTCAGATGTTCATTTAGTCTGTATGAGGGAGATTGCTTCAGGTAGAATGTGGAGGGCGTCCGATGCTACTTGGCATCCTTCGGTGTCACTAACCAAACGCCCGTCCACCGGACTTGCGCTCCTTTCGACCTGAAGCTGCAGTTTTACGTCGTACAGCTACGAGACCGTCGTCGGTGATGATGTGTGTGGCATACTTGCACCTCAGCTGACCGAGCCCGAATGTCTTGGGAGGAAGAGGCGGATTACGTCCGTAACGAAGACAGACAGGCGTCTGCATTCTTATACGTCAAACTTCGCGCGTAAGTACCTCAGCCGCGGACTCACTTATTCTTTTGGTTCCCGTTAGGCAGGAATTTCCCCAGCCCGAACTGCTTGCGCCTGGCTCTCTTCTTCCCCCCCTGTGCAGATCTTTAGGGCTGGGGTTGGGTTGACGGATTTCCTTGAGGAAGTGGCCCAACTGAGACATGATGCCATCTTGATAGACCCTGCGTATGGCGCATGCGGCTTATACGGGGTGGTGGTGTGGGGGGAAAGATCCGTGAGAGGCTCGCGTTAGGTTCTCAAACGGGAGTACTAAGATGGTCTTTGGTGGTGGATGGAGGCTGATGGCTTCTTGTGCGTGAGATTTGTGAATTGGGATGTTGCGAGATTGTGATGAGGTAGTGGGGGTTCGTGTGATCATGCAGAGTCTGGGAAGCTGTCTCCAGGAAGAAGAAAGCACGGGAATGAGTGGCAATTAGCCCACGTTGGTTGTGGTAAGACTCGAACGATACGGTGGGTGGTCTACTCCCTGGTGATCTTTTCGGGTATGCTTAGCATGTTCAAATGGTTGTTCTTGGCAATTATTACTGTCTTGTATTACTGGTCTCTCGGTACTCTCTTTTCCGGTTTCGTGGACCGGAGTAACTGCAATTGTTCTGTCAGCGTTAAACATTTTCCTGGCTTTGGTCATGGAACTTGCCACTTTGTGTACCATGTATACGGTATTACAGCAGTAATACAATGATCACGCTGTTGTTGAGGAAAGATACTCACAATCAGCTACTCTGACACCCAGTAATAAGATGTCGTTTACACCAAGTGGACGTCGTTGTTAAGTATACGCGATAGAAAAATGGACAAAGAATGGTAGAGATGGCCAAAGCAGAACAGTTGAGGTAGAGGCGGTCAAGCCTGGCGAGCCCGGTGACTTACTTCTGAACTTCTCAAAGGTTGCCTCATCCGAGTTCCGAGTTGCTTGCTCGCGATTATGTGCTCGTCTTTTCGCTGATGTTGACGCGTGATTTGCCTCGTCACAGTAAGATGCCACTCCGGATCTATGGAGCTGCCTTGCCACGCAGAATAACACACATTCCGCTACTGCGAGTCATCATGAAAGGTTTGCATATCTATGGTTTTAATGTTTTAATCCATCGTAGTGTTCACTGGAGTCTCCTTGTCTCATGATTGCCACCTCTTTGCCCAGCCGTCCACATTGAAACACATTCCATCCATAGCGAATCTAATATCTACAGACTTGTAAACAAACAGAAAAAGAGACGGTGGTTTGTTAGGAGAAGTTTCCGCTCTCATACGCATATTAAGTGCTGGACGGCCAAAGCACCAGACTTTGTGGCACGGCGGAAAGGCGGTTACTCGAATACACCTCCCTTTATTCCTTTTCTACGTTTTACTTCGTGACAAACTTGGTCACCCCTGTTTTTTGTAGAAATAAGTTAATATACGATCTATGCTGGCAAGCAGCTTTCTACAGGTCCATCCTCAAGGAACCATAACTTTCGGACAATGGGAGGGTTGATGGCATGACTATCGTTGTCACCAGTACTTCCTTCTCTTCTATCCTCAGCCTACCGTCGCTACAAGTTGCGCACAAATGTCGTAGGTTAGCCATCTCAAGCTCCCAATCTCTTCGCAACCTCCTCAAACCCACCCTCGCCCTCCTTAACCCAAACATCAACCCACCCCTTCGCATCCTCATACTTCTGGCCCCCAACCTCCCAGTCCTCCTCCAGCGGCCTCTCGACATAAATAGTCCTCAACCCCCGCCCCCTCGCCGCGGCGAGATCGCCCAGGTGCGCCGCGACCATGGCAACCTCACCCTTTTCCGCACCATCCCCCAACAACGCCGCGACAGCACCGTCATAAACCACAGGATCAGGCTTGTACACCTTCCAATCCTCAGCAGACATGATTTTCATGAATCCAAGGTTCCCGAAAGAGTCGAGGTCCCGCACCAGAGCGCGGTTTCCATTCGACAAAGTCGCCGTCACAAACTTGGCTCCCAGCCGGCGTAGGCCGGACGCAGAATCAGGCCAGGGGCGCAGCCGGTGCCACACGAGGCTCAGATCGTGGACCTCATCCGCCGAGTAGACGTTCTCGAGCGAATGCGCGTCGAGAAGGGAGACGAGGCTTTCGTGGTGGTGCGCGTCAATGTCCTTCCACTCCGTCTCCCCTGCGACGTAGCCAAGAGTGAAGGCCTTGTAGGAGTTCCGCCATTCCTGCGCGAACTCTGCCCAGTCTGTTGAGGTAAGCTTCTCCTTGTCGTCTGGGCTGAGTTTGCCTGAAGCGAGTTTGGCTGCGGCACGGGACCTGAGCTCGTCCGTTACGGAGGAGCGCCAGTCTACCACCGTCCCGAATACGTCAAAGGTTAGGGTTTTGAGGTTGCTTAGATCGCCGGACATGGCTGGCTATATTGTGAAACGTAGGTTGCCAGTAACGCGGCCCTTAGTATCTTTTTTTTTTCTTTCTTTTTCTTTTTACGAGAAAAGTAAGCGAGAAGGCCGCCGGACCGTTTGGGACGCAATTTGTGTGTATATTTTGGAGAGCCGAGGCCGAGCGATGATGGTGTTATGCGGGGTCGGGTGTCGTTCTGCTTACTTATCCGAATACCTCCTCCGGATCCGGGCGAGGACTGCCGGGATGCCGGGCGCCCGGACGGTTGTGTAACGTCACTGCAACTACAATTTTCAATCGGTTTTCATCCTTCTAGAGGAATTGACTTTGGATGTTATTGAAAACCTTGTATTCCTTGAATGATCATGGAAACCCGTAGTGCTGTGTTGCGATGGAAAAGTGTAGTTGAACCAGCAGTGGGTGAGAGGAGGGGGGAAACACGTCGATACTAAACCTCTTCAAAAACAGATGATCTCTATTTCGACGGTAGGTTGAATACTTTATCTCCGGATAATATCATGCATTCTTGGTTGTCCTCGAGATACTTGCTGATTTAGTCACGGCCAGAAGAGTCGTTGCCGGCTTCTCAAGCTGACGTGCGTCACCTCGATGGTTTGTAACATGCACAAATATTTGCCCGAGTCTCGGAGATTCCTTTGGAGGAATCATTATATGTATTAAAACAGGAACATATTGAGAAAGGAATGAACAACGAGAAGACAGTAAACTACTCCTACTGCGAAACCCCGGAAAAACGACCGAGTTCAAAGAGGCGTATCCAAACTCAGAAAACATCAAAACAACCTTACCATCATTTCCATAAACACAATCGACAGCACGCGGTAGATTCAGACGGTGAAACCAATGGAAAATCGCACCCGCACATGCTCCAACAATGTCATTGCTGCGTCCAACCCCCATCTCCCGATGACGCAACGGCGCCACCTGCAAACTGTAGTGTGAGTTTTATTCTATGTAAATTCAGCTTCGTGTTCGCATACTTGAAGCAAGTCTATCGTCTCGACCCAGTCACTGCAGCTCTGTTTCGCCGAATTTCATATCAACCAACATAGCTCTCATCAGCACATCATGTCGGACGTCCCGTCAGTAGCCTTGCTCCCCATCCCCAATAAGCAGGTGAGAGCTCGACTTGCAGTCCTCCTATCACACAGTGTTACCTAGACATATTCCTCCATGACATGGCAAAAGATCGATACCAAGGCTGACAAGCAAAAATAACGAGGCGCAGCGAGGCCTGCGAAGCCGTCAATCTCCCAGTAATTGCTCCCCGGGCATCCCGGAACGCAGCAGCGGAGGCGATCTTCTCGCCAACGAGATTACACAATGGTTCGGACTTAACACGTCCCAACGCTCCGAGACGTACAAACAGCAGGGTTATCTGAACACCATGAGGGCAGTCAAGGTCTACGGTCAGCAGGAGAGAAGGGGAGGGGGAAAAGATGGCTTGGGTTACGCCACCTGCTCACCGAAACCCAATTTCTGGCTCATTGCCAACGGCCAGGTCTACGCACCGCCTCAATCATGACGGGGGTAATGGGGCCAGGGGAACGGGACTGGGGCTGTTTATGTCCCCCAGAAACGAAATTTGGGGAAACCGAAATTTCGGCATGGTTTGTTCGTGAAGCCTGTTTCACCCGGATATGATGGGTTCTTTGCGGAAATCCAGGATAGCAGGCTGGCCGAACCGTCATACCGGCTTTAGATTTCAGGGTGTCGTTCTTTCTAGTAACCTGCTCTACGGTCTTTGCTCCCAGACTGCTGTCGGTGTACAGCCGCCTCATCTCGCTTTTGCCAAGGCTTTAGACCCAGAGGCATTTCCGAGCTTCGTAAGTGTGCCAATGCCTGTATCCATTAAAGTTTCCGGCATGAGAAACAGGCTCACCGACTGTCTCGGCCACATCATCACTGATAATCTACAACTGATGTTATCATATGTTATCAATGGAGCAACTGACTTCTCTCCCCTGCTCTTGGGCGTCATCCGCTGCAAAAAGCCGGCTTGGCTACCGTGTGTCTCGTTCACATCGAGGTCAGTAACAGGTTTTGGTAGGCCCGGCCCGAACGAGCGAGACCTCGACAACGGCAAACGAGCCGGACGGCATGGTTTCAGCCGCCAGACGAGCATAGGTCAAGTAAATGTGTGATGGGTAATGAGGGCTGAAACACCTCCAACCTATCCAGCGAGTTCGGCTGCGGCGTAACAACCCGTCTCGAGGTCGACAACGTCATCTTTAAGCCCGCGCGCAGCTTTGAACAAGTTCAGTCAACTGGAAGCTTTGCGAGCCACCCGTGTATGAATGATCCGCAAGCGTCTCCTCACCTCGATTCTTGCGTCTTTACTAGAATCTGGGACCTAGTCGTTACAAAGCATTGTCGCAGTGCAGCCTGCCGAGATTCACCGGTGAGGTGAATATGTCTATTGTGCACTGATGGTGTTCGCGCGGCTGGCCCGATCAATCCGAGATCTTGGCATCTTTAGATGGATGGCAACCCTCCCGCACACGCACATGACATCTGAGTGCCCCAGCTCTCCGGATTCCCGGACCTGGAAACTGCTTCAACGGCTGGACGAGTCAGGAGGGAGTTTCAAAGGCTCGTACCTCCAAGGAACGAGACCTATGTGGTATGGACCCTCCGAAGCAATCATGTTTGCAAATAAACACCCCGGTCAAAGGAGGACAAGTTTGTGAAATGAATGGGGCGTCTCGGCTGACCCAGAGATGAGGCTGCTTTGGGAAGCGATGGGAAATGAAAAACCCCATCTTTTGCACACAACTTCGGACCAGGCTCGTATGACGCCGTTCACGATGTGGTACTACTCTGGACAATGATGGGGCTGTGACGATAAATTTCCGGGCCGTGCGACATCCTCACTTTTTCTTATCGCTTTGTCATGGATCGAGCTTTGGGTGTTCAATTCAAGCGCCATGCTCATTTTTGGGGAGTTTTGGAGAAAACGATGCAGTGAATTGGCGAGCTTCGCACGTTTAACGAGATCTGCCCAGATCTGTGAGCAGTAAGATCCAACCGATGTAGTGTACGAAGTGAGACGTCCCACCGAATGTGGCCTTGGGTGTCGTTCGATTTATCCGGGCCCGTTTCTGAACAATTGCAGTTAGCGCAGCAAACTATTACCCTTTTGCTGGAGTACAGAAACGCATGACATTCGTTTGCGGAAGATAAATATCTCTGCAGGCGCAGTGTGATGCCACTCTCAAGTAGTCATGCATATGCGCCTAGGGCTTGCCGTCACAAGCGAACGTGATGAAGCTGCAACTGCTCCGCTTCTGCTGAAAGGGTACTAGATCAAGCCCGATGGAAAAAAGTTTCAATTGCGTCGTTTACCATCTAATCTCCTGCGGGCTGAATGAGGCTGGTCAATTTGTTAGAGTGAGATTCGGCTCATTTCTCAAGTGAGCTTGCGTAGATATCAGGGATGCGGGGGGCGCCTGGGCGTTACGGAGAGATGAAGTGGTAGGTGCTAAGAAACGCGGGCCGAACAGTAGCATCAGTAATTAGTTTTGACGGGTCGTGGTTCCAGTTGACTAGACGGCCACCGACCAACTCAATTTGGCTGCGGGCAACATGGCGTCTTGGCGTATGTCTTGCAACGTTAGGAGCTTATCGCCAAAAATAAAAATGTTATGTTTGGTGGTTTTCGTCCCATCGAACAACACGCCGTGTTCCGGTGGAGAGTTCGATTCGACTAACAAGGTGGTGTCGCGGATCATGCACGTTGGTTCACAATGGCGGAGGATTCATCTGGGTTGGTGCAGAGTAGGCAGGATGCGATGAAGACACCAGGCTTGGGAAACTTGTAATAGACTGAAGCTGCTGTGCTAGGTGACGTCCGCCTGAGAGAGTCAGAGTCGACTCCACTCCCCACGATGTTTGCACTCTCCATACGTGTGCCCAGTCTGCAGCAAGAAGCATGTTCCTTGCGCCAGGTTGTTGGACCCAGAGATCCCTGAATTGAGTTGGGCACTGGGAGTATTCCAAAACACCCGGGCCAACACAAAAAACACAAACCTGGACGGTTCGTGCTAGCGTGAAGCCTCTGACAAACGGGAATTTCTTATTTCAAGCCCCGTCGTTTGTTTGTGACACGAGAATGGAGAGATCAGCGGACATTTTCCTGGCAAACGACATGAGAGCGGAGCCAGCCACCAAGCCGTCGCGGGATCGGACAGAGCCTCCGGATAGAGAGTTTGTCGATGTCCTACCAGGGACCATGACGGTTCGTGAGGGGAGGTCGTCAGAAACGATGTGCCCAGTATTGAGTTAAGCACCAACAAAGACGGATGGCATTCTGATTAGTGCGACCAAGTTAAAAGGATCAAGCCTTAGATTATCAGGAGGGGCCACGAACCGACGGGGCGGCGCTGCATGCTTACAGGGTTATTGAGACTGGGGATGCAATCTTGCTTGTGCGGTCTTGGTCTCCTGGTTAGGAAAAGGGGGGGTCGTTGGAATTGGAAAATACAGCAAGCGACCCAGTTTCGTTCGGATATCGAGCCGTATTCCGCACCTTTGGGGCCTCAAAAGCTGTTTACCTTTGTGGTTTTGTGTCACTGGAGGCGCTTTGGAGGCGAAGCAACAGGTCGAAGAGGTGTAAAACTTGAAAAGAAGGTGTTATACCTTGGGGCGGTGATGGCAATGGAAACCAGGAACTGGAAGGTGGTAACGTCGCACTCCCAAGGACGAACCAAGAAAGCTCTTCTCCTGGGCTTGGGCTTTCCGTCGCGCGAACAGACAATGGATAACGATCCGCTTCCCGTGGTGATATCGGGAGGCTGACACCAGCTGGTTGGGGTAGCCACCATGGATGGGACCAATGACTGTGTTAGACAGCGCCTCCCCTCGCGGGGATTACGGCGTTTCCGTCGAGCTGGCTGGCTCTTGTAAGAGGGCGAGCAGGGTGGCTTACTGGGGTCACGAAGCCTTGGAGCCTTGTGCAGTAATAAAGTAGCGGGCCCTGCGGCATAGCAGGTGCATAGTGCAGATGCGGATGCAGAGAGGCGAGGCACGAAATTCAACGCCCAGCAGACTGCTCCACTGTGATTCCGCGGCAGTAACTGTGCCTCTGACTTGCGTCTGAGGCGAGCGGAAACGGCTGCCGCTTGGTGATGGGCGGCAGCGATTGTGTGATGGTGATGGAGTCTCGTTTAGCTTGTATTTGAGTTTTTGCAGGCCATTTGTGCTTGTCGATCTATCAGCTCATGTAGTGACAGTCGTGGGACATGACAAACGACACAGACGAAGTGGACTGTGCATTGGTTGTTTGACAGTGAGCTCTCAAGGGTTCGAGTCAAGTCTCGCGGCCACAACGCCCGATCGTCAGGTTGACCAGAGTGAAACTGGGGCTGTTGTTTATTTCAGGTGCTGTACGATGTGGCATAAGTCTCTCAACCGGTATAACGACTGGGAAGCTCTGACCTTCCCAGCAAGGAACGGTACATGACGGCCGGCAGTTTGAGGGAGGCGAGGGAACCGAGGGGCGCTTCGAATACAGCAAGGGCATCCCGTCAGTGGACTGGCGCGCACAGTCTCTCGAATGACTGACATTTGTCGGCACATCTCGCTGTAGGATTTGGCTTCACAGATTTAGCAGAGATTGACAGCGGAGGACCTTGTGCTGCCAGGAGATTCAGCTATGACCCTCTTAGATGCGCCCACTAAGATGAGAGGGCCGGGCGTTGATTGGCAAGCGGGGGCGCAACAATGTAAAAAAAGAAAGGGATGAGGCCAGGACGAGACAATCTGGCACAGGCAAATCCTCTTTGTGCGGTGACAATGATGGCTCAGCAGGCTTGTGAGACGTTGACATGCGCGAACCCTACATTGTTAACCAAGCTCCGGAATGTAAGTGAGAGTGTTTTGGGGGGGGGGGGGGGGGGGGGGGGGGGGGGATGTACGGACATGTGGCTGGCGACGAGGCCCAGGCACTTGGCTGTCCCAGTTGTCCTTGGTAGAGATTGCGAACGGAGTACAGGGTAAATGGGGAGCGCGTGGTTGTGACGGTGGCGGTGGCCCTTGACAAATGGGTTGTCCGGTCCAACACGAGGAAGAGGAACAGAAGGACGACGATACGATAACGGCGAGTGACGAGAACTGTGATCAGCGCAGGCAGGAAATTGCGAGCCAGTCGTTGGAGAGGTTCCCATTCGACGCGATGGTCGAGGACGACCAATCTAGGAGACCAACGAGGATTAGTAGGCAATGTTACCCCTGGGTTGGACTGGGACCCCTGGGAAGAAACCCCTGGCTAGCGTATGGTCTGGTCAAATAGCCCCCCACTATTTTCTCCCCAAAGGGCAGTGGCGGGCCGTGGGCTCTCCCAACTGAGGATATCCCCAGTTGAGCCTTCTTAGGCACTTCAAAGTGTTCCTGTTGGTGCTAGCGAAACAGGGGGCATCGTGGAAGTAATTAATATGAATGATGAGGAGGCTGTCTGCGGAGTGACCTGGTCAGCGGGCGTCGATTTCGCGGGTGTTTCACCGTAGGATTTGTTTCTTAGTCAAGGTGCGGCTGTTGTAAAGTAGCTGGTGGAAAGTGCCTAGGTTGGCTGGAAGAAGTTACAATGTATTATCACTGCAGTTCCGTACTGTAATAAGTGGAGAGAGCTCACGAAATATAGCGATATGGTATTAGTGGAAGGAAGGTACTGCGTACACAGTAAGTAGTACGAGCGGAGTCTAATGGTACTTTCCGTTTCTTCCTTCCTTCCTCAAAGGAGAGAGCAAGAGAGCTCTCGTTGCCCACGTGCTGATCTGAGCAGGACGGATACTACGTACTTCTGCCCCCCCTGCCCTGTTACTGCTGCTGCTTCACGGGCAGAAGGCTCATGCCCCAATCAGTGTCTCTCTTTGACTCTCTGTTGGAGAAGTTTGAAAAACCCTTCTTGCGGCCGATTTTTCTTTTCCTCCTCCAAATGATCTGCCTTACATTGTTCCGCTAACAAGTAGCTAAGATACTTTAGCTACAGATAATTTAGCAGTCAGTAGGGTCTGCAGCGGGCATTGTGCGGCGCCCGGGAGGCAGCTAGTGCAGGCCAATGCCGTTACCGATTTCCATTTTCGCATTCTCCTTTTTTTGTCTTTTATTTTCTTTTTTTCTTCATCCCTCCCCTTTCCCTTCTTACCTCTTGACCCCGTGGCTTCTTAGTCTCAAGGTAAGGTATGTATGTAGCGTGAATCAAGATCTGAACGAGATACTACGTACAAGTGTCATGCACCTACCGTTTCGCTATACTGGAATGTGGGATGGCTGAGATAAGTACAGAGGGCGAGGCGGCGGGGGGGTAAGGGATGGGGCGGGACAGGCTCATATCGCCTTATTAATTACAATTAAAACCGGCTGTAAGAGCTCTCGATCTGGACGACCAGATGTAACAACACCATCAAAAGAAGACAGGAGCCGCGCCAGGGGCCACGACAACTGCCTCGTACATCCGATGGCGGCGGCTGCCTTTTCATTCGGCTGGGCTGGCCCCAACATCCCCGATATGACAGCCTTGTGTTGTAGTACTAAGTGTGTGTGCAAGTGGTTCTTTGGGAGGGATCTTTGGGATTGGGCCTGGACTGTAGCCGTTGGCCGCCGCGTCGTGACCGCGAACCTAGCCAATTTACCCCCATGTCATCCGCGTTATGTGTCTTACCTCGTCCCATTTGACGATTCCGATTCCATGTCCACTTCTTTTTTGGTACCTACGTATTAATCTCATGTACAAGGGGGCATATCGGTATAATCCCATCACATTGCAGGTGTACGGCCGGCCTATCGACGGCTGATGTTAGCTGGGCGCAAGAACCCAGCGTCCAGCATCCTGAACGGTATGCACACATACTATGGTAGTAACTAGGTGTGCACATCACGCATCACCTTCCCTTGCTGGCCCGTGTCGTTGTATGTGGAGTTCATCACTAAATCGTACATAACCCGTCTGGGGTCTTTTTTCTCTCGGCTTCGCTGATGCACCTGCAGTGTGATGTCCCCATTCCCACCTTGACTTTCTCCTAATCCTTCCCTCCCACTCTCTGCCCCCCCGGCCTTGCCATACCTACCCTACCTCCCTTAGTGCTGTTCATTCCATGCTCTTGACCCTTGTCCGTCCCATTATTCCTATCCCATCTCAGCCTGTCCCATGCTTGAAATAACTGAATAGTCTGACGCCGCGCACCCGGCCGTCACTCGCTTCTTTGCGCCTTGCCTCGTCCTCTCTCTCAACACCAACTTTCAAGGGCTTCTTTTCCCCTTCTCACTCCTCATCGATTCGAGCCGAGTCGAGTCGCCCTCTTTCATGCGCTGCCATTGACCCTCCAATCGGCCTCGGATGCAGCTGTTTTGGATGCCGGATTGTTTGGGGATAACCACCTTTCTTCCCGCCGCAGCACCGATTCACGCGCCAGATCCGTTTCGAGTTGCCACTTGACTGTTGGCACTTGTCTTTTGTCCCCTTCTCTTTTCACCCGTGCCTTGTCTCGCAATCAACGGTGCGCCGTTGCTTTTACCACCGCGGCTTGTTTCTACAACCTCCGACAAACTAACGGCCCTTTCAATCTGCCAGCCTCTGTAAGTTACCCGTTTGTCTCAGAGAAGGTCGGGTCTTGCGGTCGATCATTGCGGGAGAAGGTCTAGAATAAGAAAGATGGAAGGAGGTCCGCGGCGAAGGAGGCTGACCACAAATCTCCCCCACCAGACCAAACCAAACCAACGGTTCAAGCCTCACTCTCGCCTCTTCGACCATTTCTCCTGACCAAACTTTCTTCTCCAACAAGATTGTCACTATTTATATAAGTAGTCGGTGTTTCGATCCGAACTTGCGCCCAACACCGCCAGTTCCTTTTATTCCTTCGAGTTCAGACGAGCACTTTGCTGCGCCCGCCTTTCCAGAAGTTGCGCTTCTCATCTCGGCCTCAAACCTCATTTTTAAACGACATGGCTTAGAAAGGCCACCGACCCATTTCGACTTTACGACTGTTGCTGTTTATCCCTGCGACTGCCTATCCTTCAGATTTCTCCTTTGTCTGTAACCTTTGATTTCCCGCTTCGAAAGCCTACCAGTTTCAACTGTGCTTTTTTCTCTCTCTCACTCTCTTCTCTCTGTACTTCCCTGTTCTTAAGGTGGGCAATCCCTCTCAACCACTCCCGAACATCCCTCCCCGGTTTCTATATGCCACTTATCCTACAAGGATTCGCCACTTGGGCTTTGGCTCTGATGACTTTGTGCTAAGTTCCAGATTGATTATCCAGATACCGTCCGCTTGAGCGAACCTCTCTTTCTCTCTCCTGTTATTCTGTTTCACCTTCTCGTCACCTCTCACTTATCGTACAAGACACTGCCGCACCCGAAACGCAGCGGTATTACCATATTCTCGTAAGTTTCACCAGTGGCAATTCATGCATCTTCCTTGCCCATTTTCTCGGCTGTTCTCTTGTCTTGTGTGCCTCTCCCGTTAGCACTGAGCACTAACTTGTCAGTGGGGGTTGAAAAACGTCAATGCACCCGTGATTGCGCGGTCAGACTACTCCTTGAGCGCCTGTCATTTCCACCGCTGGCAAGGATCCCTTGGGCTTAGCTGCGTGCTTTGATCCCCTGCCTTTGATTTTTCCCGAAACAGCTGGTGATCCAAGCACCTTGACTCGCTGTAAGCCGACAGGAACCACAACTTGAATGCTTGCACTCCTTTTTTGAGGGGTTCAATTGAGGACCGTCGCCCTCATTGCATCTCATTGTAAGTCCTCTACTGTATCTAAGTCAGCAAGTTGGTCAACATGGCTGCTTGGGATACAGAGGATGAGCATAACGGCCCGGTCGCCGCCACCGCGCTGCCCACCCCCCAAGATACACCTTACAGAACACCATCACGGGGTTCGAGAAAGTCACGGCGTTCAGTCACTCCGCCGAACGGAAAAAAGAGCCCCTCGCCGCCTCCAGTACCTCCCACCGAAAAGAGCTCGAAGCGTTCTTCGAGAAACATCACCAATGAGGACAACATCAGCGTCCTCGACCCCCGCCGCTTCACGCCAACCCTGCACGCCAATCTTGTTGCGGAAATCCTGAATCTGAGGCGGGATCAGGAAGAGAAGACGAAGCTTATTGAAAACCTGGAAGTGTCGTTGCACGCCGCACGCGAGGAGCAGGAATCACTCCAGGAGTCGATAGCCACAACCAACAAGGAAAGCCGATCTTTAAAACGCCAACTGTCTCTACTTGAGGGAGGGACATCTTCAGCACTAGGCGAAATTACCCGTGAGAGAGATGAGGCTGTTGACTCGATTTCGGAAACGAAAAAGAGACTTGAGGTCTCTCAGAGGAAAATTCGAAGCCTAGAGGAGGATCTGCAAAGGGCACATGAGCTTTGGTCCCAGGAAAAAGATTCTTGGGAGGAAGAAAAGCGCAAATATGAGCGCAGAATCCATGTTGCTGAGAGCCGCTTGAAAGTGGTCTTGGACGAAGTCACTGCTTATCAAGCTGCACAAGCCAACGGTCATGCTGCCGATAGTGACGTGGAGGACAACAAGGACAACGATGCCGCAAGTGTCCGCACTATGAGCCTAACAAATAGTATTCGCTTCTCACTGCAGCAAAGTCCCGGCAAGGTCAACAACATCAATTCCCTTGCTGACGAACTGAATCTCGATGGCGACGATGACTGGCAAACTGACGATGGTGGGCGAGAGAGTGCACTGTCTTACCACCGTCACACACGAACCATCAGCCGTGAGAGTGTTTTGTCAAGAATGCATCGGCGAAACCAGAGCGTCGAAAGTCCTCAGCGTCCTGGAAGCGTTACGCGAGGCAGGCTCTGGATGAACCAGCCCGTCTTGGAGGCCCTGGAAGATGAAATCCAAGAGGATGACGAGGACTTAATGTCACCTCCCCCGCCCCCGGCTCCAAAACCCACTTACACGGACACGGGCATCCAGTTTTCGCCCCCTCCATCACCAAAACTCGAACCCGTCAAGCCACCCGCCCCGGAGCCTCCCGCCAACGTTGAAGAGCCCGTTGTAAAGGTTGAAGAACCTTTCAAGCTCGAAAAGCCTGTCGAAGTTGAGGCCGCCCCCCGAGGTGAATCGGAAGTTGAAGCAGTAGAGGCAAACCAAAGACGAAAGCGAGTTCAGATCAACCGCCCATTGTCCATTGAGCCGCGCCCATTCAATCCCATGGTCTCAGCTGGATCTCAAACTGTCGAGGAGCCACTAAGTCCACCAAAAACACCCAAGTCGCCATACAGGTCTTTGACACCGCCCCCTCCCGAGGAGCCAGCTCCGATTATGGTGTCATCTTCCACTCAGACGAACCTGCCTGAACCTGAGCCACAGGCTGAACCTGAAGAGAAGCCTGCACCTGCTCCTGAGCCGAAGCCAGCTCAGGAGCTACTTATCCCGAGCATCAGTATCATTCCACCGACAAGTCGCCCAGCCACGCCTCGAGAACCTCGACTTCCCCAGCATTTCAAGGACTTTGGATGCCAGGTTTCCATCGTGTCTTCGGTCACCATGAAATCCACCGCTGTCCAAACTGAAGAAATCCGCGTGGACCAGCGTATGGCTAGCCTTCCTGCACACCTTAGACCTTCAGCAATTTCATCCAGACCGACATCGCCCAATGTTGCTACCGCTATCACGAGCGAGGAGTCTCACACATTTACACCTGTCCCTAGCCATCTGCCACCGAGAAATCCTAGAAGACTTACCACTAAGCGCAGTCTCTCCGATCTGCCCTATTCTCCGCCAATTTCGCCTGTTTCACCTGTCTCGCCCATCTCTGACACGGAAACACGAGACGCCTACCCTGGAAACAACGATGATGGGCCTCTGTCGAGCCACAAGGCGCCTATGCGACGGCCGCATCGCATTAGCAGCCTCTTTGCTGGTTTTGACGAACACAGCTCTGACGAGCAGGACGAGTTTGCTGATGCGGATATTAGCGATTCTGAGTATCGGACCGTTCTCTCTGCCCCTGGGATGAGGATGACAGACTCTAGGGCATCTAACCGGACATCGGTGAGCGCTTACGTGGCATCACCGGCGTCACCAGAGCCAGGCCTGCAGAAATCCGCGATTGCGAGAAGCTCAGTGCGTTCCTTGGGCAACGAAGTTTACAGCCTCGGTTTGGAAAACAAGGAGACGGTATCCAAAAAGACGGCAATGAAACCTGCAGGACGCAGCGGATACGAGAAATCCAACGCTGGCCCTTCAGGCAGACCCAATGGCATGCGAAAGGCTGCCTTGATTCAGAGCGGCATATCTAGTCATCAAGGTCGTCCAAGAAGCCCCAGCATCCCCGAGGCTACGCCTCCGCCCTTTCCCATCCCAACAAGGGCCAGTTCCCGGCGGCCTCCATTTAGTGCAAGTGCACCAAGTGATGGCCAGCGAAGCCCGACCAAGATGGACGCCCCATGGAATCGTCGGGGTATGGGCCGCAGTCACTACCGTGCCAACAGCATTCGCAAAGTCCGGTCGGCAGCCGCTCTCCCCCGCAATCAAAGGTACCGGAGGCATGGTAGCCGATCGCCACCGCCTTTCTCGGAGACCACGGAGACGCCAGAGAGCCCCAGCCTGCCTCCTCTCCCGTACAACGATATTACGAGCCCTAGATACGATATGAGCTCACAGTACAGGTCTCACAGATCTCGGCTGTCCACAAACACCGCCCAAACAGCTACTACAGATCTCGCCTCGGTTGGCGGTGTCTCGAATGGTGCCACATCCAACGGTGCTACATCCAATGGTACGACCTCCAATGGCGCGGCCTCTAGCGGAGCCTCTCAGGCTACTGGGGTGGTTGATGCCATTGCACAAACCATGGTTGGCGAGTGGATGTTCAAGTACGTGAGGAGACGCAAGTCGTTTGGCGTGTCCGATGGTGGAAGAGATGATTCTAGCAACGATCGGCACAAGAGATGGGTATGGCTGGCCCCTTACGAACGAGCTATCCTTTGGAGCAGCAAGCAACCCAATTCTGGAACTGCGCTCATGGGCAAGGCAGGCCGCAAATGTAAGTCCCGTCTCTCCTAGGCATGCATGCTTTTGCGACTAACATTAACTTAGTAACCATCCAATCTGTGCTTGATGTCAAGGACGACAACCCGCCTCCCCGTGGCCAAGGCAACGTTTTCAACCGATCTATTCTCATCCTGACTCCACAAAGAGCACTGAAGTTTACAGCCACATCTTCTGAACGGCACTACATGTGGCTGACAGCTCTATCGTTCCTCGCACACTCTACGCAGGCCATTCCAGACGTGCTTGCCGTTCCCCAGCCTTCAAATGAAACAGCTGTGCCAGATTTTGAGATGCTCCAGCCTAGTAGGCGACCTGGCATTCGCGATTCCATCCGACTCACGAAGAACAAGGCACCCTCAAAGAATGCCGCACCCCCGAGTATACCAAGCGTTCCCAGTATGCCTAGTATTCCTTCATCGCGAACAGGCGACAGCGGCAACTATAGGCAGCAAGAGCAGTATGCAACCATGCCGTATAGCAACAGCAACAACAACAACAACAACAACAACAATCACAATAACGCTCACCAGCGCGAGCGTTCCAGCGACGCAGCCGAGCCGCCCTTTATCCCTCGTTTTACGGACCGTGGGGCGCAAGGAGGGGTTCATGGTCGCAAACGCAGCAACACTGGCGGCCACGTTCCGCCACCGCTATCATTCCGCGGGTTCTCTGGACCTGGCAGCGTCGGGCAGCATAGCTATACCAATAGCAATGCTGGTAACAGCGTGGGCACAGCAGGATCATCTGACATCTACCAGTCTCACCAGTCCCAACCTTCAAGTGGCGCACCAAGCTGGGGCATGAGTACCGCAGGCTCCCAACGTACGTCGGAAGCATCATCGCGACCTGGTGCCAACTTCTTCGACGCTATCGGCACCGTGCGGATGGAGGCATTCATCAGCCCGCTAGCGTACTCGCGCTTTGACGGGGACCCCGATGAGCAAGAAGAGTTCAGGTATCGAGCCAGGAGACGAAGCAAGGAGCTTCGACGCCGACAAAGCCGCAGCCGTCACCGAGACAGCTACAGCTCTCGTGGCACGCGCACTACTGACGGCTATTACAGCCGCATGGGTACAGAGGATGATTTCTTCAGAGACGACCCGTTCAAGGGCTTTTAGTCTCAGCAGTTTCTGTAATTTACAAACGCCCCGTTGCGGACGGGCTGGACCGGAGCGCGCAGGATTGCTTTTATTCAATACCGATACCCATTACGTATTATTCTTCGTGTGTAACTTTGGGGATGTAAGGAGGGATCTTGAGATCGCCTTTGATGCTTGGAGTTGAGGATTAGGAAAAGGCAGAGCAATGCTGAACACCATATGCCAGAAAGACGTTTGCTGTATCTTCCTAGGTCGGGCTACCGCGCTGACCGTGGCTAAAATGTGAATGGAACGGCATCGCTGTAGCAGGATGCCAGGTGAGAGGATGGGAATTGTAGGATGTGACCAATCTCGATGAGATTCGGTGTAGGCAATTGTTACTTTATATAGGTCCATTAGGGACGCTTATTTTCAAACAACTGAAATATTGTAAAATGCAACAGAGCTTTGTTATCTGAGTATTGTATCCCCCAATTGCTGTGATGAGTTTACTGGAAAGAGAAGACTTCACTTCAGTAGACAGTGACATTGGCGAACGGGGACCCCGCACCGACCCCACTAAGAAATTTCACCCCTCGCTCAAGCTGGATTGAGAGCTTTGAGCTGCCGAGCTCCTCCCATCGTCATAATTGGCCTGAAGACCCGACATCTACAATCTCTTTGGATCCAAAGATTTTATGCCGTCCGATAGCTTGTGGGCTTACACCTCCTACAAAAAGCTCTACCTACATATATAGCCCGCATTCAAACGAATATCCACTTTCAGCCGCCACCCCGCGATTTCGACACCCGCCTTCATCCGTCGTCATCACCGTCCAACTTGGCAGGTCGCCTGCACCTCGACATACCCTCTTACTTGTCCCCCTTCTTTCCGAACAGTCGATATTTTTCTCTTGTCATAAGCACGCCGATCGACCACAAGCATGGAGTCAGAGACCTTGGAACAGATGCAGGCCCGGCACCGGAAGGAACAGCGCGACCTTGTCGGGCGCATCACGAGCAAGAAGAAGAATGCGACGAAGAAGACACGCAAAGGCGTCAATGACGAGTGTGCGGAAATGGAGAGGAGTTTGAAGGAGAAGCAAGAAGAGGAGATTGCGGCTCTGACGGGCGGCGGCACTGCCGACGTCGCGCCCGAAGACGAAGAAGCCCCCGCGGCAGATAGGGACGAGGCGGGCGAAGTCGCGGACAAGCTCGAGAAGACGGCCATATCGGAACCGACACCGGCACAGGCACAGGCACAGGCGCAGGCGCAGGAGCAGGAACAGCCTACGCAGGGCCAGGGCCAGGGCCAGGGCAAGAAGCGCAACAGGCAGAAAGAGCGCATGGCGCGGCGTGCGGCGGAGCAAGAGGCCGCGGCAATCAAAGCAGAGGAAGAGGCGAAGAACATGACGGACCACCGGGGCGTCGAGAAGACGTACATGCTCAAAGAGTTCAAGACGCACTCGCTCACGGAGAAGGAGATCGCGCCGGACGGGCACTGTCTGTTCTCGGCCGTGGCGGATCAGCTGCAGCAGAGGGGCATCCCGTTGGCGCCCGACGCGGAGCCAAAGGTGCTGCCGTACAAGATTGTGAGGAAGAGGGCGGCGGACTGGATGGCGGAGCACCCGGACGACTTCGCGCCGTTCCTGGAGGAGGACCTGGAGGGGTACGTCGGGAGGATACGCGACACGGCGGAGTGGGGCGGGCAGCTCGAGCTGGTTGCGCTGGCGAGCATCTACGGGGTCGAGATCAGGGTTGTGCAGGACGGCAGGACGGAGAAGATTGGGAGCGCCGAGGAGGAGGACAAGAAGATTTGGCTGGCGTATTACCGGCATGGTTACGGGCTCGGGGAGCATTACAACTCGTTGCGGAAGACAACGTGATGACTGACTATGGAGAAGCGGGACAAAGATATGACTTTAATGTGTTATTTTTTTTTTTTTTTAACCCCTTCCACTTCTCCCTTCCCCCTCCCCTTTACTATTATTCTTCATCTACGGCGGGAGCATCGTGGAAGAGTGTCAACGGCTCCAGACGTGAATCCAATCGCAGACCGTACCGTCTGGGTTCATCCCCGCCGGGTGTGTCCTGTCGGGCTTGATGAGTTCGAGGCGCTTGAGGCCGTCTTCGCGGAAGGGGGGCACCATCACGACGTCCTTGTCGTCGCCCTGCTCTGTCGAAGACGAGAACTCGAGGGGGGCACCGGGGTGGGCGAGCAGGGCGAGGTAGATTTCCGGGGTGAGGCCCCATGGGGGACCCGGGGCGGACAGGGGCTTGCCGGAGGGGAATTCGAGGCAGATCAGACGGCCTTTGGGCGCGAGGAGGGAAGTCATGCGGGTTGCCCAGAGGGGACGGGCTGAGGGGGGGAGCGCGCAGAGGAACTTTGGTTGTTAGGCCTTTTGCGGTTTCTGTCTTGGTGGTTGCGATGATAATGATGATGATGATGTTGTTTTGAGGGCTGGGCTTTGGGGGCACATGGACAAAAATAGGTTTCGTGGGATGGGCGGGGGGGGACTACTACGGGCGATGGACAGGGAACTTACTGTGTAGTCAAAAATGAGATCGAACGTCCTCCCGCGACCCCATTCATCAAGCCAGGAGTCTGAAAAGAAGTCGCCCGACAGCCAAGTCACGGTTCCGGGCTCCGGGCCGTCAGGTCGGCGGACGGAGCCGACGCCGGAACCTTCGGTCTTTTGGTTTTCCTTGGCTTGCTCGATTGCGGTTGGCGAGAAGTCGAGACCTAGGACGTCGTAACCGAGATCCGCGAGGAGAAGGACGTCATGGCCTTTCCCGCAGCCTGGTACCAGGGCTGTTGGCCTGCTGATATTTCCCTGGCTTGGTGTGGGAGGAGGAGGAGGAGGAGGTACTAGATCGGGCCTCGTGGTGAGGACGTCAAATAGAGCAAGGGAGGGGCTGCCGCGGTCCCAGGGTGTGTACTTTTCTTCCCACAAGGCAGACCATTTTGAGCCGTGGGTTGAGAGGGGCGAGCCCGAGAACGTATCAGAGAGTTTGGAAGACATGCTTTGGGGGAGGGGGTTTCAAAGGTTAGGTGAGATGGACGGGATGGTGTGTAGCGGAATGAGATCCGGGAGGGTTCTTTAATCAGCAGCTGCTGGCTTGGGGTTGGTGAATAAACGCGGGTTCAGTGGGAATATATTTGTAGAAGAGTCTGATATAAGATAGACTCGAGAGATGTTGCCTTTCAAGACAATTGTTCCTGTCGAAAATCGACCGGAAGAGAACCCGAGTGAAGTCATGAATTCAAACGGTTCGGACCCGGGCACGTCTTTAGTTCCCCCAAGAGCCGACCCCACGATGAGATTGCCCCGCGTTTAGAGGCCGGCGATGACGGATCCCTGTCCAGTGTTGAGCGTACGCACGCACGCACACACACATCATCTGCCTTCGCTCTTTACTATGTAGGGCGGGAACAAAATAATGAGGGTAAAAATAAAACGTTACCCCGGACTGCAAGGGGAAAGGAAGTGGTCATACCACAGGTTCCCAGCCAAGCCAAGCCATGCGCATTTCCCCTACCGGCCTGCTTTTTCTTCAGTTACGTGTATGACGTTTGACGCAAGGTACCAGGTAATTAGAGGAAAGTAGGGCACCGTGGGCAATCTCAATCACCCATCCCCACGGTGACTGTGTGTAACCCATACATCGTAGAGGCGCGTGCTCATGTGGCCCCCTCAATGATCCGTTCTGTGTCATTGGCCTGACGTCTTATCGTTTGGCGTGCCCTCCGATGGTGGGCCGAGAATCCCCGGGATTTTCCTCGCTGGGGGGCATGACTTTTTTCTGTCGACTGAGTCGTCAGACAATGCATGGCTGACCGCCTCGAACGGCGCCGTTGGGGGGAAAAAAAATTATTGACGGCTAATTCGAGATGGAAGGATGAAAGTATGAATTGATGCGACCACATTGGCTGGTTTGCATGCCTACCTACCTATGAGCGTGGCACAGCGTGGGTAGGGCTAGTGGTGTAGGGTCCGATTGCGGGAAGTGAGAGATGCTGTTTTCCCCCCTGTAGCACCCATACGCCCAACCAAAACCTACACCCCCAGCGCACTAACCCCCCTGGCTAGTGCTTTTTTTTTTTTTTTTTTGCTCTTAACCCCTCGGTCTTATCTTATCACTACCCATGTTAGCGCATTGGTGACTCTTCCGCTCACAGCTTGGCCGAGATTCCAATACCATTTCTTTTGCTGCTCCCAAAGTTTTTGCATCCTCAATCTTTCACAGTCACATCAATTGCAGCTCAACCTCGTCCTTCACACCAAATCACTACCCCAATTCCCTTTCCCGTTAATACCCAAACACATATAATCACCATGGCTGGTTCTAAGGGCAAGGTCTGCCTCGCGTATGTACTCTCTCATCCTCACTGGCGAAAGACTCATTGCGCTAACACGCAAACACAGTTACTCTGGAGGTGTACGTGCTTTTCCACTCCAAACTCCAAGCACGAGCGACCTCGACAGCTCGGATCTACGTCAATTGTCATAAGCTTGCAATGCTAACTTGCTTACCAGCTTGATACCTCCACTATCCTGGCCTGGCTCCTGGAGCAGGGCTACTCTGTCGTGTATGTACTCAGCTATGCCCCGCCATTCAAAACTTAGCATCGCCGCCTTCCAGAGCTTCATTCTGACCTTTTACCTAGCTGCTACCTCGCCAATGTCGGCCAGGAGGAAGATTGGGCTGCCGTCGAGAAGAAGGGTCAGTTTCATTCCCGACCCCGCTAGCTTAGGTTGCGATATCGCCGTCGCCGTCGCCTAGCCGCTTGAAACCCCCCCGCTGACCCCACAGACAGCTCTCCAGATTGGTGCCGAGAAGGTACGACGATGCGAACCGTGGCTCAGGCCCGACTGCCCTCGTCGACGCGACAACCTTACTGACTGGCATTGTTAGATGATCATCGATGACCTCAAGCGCGAGTTCGTCGAGTAAGTGTGGCCCATGGTTCTCGAAATTGGTATGGTATACTAAGGCAATACAGGGAGCTTTGCTGGAAGGCTGTTCAATGCGTAAGTGGTCACCACACTGGACCCGTTTGGCTCACAATCTCGCTAACAATGATTATTAGAACGCCATCTACGAGGACCAGTACCTTTTGGGTATGTTCGACGCGAGATCTCAAGGATATACTACAGTGGCTAAAAGTTTAAAAAAGGAACCAGTCTGGCTCGTCCCATTATCGCCCGTGGCCAGATGAGGGCCGCCCAGCAGGAGTCAGTTGCCTTAACGATATCTTGTGCGTATGAGGAGACTGACAGTGTGCATCAGGGGCTGCCAGTTCGTTTCTCACGGCTGCGTAAGTACCATCTTTCCCTCTTTTGACACATAATCTGCTTCCAATGCTAACACAACTCGCAGACCGGCAAGGGGTATGTTAACCTCTGTAATCTGACCAAAGCACGCAAGACTAACGCCTAGATCAGCAACGACCAAGTCCGTTTCGAACTCGCCTTCTACACCATCAACCCCGAGATCAAGGTCATCGCTCCTTGGCGCGATCCCACCTTCTACAACCGCTTCCAGGGCCGCAACGACCTGCTTGACTACGCTGCTGAGAAGGGTATGAGTGATAGTTGGAACTCTTGTCGCTGAAGTTGTGCTGAGATTTCCCAGGCATCCCCGTCACTTCCACCAAGGCCAAGCCCTACTCCATGGACGACAACTTCGGTAAGCGTCTCGCATCTGACTTGTGTATGAAAAGCTAGCTAACTTTGAATAGCCCACTGCTCCTACGAGGTAATTCAGAAACCCCGTTAGACTCCCGCTTAGCTAACGACATTGCAGGCCGGTATGCTCGAGGACCCCGACGTCACTCCCCCCGAGGACATGTGGACCAGGACCGTCTCTCCTCTTAAGGCTCCTGACGCTCCCCTCGACATCACTGTCCACTTCGACAAGGGTCTTCCCGTCAAGGTCGTTACCCCCAACCAGACCGTTACCGACTCTCTTGAGCTCTTTGGTCTTCTGAACGACCTTGGAAAGGAGCACGGTGTTGGCCGTATTGTGAGTTCTGCCTGGCCCTCCTTCATCATTTCAAGAAACGTATCTAATGAATGGAATAGGACATCGTCGAGAACCGGTATTTAGTCCCTGTTTAGGTTTTTTTTCTAAACTGAATTACTAACATGTCCAAGTTTCGTCGGCCTGAAGTCTCGTGGCTGCTGTAAGTTGTGTCATATTCGTACCGTCCGGACATGCACTGACAATTTGCAGACGACTCTCCCGCCATGACCATCCTCCGTCTTGCCCACGTCTCCATTGAGGGCCTGTAAGTTAGTAAGCCATGAGAGAGGAATTCAACTGACGGAAAGCAGTGTCCTTGACGGCCGTGTCCGCTCCCTGCGTGACAACCTGAGCAAGCAGTGGTCTGAGCTCCTCTACAACGGCATGTACTTCAGCCCTGAGCGGGCTTTCCTCCAGCGTAAGTTACTCTCCTAGAAATCATGAGGCTGCGCTAACTATGACAACAGCTTCCCTTGACTTCGCCCAGCAGCGTGTAGGTTTCAGGTAACCGAGTGGTCGCATGCCTTATCTAACTGATGTTTCTAGGTCAACGGCGAGGTTCGTCTCCGCCTCTACAAGGGCAACGCCTACGTCCTGGGCCGCTCTTCCCAGGAGAAGCTCTACTCCGAGGAGGATGCCTCCATGGACTCCCTCACCACCTTCGACCCCTCCGAGACGGTGCGTAGTGCTACCCGGTTGAGACTTGCGGAAGTTTTGGTTGCTAATATGACAAACAGTCCGGCTTCATCACCATCAACGCCATCCGCCTCAAGAAGGTAAGACCATGCTCGCTAGCCAAAGATATTTTGTTCAAGACGCTAACTAGGTGATAGTACGGTCTCCAGATGGCTGAGGCTGGCATCAAGTTCTAAATGGGTATTATCAGGGCAGTTTGGGTTTAGGATTGGGTGGTCTAAAAAAAGTTAGATAAAATGCAAATTGAACTCCAAAAGGCTGTCAATGACAATGTTTGAGCGCACAAAATCGAGTCTTTTGTGATTGTGTTTCCAACAGAGCCTCTGCTCTTGTCTGATTAGCGTATATGCTCACAGTCCACAAAGCTAGCAAAGCGTCAAGGGCGAACAGCGTGGGAATATTTCGACAACTAGCCCGTTTCAAACGATTGACATGTTCCTGTATGCTCTTGACAGGTTCAAAGTCCAACCGATAGGCCACGCATATTGGACAGCGGTAGTTTCATAAGAAGTGTTGAAAGGTAAGCCTAGTGCTTGGCATCACGTTGACCGTTCTACTTGATAGACGATCCCCGATTTAGTGATTTGCCACGTTGATATTTCCATGAACTGGCCGACCGATCTGAGAACTTTTTACGGCACTCTCATCGTAGACTCATAACTTGTACCAATCTGGCAAGTGTCGTTGACAGGCAACGAACGGTAGGCAACGGCACCCCTTGGCAACGCGCTTCAGGACATGGCTTCGGTCGAGTCATCGGCAAAGCGGGGTGGCCCCGTCCGGAAGGCGCAGCCCCGCCACACCCCTCCCGACGTCGGCACGGCCATTACCATACAGCCTTTCTTCACTTGTACAAGACCGATTGGAGCGGAGCAAGGCATCCAACTTGAGCACCAGCATCAGTCTCGTTTATATACGAGGTATACGAGAGATAAAAACACAATCTTTTTTTTATATATATATAAGGACCACGCCCAGGCCTGAGGAAACTTGTCCTTTAGCATACCCAATCTCAAATCGCCACCATCAACCATAAAAGATAAGCAGCAGCATCTCAAGTCAGCAGTCAACCACCAAGTCTTACAAAAAAAAAAAAGAGAACATGGCCGACATCTCAACCTGCCTGTCCCTGACCCGGGCCTCCGTCGTCGAGGCCCACAAGATCGTCAAGCCGCACGTCCACTACACGCCGGTCCTGACCAACAAGACGCTCACGAAGCTGGCGTCCACGCCCCGCGACCCGGCGGACCTGAAGGGCACAAAGTGGGAGGGCCGCACGCCGGCGAAGCCCGTGCTGAGGCTGTGGTTCAAGTGCGAGAATCTCCAGCGCATCGGCGCCTTCAAGGTGCGCGGCGCGTTCCACGCCGTCGAGAGGCTGAAGCAGGAGCCCGGGTGGCTTGAAGGTGGTGGGAGGGAGAAGGGCGTCGTCACGCACAGTTCCGGTGAGAGCTTCTTACTCAACTCAACTCATTGACCCACCCTGTCCGCTCTGCATTTTCGTAAAAAAGACAGGATGTGAATTAAAAATAAGAAAAAAATAGTTTCGGGAAAGACAAACATACTGACAGCCCACCCAGGAAATCACGCCCAAGCCCTCGCGCTCGCAGCCAGGGAAGCCGGCATCCCCGCGCACATTGTGATGCCGGACATCTCCCCCGCCAACAAGATCGCCGGCACGCGCGGGTACGGCGCCAACGTGATCTTCAGCGGCAGCACCAGCGTCGAGCGCGAGGCCGTCGCGGACCGCGTGATGGCCGAGACGGGCGCGCGCCTCGTGCCGCCCTACGACCACCCCGACATTATGCTCGGCCAGGGCACCATGGGCCTCGAGCTGCAGGAGCAAGTGCGCGACCTCATCGCCGCGGGACACTCGGCCGAGAACCCGACGTTCAACTCGACGGGACAGCCGCGGTCGGCGGAAGACGACGCATCCGGTACCGGTAAAGGTAAAGGTAAAGGCCTGGACGCCATCATGACGCCGTGCGGCGGCGGCGGCATGCTCTCGGGCGTGGCGCTCAGCTGCGAGGGGACGGGGATCAGGGTCTTTGGCGCGGAGCCCGAGTTCCAGGGCGCGGACGACTGCAAGCGCGGCTTCGAGGCCGGCAGGCGCGTCGAGAGCGTCAAGACGCTGACCATCGCCGACGGCCTGCGCACGCCCGTCGGCAAGTTCCCCTGGTCCGTCATCTACGAGCGCAGGCTCGTGCGCGACATGTACAGCGTCTCCGAGGACGAGATCAAGGCGGCCCTGAAGCTGGTCTTTGAGCGCTTCAAGCTCGTCGTCGAGCCGAGCGCCGCCGTCCCGCTCGCCGTCGCGCTCTTCAACGAGGATTTCAGGGCCATGGTCGAGAAGGAGGCCGGCGAGGTCGGATGGGATCTCGGACTTGTTTTTAGCGGTGGCAACGTTGCCATGGAAGCGCTTTCTAAGCTTTTTGCATCACGAGTAGAGAGAGTGCGTGATAAAGAGTGGGAGCGTGGTATAAAGCCTAACGGGGATAGATGTTTAGATGAGATGATGTAATGAGAATACGACGCGCATTGGTGTGTATACACTTTTGACCTCTCATCTTTTTTCGAGCTTGTCCTCGGATCAGTATGTCAGGGCCATGCAAGTCGTGTGTCTAAATGATGTACCTGGTGAGAGGCAAACACTGCGCAGTCGCCAGTAGAGTAATGACACCCATGGCCGGGTGGAGGTACATGATATTTAACGAATTTATTTGGCACCTGTAGATGCGATCTTGGCATTTGCGGCCTATATGTAAAATAGCATACTCTGCCCAACCCTTGAAACACGGCTATAGTCCATCTTGTGATTTCATAAATCTGAGTTGTATGAAGCATTTATAACACGCCTCCCCGTCAAAATCCCCCTCTACCCCCACGCTGGCTTACTCGACTGACTCTAACTCGCTGATTCCTTTGAGCCTGTTCTTCTTCTTCTTCCTTTCCATTGACGTCCAAAGATGAAGAGATAGACCGGTGGGCTCAACCTCCTCTTCTTCCGCCGGTGCTCATCAACGTAATCTTCTGCTTCTTCTTCTTCCCCTTCCCGCCGCCACCGGCAGCAGGCGTGCTACCGCCGCTGTTACCGGCCGAAGCGCTAGGCTCGCTAACGGCCAATGCCTCCATCTGGAACGAAAGCTCGGCTGGACCAAACAAGTCTTCGTCCTTCAACCAGCCGTCATCAAAGGGACGATTTGAAGTTGGCGCTAGTTCTGGAGAGCCATGAACCGCCTGCGTACCCCACACTGTTCTCTGTGTGGAGGGACTCGTAGAGAGGGAAGCGAGGTGTTCAAAGCCCGGTCGCGGGTCTGGGGGCGTTGCGCCGGCATGACTGGAAAGAGGTTGAAACTCTTCCAAGTTTAATGCAGGAACTTGCTCCTCCTCAATAGGGCCGTAGTCGCGCCGCATGGCCGCCGTGCTCTTGAACTGCGCAGCCTCGATCCTTTCGGACTGAAGCCTCTCGCGCTCCTCCTGCACGGCCTTGTCACGGTTGCGCTTCCTTCGACGACCAATCTCGTCCGCAAATTTTTCAAGAACGTCTGCCGACACAATGTCCGTCCAGTCGCATTCCAGAAAACTAATGCGGCAACCGTATGGGAGATGTCCCAAGTATTTGGCTCGCTTTCGCTGTACTTCGTCCACAACATGTCCTGTGGAGATATGCTCGACACGAGGTAACAGGGTTGACGGGAATGCAGAGAAATCGCCATACTTGGTCTTGAGAATCCTAATGTCGAGTGCCGACAAGTACAGATGTGGTTGTGATGCGAAGAAGTAGAAGTCTGGCTCGACAGGCTTCTGGTTTTCCACCTTGGAGCCGCTCGGCAGCATCGAATCGTTCTTGCCTAGGTCTTTGACCTTGTCTTTTGCGGCATTGATAGCCCGGATCGCCTTCTGGGTCCACTCATCGTCCTCATGGTAGAGCAGCTGGTCTTCGGTTCCTTGCTTCTCCAGCGCTTGAATCTCTTCATCGTATTGCTCCTCCATGTAGCCGCCGGTGCCTTTCATGATTCTAGCATAATCCAGGACGTTCGCGGCGAAGTGCCAAGGAATATCGTCCGCCACATTGAGTGCATCCGAGCCGTTTTCCCACGGCAGCGCAAGAGTTGACTTGGCAGTCCGCGCCATCAGCCGCAGTACCACGTCGTCTCCGACACGCGGCAAAGGGCTCTCCTGGCCTGCATAGAACCGCACAGGCCGTGTCTCGTGTAGGTAGACGCTGTCTTCGCATAGCGGGCACTTCTTCCATCTTGCACCCTTCACAGGCTTCGAGTCCTCTTCGGTCGTAGTATTCATAAATCGGATCAAGCATGGCAGGCAAAAGATGTGACCGCACTTGGCCATCCTGGGCGCGACGGGCTCCGACAGGCAAATCGGGCAGCTGGCGGTCTGCGACTCAGACGACGCAAGAATCTGCAAGACATTGTTCCAATCGATATGTACGTCGGCATCGGCCGCCTGGCTGGTATAGCTGCCCTCGGGCGATACGACGAAGCGATAGTTGGCGTGGACGTACCTCGCCTTGTCGTTAGCGTGGTGCCCCGAGCCGGGCCCCCAGGTCGGATTGCGTCTGTAGCTTCTAGAGTACGAGTGATGATCTGCATAGGGCCTCGGCGGCATGCTGTAGTTGAGCAGATGGGTGATGGAGGTCTGGCCCCGACGACTCGAGGGGTTCCGGACGGCTCTCAACTCGGCCATGGCGTCATCGTCATCCGGATTCGAGTTCTGCCTGTAGTCGCCCATTCCCGGTCGTCGCTGCATCTTGTGTTGTTTCCTGGCGCCCTGGCCCTTTCGCGGGGCAGAGTGAGGATGAGAAGGGCTGGCTTGTGCTGGTCGGCGGGTGGACTCGAAACTCGTGGTGACAGGACCTGGCTGAATCGCAGGCGAATGGGAAGTCGATGCTGAAAGGGACTTGCCCAGGTTGGACGGTGTCAAGCTCATATTCGGTTGCTCGAAGACTAGGGGGCGTATGTCGTGAAGGTTCCCCCTCCGGTGGAAGCGGCAATCGTCTCAGTTGCCTCCCAGGTCAATGTCGTGATGCAATCCGCGGCACAAGAGGAAGCAAGGAGAATCGGAGGGTGGCTCCGCTGATCGGTTAGTCCCTAGTGATTTGGATTGAACGAAAAAATCTAATATCCTCCCGAGCCGAGATCCAAGAACTTCGGCCGACGAGCTGGTGGTGGATGAATGAGATGCAGATTGTAGAACCAGAAGGGGTCCAAGGTGGACGGACCCCATGAGTGATAGGTGGGGATCAGGTAATCGGACGTCGAGAGGATGCTGAAGCAGCAGTCCAGTACATAGAGTCATTAGCGGGGCAAAATCGCAGTTGCCGTGACGAACTCTGAGGGAAGCTCGGGAACTGGGAGTACGTACTTTGCTGTATTAATCACGTGATCGGAGACTATCGTGCTTCGTGGGTCAACTCGCATGTTGCGTCAATGTAGTCCAAAGAGAGTGTGCATTGCCCACAGATGAGCCAATGGCAAAAGAGAGCGAGACGGCATGGCCATATAGGGTCACTGAATCGATGCAAGTGACCATTGTAAGGGGCATATATGCTATTATACAGGTCATCAAGACGGGATTGTAATCACCAAAAATGCTTGTCATATCCTTGGTACGCATTGGCTGAACGGATCTTATGCAGATTAGACTCGAACTAGGTATTATGGTACAAGATAGTCCGATGCAGATGAGCCGTGAAGTGCCAACGAGAGCAGCGAAATCAGAAGAGGCGGCAGCCCACAACATCCTCGATTAATTATAGAGGCTCCACCGCCATGCCTTTACTTCCAACGCCCCCAACATACAGCTGCCATGCTTCATTCTACCTCTCGAGCTATTGCACATGCAAAGTGGACCGGGGGAATCATAGAAACGAAAAATAACCCAAATACGCAGCACCCGACAGGATAAACCATATGAAATGAGGCAAAACACAATGCCTCCCATCCACGCGTAAGTTTAATGGCGGACGTCATAATTATGAAGGCGCTTATTTGCCCGACACCTTGCTCTTGAGCTTGCCAATGAAGGCACTCAGACGGTTCTTCTTCTTCTTCTCGGTGCCGGCAGGGCTGTGTGCAGCCTTACCGGTACTTGGTGCTGTCGAGTCGGGGACGGAGGAGGCAGCCTTGGCGGGAGTGGCGGGAGCCTCGGGCTCCTTGATCGTGGGGGTACCGTTGCTGCCGTTGACGGCGTGAGTGCCGTTGGCCTCCTTCGCGGGCTCATCCTTGGTAACGGCCTCCTTGACCTCTTCCTTGGCGACCTTGGCCTCTTCCTTGACAGCCTCAGTCTTGGACTTTTCGCCCTCTTGGACCTCGGCCTTGGTCTCCTTGACCTCAGCCTTGGCAGCCTCCGCCTTGGCCTTTTCAGCCTCCTCGCCAACGGCAGGGACGGCCTTGACCTCCTTGAGCAGCTCAGTCTCGACCTCCTTCTTCTCGATGACGGCCTCGGTGTTAGCGGCAGCCTCGGGGCTCTTGCCAGACTCGGTGATGGCCTCCTTCACAACGGTGGGGACCTCAGGAGCAACTTCTTGGCGAACCTCCTCCTTGGTCTCGGTGCCAATGGCCTCCTGAACAGCAACAGGCAGGTTCTCCTTGACGGGCTCAGGCAGCTTGGCCGCGGCGTCGGTGGCAGCAACAGAAGCCTGCTTGACAGCGTCGGTGGCAGCGACAGAGGCCTGGTTGACGGTCGGGGCAGCGGCCTCAGCGATGTCGTTCTTGGTGTTGATAACAGCAGCAGCAGCAATACCACCAGCCGTGGCAGCAGCGGCGAGAATACCAGCGTCCTCAGTCTTCTGAGTGCCGAAACCGGAGGTGCCCTCAGAGGCAGAGGGGGCGGTAGGGACCTTCTCAAGAAGCTCTTCCTCGACAGCAGCCTTCTCAACGACGGCCTCGGGGTTAGCGCTAGCCTCAGGCTCGACGTGGGCCTTCTCCTGGCTCTCCTTGACAACCTCGGGAACCTCGACCTTCTTGGTCTCTACGGGCACCTCGGCGGCAAGAGCAGCAGTGGTGGATGTCGGGGCCGCACTGTTGATGGTGACATCGGCGACGCTGGCGACAGGCAAGCTAGACTCGGGGATGGTGCTGCTGGTGACGGCAGGGAGGGTAGTCTCTTCCTTGGACAGACCAGGCAGAGCACTAGAGTCCTCGTAGCCCTCCTTGTCAAGCTTGACGTGCTCATTGATGTCGCCAGCCTTGGCAGCCGGGGGCAGAGGCTCGCCTGCCTCAACCTTGATGGGTTCAGCGGTAACGTCCTGAGCGGGAATGGGGTCAACGCCAATGGTCTTCTCGAGCTCGTTGGCGGGAGTGATGGGGAAGCCACCGGGGATATCAGAAGGGGTGGCCTGGGGTTCCGTCTTGTCATCGGTCTCCTCTTCCGTCTTCTCGGTATCGTCAACCTTGTCTTCGGTGGCGGTCTTCTTCTTGTTCTTCTTGTTCTTCTTCTTATTCTTCTTCTTCTCGTTCTCAAGAGGCACGTCCTTGGCCAAGGCGGCCGTGGTGGCGTCGGGAGTGACAGAGTTCATGACTGCTGCGGAAGAATCTTCTTTTACGATTTGATCGGGAGTCAAAAAGTTGTTTACGTTTCCCTCGTGATCGGGTTCTTGAGGCGCGGTGTGGTCTGTGATCCAGTTGTTGTCGACAACAAACTATAGGGTGGGAAGAGAGGGGTCAGTAAAATTAAACACGGCAAGTTCTAATGACAATGTTTTTAAGCGAGAATCAGTGGGCAGCGCAGCAATGGTGCAATGGATCCTGGACAAATATGACGACGCGCGGGGGCCGAATTGGGTCGGCCGGGGGCGCGATGTGGGAGATGACCGATGTTATAAAGGGCGACGCCAAACAAGGTATGGCAGGTGCGAGGCAGGCAAATTAGGAAGCGGCCGTTCCTGGGGCGCTGGGTTTTCCTTGGCCCTTTGATGGGATGGCAGCATGTTCCTGGGTGCCGTGCAGTGCTACCTAAGCTCAGACCCAGACCCAGACGAGCAGACGGAAGGGAAGGCCGGGGCTAGGCATTGTGGCATCTACTTTGTCGCGCCTGTACCTTCGTACCCAGGGATCGTTCCTGGTGCGGAAGATTGCCAGGCAGAGGTGGTCCAGTGATGAGAGTTGGTGGCTGCTGGTAGTGCCGCTCCGCTGATGCTCAGCCAAGGGCTGCGAACCCGCCAGGCTGCCTGCATGGTACCCTGGTCGCTGGCCACTGCTTTCGCTCCCCACTATTCAAAAGCAGTAATGAGCCTGGAAAACCTTGTTCATTGCTTTTTGGGACAGTGGGAGGAAAGCGGAGCACTGGGCCACTGTCTGCTGCTTCTCGGGTTCCGCCAGCCAACCGCCAATTGCCCCCCCAAGGCAAACCGCGCCGCTGAGCTGCGATCGCAGCAAGGTTGCGTCATACCAGTCCGGGATATTCGGCCAGCACGAAAGCAGCAGGCCCCAGGATGACCTCGTGAGCAAATTGTGTTGCGCAACGCATGTGTGACTCTTTTTTTTTTTCCCCCAATCTACCCATTGCAGTCCGGTGCAGGACCAGACCAGGGAGGATCGACTTTGTGTCTGCAGGTCGATTGCGCTGGGGGCGAGGGTAGGGGAGGGACCAAAAAAAAGAAATGACTGATGGGTCGGCAATATCCAACGGGAACGACAGCGACTCAGCGAGGTAGGGCAAACAACACAGCCAGAGACAGGTCACGCTGGTATTTCGGACTGGCAGCGGAGAGACAAAGCCAGCAAGAGCAGCGACCACAATGGTTGGTTCCTCAACGCAGCACAGCGGAGCGCGAAGCAAATTGCGGGAGCGCCAGGGGGACCTGGGGCAAGCCAAATTGCGAGATTGATGATAAAGCCCCGATCCGTCCTTGTCTGACATGCCGCATCCGAGCCAGGTCTGGGCTGAAGCTGGAGCTGATGCTGGAGCTGGAGCGGGAGCTGGAGCTGGAGCTGGGGGAAGCTATTACCAGCGTGCGGCTTAGCAGAACCTGGCCAGAAGCCCTTTCTTGCTCCCAGCTGAGTCGGGCAATTGCAAGACTGTGCAAGGGACCTGAATTGAGAGACGTGGATGAGAGTGCACGGATGCTGCGGTGGGCTGGGCGAGGCGTCGCTGTTTTCGATCGATCCTCGTGTCGCTCGTCTTGCGCAATCTCGCTTTCAGTGACCTCTGCCCCTCCGTGCCGTGAGTGCTTCCCACAATCTGCGCCGCGATAAGGAAACCCGGAGGTGGTGAAGTGCTCCGACTCGGGGTAGGATGAAGCAGTAATGGTGATGTGAAAATAGAAATCGCCCGAATTGGCGGTTACGAACCTTGTAGTAGATCTTGCCCTCAGTCTCGGGCAGGGTGACGGTCTTCTCGAATGAGTCGCCAACCTTGTCCAACCTCTCACTCTTAGTCCAGTTGTCGAATGTACCAGTAACGTAGACCTCCTCAGCCGGGTGAGCCCTGTATAATACACACGGAGGTTAGCAATGTTATCCGTTGAGTTTGAGACTTTCTTTTTTCTGTCTTGGAGTGCATGAAGCATTGCGATTCGGCGGCGCAAGTGGATTCTCCACGGCCATAGACGGCGGCGCCAAACTTGTGTGTGTGAAAGAAAGGTCCGCATTCCACATGGCCATGGACGAGAGCATGCAAGCCCAGACGGCACTTTTCTAAGGACGGCAAAAGCGCAACGCAAGGAGAGAAGGGTATCCATAGTCGCATTCCAGGCGGGATATAAGGAATGAGTAGAGCGACGGCGCGGAGAGAGAAGGGAGGGGAATGCGGGCTGGGTGGGCGAGCATACCAGGTGAACTTGAAAGTGCCCATTCTGGTCGATTTAGAGGGTTTTCTCTTTGGGATTCGAGGGGATTACGATTAGTGCGGTCGGCGCACACAGGGGTATCGTCGTCGTCGGGTATAATGGAAACAAGCCGCGGTTCGAGATGCGTTTTTTTTGCTTTGCGAGAAAGCAGGATTGGGGGGGAAATGGAAGAGAAAGAAAAGTTGAAGGTTGAGCGTCAGAAAACCCCCAAATTGCGCGCATGGCAGACAAAATAACTGCTGGGGCCGAGAGGGGGGTGGAACACCGAGGAGGTGGGAGGCATCTTGTCTTGCTCGGCGCCAGCGGCTGGCCTGTGCCTAATCTTTGCGCTGTAGTGGTGCGGCGTGGGCGGTCTACTATCTGCGGTCTGCGGGCTGAGCTCATGGCGACCCCACCCCACCGGCTTTTCGCTATGCTGCTTCATCATCAGCGGTGAGTGTCTCTGAAAAATGACGACAACTGACTAGGCCTGGGCGCTTACACCTGGTCTTTTTTTTCTTTCCCTCACTCTCTTGCCTCTACTGGGTGCTTGGGGGGTGTCAATCAGTCTCGACTCACTTGCTATCCGGTCAATTGGCAAAAGAGGGACCCTAAATCTTCAGCGGGCAATCTTGTCTTGTGTGTTTTGGTGTCTTTCAACTATTTCGATGCCTATCTACAGCATGGTTACAGAACCCCCCCTTCTTCGCTGACAGTAAATGACATGCCCTTCCCCCCCTGGCCCCTGATTTTTTGCCAGCAAAAAAAGACGCGACAGGAGGCAAAAGCAATGACCAAGCCAAAAATACACATGACAAAAGTAGCTTCACAAGAGGGAGACTTGGCGCAAAGGAAGCTCAACAAGGTGAGGCGTCGCTGTCACAGCGTCGCAGTGTTACAGAATGGGACAAGCGCAGCTGCTTCCTTCCCACATCAATGAAGGAAGGCGTAGACAGGGGGCAAGGGGGGGTGGGATGGGGAGGGTGGCAGGAGGGGAGGCCGGTGAATTACGAAGGAAGGAACGAACTCTACAAAGTGCACCTTGGGCAGTCACAACTGACGAGCCAGGCACACGCGCATTTGTTGGCAAAAAATTAGCAAGCATATTTTTATTTCATGTTTTTTTGCGCTTAGAACCGTATGGAAAGAACGACGCAAAAAAAGGCACCGTCATGTATCGACGCCCAAATATCGCACCAAGGTGACATCCAGAACGCTCGCCTCTCCACTCCGCCGCAGAAGGCCGACGCCGAACGATACCACGATGATGCAAACTACCTGAATCCCAACCTCCAATTCCCCTGCAAGCTTCACTTCACCTCCTCACCGTTTCTTCCTTGCCTTGATTTGCCCTTGCCTTGCCTTGCCTTATCATGTCGCCGCAACTGGACGATACTCGAGCATAGCATAGGCACAGACAGCGAAACAAGGCTCGTCTGACGCCTGGTGTGTGTACCTCATCGGGTGGGATGAAGCTAGCCTTGCAGCTAATTTCGATTACCTAGGCGCTACCACAGTTGAAGACGCACTTTTTTTTTTCCTTCTCTTATCCTCCGCCGTCGATGTGGACCTGTGCTCATGAGTTGTAATCCAAATCGCCTCTGCCTTGCTGTTCGTGACGCCGCCCAGGGGGTTTGACAGCCTTTGTGCCTGGCCCTGCACGCCGCGGCCACCGCTGGCTTGATGCATCGATCCCTTACAAACCCCGATACAACATTGTAAATCCTTAATCGGACTTGGAGGGCCGAGAATCTTGGCTCGCAGCTCGCAGCCGGGCCGTACCCCTTGCCTTACGGAAGTCTTCCTGACTCAACCGTTAATATCGTTCATCTGTAACAATTGTCTCCTAGCATGGCATCTTTTCATCAGATACTTTAATCATGCCCGATTGCGCTAATTCTACGGTCATGGCCCGATTTCCGGTGTTTCTTGCACCCTCCTCTCTCCTAAGCCATCCAGCCACCCAGCCACCCCCGGAACCCAATTCCCTTGCCAATCGAGCCAGAGATGCTTCGCTCTTATATCATCCCACGCGCCCCTGAAGCCAAACCAGCCACCCTACGCCAACGCCAACCCCATTCTGTTCCTGCCGTCAGCTGCTGCAACTACCTCTCTGACAAGAAGGTCCGACCATACAAGTCTCCTGTGGCTGCTGACACAACAGAAACAACCATCTCGAGCCGAGCGTCAGACTTACCTCCCTCCAAGCAAATTTGCCTGCCTCCGTCACCTGACCAAGCCTGGAAAGAAAGACACTAAATACGTCTTCTCCTTCGACATTTGAAATCATCGGGTTGCAGACTTATAATTATTGGTGGCGGCATACGTTCCGCACCAGAAAGCTCTGGCTACATCTGCCCGTCGTTCCACCAATTTATTGTCCAGCCCAATCTATATCTGGCACAGTTGTTTCCCATAGCTCAACTACTCGTGAACCCGTCTCAATCTTGCATCCTACCACGCCAAAAGAAATATGCGGGGAAGAAGGGGTAGAAGCTCCGGGCTTAGTCTGGGACGGTCCCGAATGAGACAAAACCATGGTCCTCGTCGTCTTTCGAACGAAATTCGACCCTCAACCCTTCCAGAGCCTCAATCTCGTACACCCAACGAAGATCAGTCTGTCTCTTTCAGACACACATCTCTACCCTCAAGTACGAGCCACTCCATAATTGATGTAAAAGCTCATTTGAAAGTAAATCTGATCGTTGTCGCAAATGGCGCGCAAAACCCCAACCAATTGAACCCCTTCGTTTGATAACGATCGACTTGCCCAGCACATCCCTGCCCTACCTCTCACCTTGTCAAGCGGGTGTTCAACCGATGTTGTAACAAACACACAAAGTCTCAAACAGCTGAGCTTTCCCGCGTACACGTGCCTCGAAGTAAACTTCTCTCAAAGCACCTCACGCGGGAATCTCATGTATACCCCCAAAGACAAGGCGCAAACTGAGATCAAGTATCCAGACAAGAGACGTTCATGGCGCGTGCTGTTCTCGGGAAAAAAATGCTTCGGAGGGTGACCCCCAAAGTTTCATCGGTGTATGATTTCGTTTCTTTTGCGACCGCATCGCTTTCAGGGGTTGACGCGAACAGACCCCCCTCCATCCCCGGACTTAACCATAGATCGACGTCAGAGCACGCGCACGTGTCAAACATCAGACGCAACCTCGCCGTTCCGTTTCAAGTCTCATCTCGAGCGTTAGCCTGACGCGATTATTACATACTGTCAGTGCCCACAGACCAAATCTGTTTGGGCATGAAAATGTTCAGCCGATGATACGCCGCCGGAGAAGTTAGCTTGGATTTCATCAAAAGTCTTGCTGACTTCGCTCATTATCTGGAGGTGAGAGCTCAGATGACTGGATCACGGTGAACAACCCAACGAGTGGCATTCATATGATGCGGAGTGAATACGTCGCGTGAGTTTAGAATGAAATTCCATTGACATGGACTCATTTGAAGCTGCCTAGTGTCGTTTGTCCATCTCAACCACCATTCAGATGAGTGTCGTATGTGAGTGAGCTGTAGCTAGGCTCTCCCACGCAGACGTATCCGACTACAACCCAATCCGACAACCCCTCAACTGCTAGCCATCACGATGACCTTATCTTATACAGAGAACTGATTATGAGCATATTGAGTGTTTAGTTCAACGAGTGCCCTCATTTGTACCCATGTAAAATGAATCCACATGCCATCTTTCAACTTTGCCTCCAGTCACATTCTAGACTGCTTTCTGACCAACATGCTTCCATCGGCTGTACTCCTGAAATAGGACCACAGGCGCCCTCTTTTCCGCTTGGAAATACAGCTCTCTCACAGAGGAAGTCGTCCATCATGATGCATTTACAAGACCCGAGAGAGATGCCTGGCCACCGCCACTGACAAATAACCCAAAGTGACCGAAATGGGCAGGAGACAACTCAGTCTACTCTTGACAACCTGCAACCCCCCAGTGAATCCCGAAGATAAGAAGAGAGTAAACTGAACGCCGAAGAAAGCTGGAGCATATACAGACGTACGCAAGCACACTTCGTCTGCACGCATCAGGTTCGACCTGGCATTTCCACGCGATGACGACAGCCATCCCCGACACGGCTGGACGTCAGGAGTACCGAGTGACTGGCGGATCATGTCGTGTTATATAATCCGGAGCGGCATATTGTTCGGACCCCTCAACCGCAAGAGAACCTGCCTGGACAACATCACCACCTGTTATCGACATCTTGGCCTCGAGCGGGGTTGGGGTTGGGTTTAACCAAGGCCCTGTTGAGAATCTCACGGAAACGGGAGGCAGTAAAGCTGCAAACTTGAATCACATTCTGGACACGTTGAATAAGAAGAAGAATGAATGCTACGATTCGCATGTTCTGGACATGTTGTTGTGTGTGGGCCTTATATTTCGTCGCCTTCTCATGTTTCAAATACGGACGCGGGGGAGCAAATGCCATCTCACCTTTACAGTCAAGCCTGGACATCCCGACACCCGAGTTATTTTTTTCCTCGCGGGATACACATTAACAGATGGAGCATTAACATACCCAACCCTCGATCGCTCCGTCAGTATTATTCTACGCCCATGTCATCGTTGTCGTATCGGACACGGGAACAAGTCGCCAAGCATCACCCCCCCCCCCTTTCCCAAGCTCTGATCCCCATAATAAACATACCAACCCATCATCCGTACCAACGCCATTTCAAATAGAAACCCTCGGGTTTCCTTTTGGTATTTCATAAGGCAAACGTCAGGTAACGTACCGTCCCCGACGGTCATGGGTGAATATCAAAAAAAGAACGGGGGGAAGAAATACGGTAAAAGCCAAAGAGCGCCAGTCCCATCCAAAATCCATCGCCATCACCTCTGTTCTGTTACGCAATGGTAATCTCCCATAACACCGGCAATCTCCGACGGAAGTGAAAAGCCTGGAAACGGGTGGTCTGCAACCTCGGTGCTATAGCCAGCCTACCGATGAATGATGTGGCAACATCAACATTCAAGACCAAAATATCGACTTGAGTACTAGGGGTATTTCTCTCGTGCTGCTGCCTCCTCTTCCTCTCAATCACATATCACTTATCCATGGTTACTTTTCTCCCATATCACGGCATAGCCCTTTAATACAATATATAGTGTACCAATGTATTGTTCCCCAATCCCTACAACCCCCATGTGTATATATATATGTGTGTATGCGTCTAAGAAATTCTCCACCATGCATTCGGCATTCAACGCCTCTGAGCCGGTCTCTCTGTCTGTGTCTCCCATCAAATGATCCGTCATTATTCATAAGTATACAATGCAAATAGGTATTAATGTTTCTTGGCCAATGCGGTCGGTGTGCTGTTGTGCCATATTTCAAAAGTCCGAACAGAAGAGAAGAAAGAAAAAAATAAAGAAGAAAAGAAGAAAATCAAAACCCCCTCTTAGAACCATTTCCAGTTCACGCCCTCCTCTAGCTTCTTCAAAACACCAACGGCATCAACGTAGAGTCGACTGCGCCCGCCGATGCAGTCCATGTCAAGCCATCTTCGAACCAGCGTCACAACGGTGATAGCATCCTTCTTGGACCGGAGCTTGAGGACGTCCTTGGCGCGCATACTAGCGACAGTGCGCATCCATCGTAGCGCAGAACTCTCGTCGCCTGCTTCGTTGCTTGTATTGTAGCCGTTTTCTTGACTGCGGTTGGTCCGATGTCCATAGGCCCAGCAGATCAGCGCGCAAACGTACATGCCCCAGTAATCTGAGATGTCGTCCTTCCACATCCTCGGGCGGCCCATCTCCCAGACATCCATCTCCTCATCCTCGTCGCAATCTTCGTCCGCATTGCCATGCTCCGTGAAGGCGCGGAGGGCACGGCAAGCAAACACAACCGCAACGGCAGCGTCACGGGAATCGCACCATTTGCTGAGGCGCTTCTGGTGCTCTGCAAAGGACTTTGGCTGGAGTACCTTTTGGCTGAAGATCCAGGAGTCACCAGAGACCGCGAGAAGGTCATGGAGGGGAGTGTGGTGGAGGGCAAGATAGGTATTTGCGACTGGGCATTCGGGGAAGATGTTGGCCATGCGATAGGTTTCGGGCTCTGTCACCTCGAGGGACACCTTCTCTGTTTCGTCTCGGGTGGGCAGGAGAAGTGACTCGAATGCCAGGATGATAGACCGGTCGAAGGGGACATGGGCGTTGATGCTTGTTGAAGATAGGGTATCTGGGTTGATGAGCGACAAAAGGGATTGTTCGTTAGAAGTATCACCCTTGGAAGCGACCATGGCAGACCAGGCGTCCGCGCTTGCCGCTTCCCAGAGGTCGTTAGTCGGGCCGGTGAGTGGAATTGGGGGGATGCCGCTGGCTGCAATATCGAAGTCACGGACGCGTTGTTGCTCCAGGTAGACCGAGGTGTGGCTGTCCAGCACGAAGCAGGCAGCGAGGAGCCGGCGGCGGGTCTCCATGTCGAGCCAAGTGTGCCATCTGACGGTGTTGGGACCAGTCATGGGCACCGTGCCGAAGATGACCGAGTTGTCGGATACCTGGAATGAGGGCTTAGAATGCTGTTGCTAGGAAGAAGATATCCAAAATAAAGAAGAAAAAACGAAATGATATCACTTAAGGCGAGAAGCTAGAAGAGAATGAAGTAGATCAAAGAATGAAATAACCACGGAAGGGAACTTACTCTAGAGTAAATCGATTCGAATTCTTTAGATGGCCTAATGGCCGCTCGTCTACCGCGGAAGCGGGCGAAGAACTCACACAGCAAAATCGATTGCATGACAGGCACATCCCATTGGAGGAACTGTAGATCCTGTATTGTCAGAAGAAATCCTTTTATCGCACAGGGTGGTTTGCACTTACGCGCCTGGATTGTTGCCAAGCATACTCATGCAATTGACTCCCCCTGATGCGATCCTCTTTGGCACTCATATACTGAGTAGCCACTGCAGCCATGGCACAGCGGAGCACGTCAACCTGCTCCGCCGCGGCCTCGAAGGTCCTTCGATGTACGATAGGAAAAACGTGGTGAACCTTTTCCCAGTAGACCTCAAGGTAGTTGGGGATGGCTTTGTATACATTTGCAGGAGGCAGAGGCAGAGAGCCTTGCATCAGGGTTGGGGCCGCCAGGAGGCCCAACGCCACCTCTTTCTGGCGGCCCAAGCAAGCTAGTGAGTTCATCATCCGGTCTGATGGTAGTGCCGTCGACGGAGTGACTAGAGTTTCAGAAGATTGAGCCGATGCCGATGTCACCGGCGGGGTCGGGCTACGAACAGTATTGGCAAACCGTGATTGTTGGTGGGGGTCGAGGAGCGTGTGCTCATCTGAGAAGCCAGACATGGATACGTCAAGTATCGGGAATACTTGGTTGGCGTTTATTTGCGGTGAAGTCGAGAACTGGTAGAACATTGGAGTTGTTGTCGCGATGGCATCGAGGTTGGCGTCTCTGTATGGCGGAAGAAGGTTACTTTGCCATTCAGTATTGGCTCTTGCTGTCGGCCAAAGCGCATTGCGACGCGAGTTGTCAGAAGGTGTAGAGTAAGTGCTGTCGGAAGCGGAAGACTGCCATCCAGCGTTGTCCTGAGTATGAGAGAGCTCCGGCGGACCGTCCGATGCAGGCAGTTGAATGCCGAGCCCGTGAGTCTGCAGGTATAATGGGGGAAACTCAGGTGTCGTGCGAGGCTGGCTGCTGTAGTCGACGGTAGAGAAAGTCGGGGTGGTATCATAGCCGTGGTTGGGCGAATGCTGAAGGATGGGTTGCTGCGACTGGCCAGACAAGGTGTAACCCCCGCCGTAGCCAGGACCACCGGATGAAGGGCGGTAGTCGTTGCCCATATGAGGAGACAATGACTTTCCCACGTCAGGTGCACTAATTGATTGATAAGGGCCCGAATTCGAAATGTTCGGCGTCATCGGAAGGTTTGAATTCGGAGTTGAAGTGTTTGTTGGGTATCCAAGCACAGGTGGTTGAAGTCCCAGGGCCCGTACACCACCTTCCAGAGAGCCGGCAGACGTTCGTCGGCTCTGGCTTGCACCTCCACTTCTCGATGCCCTGTCTCCTTCCAGCTCGCTGAAGTGAGTCAGTAAATGTAATCAATATTCAAGTCTTGTCCGAATAAAGGAAAAGAACATACTGTCGTTGTTGATGGCGCTCAAGTAAATCCTTGCGATGAAACGCCCTGTCGCATCCTGGCACAGAGCACGCGTACTGTGGGGTGTCGTGACTGAGCTGGTGTCGCCTAAAGCATATTTGTCAATCCAGTTGAAGCGGTTACGACGCCGCGCAATGTCTTACCTCAGGTGTTCCGCGCGAGTAAAAGTCTGAGTAAAGTCAGAACATGTCTTGAGTCACTCCGAGTTGTCAGGCTTACCTTAGGAGGACGGCAGATATCGCAAGTATGGACTTTCATACCCTTCTTTGCCCGACTGACCCTTCCGGTGATGGGAGTCAGTTTGACGGGCATTTCTGATCCGGACGGCGAGTGACTGAATGGCCTCGTGGGCGGAACAGAAGGGTCATATGCGCCAGATGATGGGCCGGCATAACCGTGTGCGTAGCTTGACGGATCCATGGTTTCGGGACTAACGTTGCTTCGTCGACGAGTAGTAGTAGGCCGGCCGGACGAAGACGACGGACTGGTAGAAGATTTGGTGGCCCGTGATGATGGACTGCGTTTCTTCGTTGTCGTTAGACTGTCTGGTTGTTCTCCGCCTGTCGCATAACCCGAGTTGTATGTTGGACTGGGTGCCAGATAGGGTTGGTGATATATGCTTGACGAAGCCGGGAGCTGGTCCTTCTTATTGGTATGGGAGTCGAGTTGGTCCTCATCGACGTTCATGATATCCTGGAGGCTGGCCATGGTTTATGGTGTCCACAACTGGGACGTGAGGAAGGTAGAGGAGAGGCAGAGCTGTGGTGACCAGAGTGGGAAAATGCAGAGGAATCAAAAGAGCCAAACTTAGTAATACACAGCCCAGCTGAGTACTCTCCTGGGAATAGAGCGTTCGTGCAGAGTATGGAGATGGAAGCAACCCCCAACGTCCAGACGCAGTGTGAATGGGGGGGCAGAGCAATCAGGGTCCAAGAAGGGGGGTGTCGGTGTAGAATGAAAGGCTAACTAACTGGGGGGGAAGGAGAGGCAGTAAGGTACGGACGGTAGGGCAAGAGTTGGGGCGGTTACTTGGACTGTCAGCCTGACCAACAAGCGGGGGGGGGGGTTCAGGGTTAGGTCAGTAGGTAGAGGTGCAGGCAAGACCGGATTGCAGTGCAGGCAGAGTGGGAGCAGGAACAGTTGGCCCTAAGCGATCTCCATATGCAATGGAACTGAACGAAGAATAGAGACAAAGATAGTGTTGGTGCTGTTGGTGCCGGTGGTTGGAGACATTGCTATATTGAGAAGAGGCAGATGCAAGTGCGCGCGAGTGACAGAAGAAGGGGAAGATGACAGCTCTTCAAGGAGGCTGTTCTCAGAGGCCTCTATCCCCCTGTCAGCTGTGAACATGGGTGCTCAAAGGTGTTGGACATGGAGGTTGCTTAAAAAATGCAAGGTACTCCTTCAAAAGGGTATTGACCGAGCTGGGGTTCGGTCACCCACCACAGTAAATGGCCTCGGGTTGATTGGTAGGGTGGCCAGATGCCTGTCATACGACTCAGCCCTCCAAGGCTGGTAGACGGGGGCCATGGGTCCCACGCAGCGTCTCCCCGAATTTGAATGCAATTTTTGCCGCGATGCTACGGAATGAGCGCGTCTGGGATCGTCTCGTCTGTCTCGTCTGTCACGACGCACGACGGAAAAGCCGCGGCAAGATGAGGTAGCCGCGGATGGAAACCATGGTGATGATGCCTCTTTTGCATCGTGTGTCCGTGTCTCTCCTCCTGTCTCAGTAGATCAAGACAAGATCGTGAAATCGATCGCATGTCGGCGAACCCCAGGCCCACCTAGTTCGCTGTCTGGCAGACGCCTCATTTCGCGGTGGTTTTGGACGTTGATAGGGCACATTGAGCGCTGACACAGGCCCTGCCGGCGGTGGAAAATGCTTGTAATGCAGAACAAGGCCGCCATTCCGTGGAGAGGGAGTGTGAGCCCTCAATGGGGAATAGCGACATGCGGTTATGGCGTCACCGTGTAGATACGAGAGAGAATAGCGGCGCCAGATGGAGCGCGGTCATTCCGTTTCCCACAGTAGCGGCCGCTAGCGTCCGTGGTGGAAAAGTGGCTGTGACTGCGTCTTTTCTGGGGGAAGTGCTGTAGAGACAACACAGCAGAGAGTACGGATACACTGCAAGTAAAAAAAAAAAAAGTCAGACGAAGTGAGGCGCAGCCGCGACCGTAAATCGAACCGTTGTTATTGCTGTGCATTGCATGAGTCGGTGTCCCTGTCCAACCCCCCCTGCTAGACCAGCTTTCCCTTTTGGGATTTTGACTTTACAGGGAATGTAACGGAGCAGCGAAGGCAGCAGCATAGTGACTGGCAGCCAACGGTAATAGGCAGCGTCGCACGCTCCGTCCAAAATGATGCCAGCTCAAACTCCCCCACTGGTCGAGGATGGCTGACTGCGTGATGAGGTCGCTTTTGCTCACTGCGACGACAACAGCACCAGCGGTGATGACGGCGGCGGCGGCGCATGTCTTGTTACTCTCGGCTCGAATATGATAAGCAACCACTCCTGCGGCTTGTAACTGGAGTCTTGGTGTCTCGATCTAATCTTGACGCATGTCACTTTCGGCCAGGGGGAGGGATCCCAACCGTCTGGCGTTCCATCACGGCGGCGCAAAGGGAGAGACATGTATGATGTCAGTCCACTCCGAGAGCCGAGGATGCTGACAAGTACTCAGTAAATTGAAGGAGTCGGCAATGATCAGCCCCAATTCAGGGGTTTGCGAAACCGTTTCCTTGTCCGTCATGTTTTCGACTTTGATCCGTATAATCTCACAAGTGACATTTTTTCACTGATCAACAGCAAAAGAAGCCGTATTTCGGAAGCCCGTGGGAAGCGAGGTCAACAACGGTCGCTAAAATTCTGACGTTCACAGTAATGGGGATTAGCCGAGCCGTTGGCTGGCGTGGCCAATCAAGAGATGATATCAGAGAAACGCCATGCAGCGTCCGGCCCGCTGAGAGACATGGGAGGGGCAGGGCGACGACAGGGATAGCCCCAACTCAGCGGGGATAGCAGGGGCTTAGACGCAGCCCAATAGCCCCATTGGTATTAAGGGCAGGACCACTTTGGCGGATTCCTATTTTTGTCCGTCTCGTCAACTTGGTGATGCTCAATATATCCCCATTCACAATCTGCTTGAAACGGTCGCAAAAGTGTATATCGAGTATCTGGGCAGCGAAATGGTGTGGTGGATATTTTGTGAGTGAGCACCTCAAAGGGAGATGAACACGTCGACGCTCAAGACACGCTAGAGACGACTTGCCTTAGCCTGGGCATGGGGAAGCAAGACCTTTTGGTGAGGCCCGACGTGGACGGTGGAGCATCCGAAAATGGGGCCACACCGACGGCTTGGGCCGACTGCAGGGACAACGGGTCCCGGTGGTAGTGTATCTCAATCAAGGGAGGGGAAGACGGGCATAGCGAAATGCGACCATGGGGAGAAATTCTTCAGTGTTTCAGTTTCCTGTTGTCCTTTTGACGGTAGGAAAAGCCCGTCGACATCTTGGGGTCCGAATCGGAGACATGGGTTCTCGGCTCGAGACGGAGACGGCCACGGCCCCTGTTGTTACCCACGGACAGCCGAGAGGATCACCTCCGGGAAGGGAACAATTATCAGGGGCTAATTGAGACCTGAACGGGTCAATTGGATGAATCGGGTTTGGGGGCCGGACCGACCGAACATGCCTCATGCGCGATATCTTGTTGAAACAGCAGTGTTGGTTGATTCAAGCCATCGAGAACGCAATTTTCCATCGCATGGGGATGGGGGCCTGTTTCAAGTTTCGGGGCATGAAGCTCATGTTGGAGTAATGAATTACTTGTTGGTTGTTTGGGTGCAGAGTAAGTGGTGCGAAAAACCTCACCACCAGGGCAAGGTGTCTTGGGGCTGAGCTGCAGTATCGTCCAAGAAGAGCGGGGAAAGCAAGCGGGACGGAGGAAGGATTTACGCCGATGATCTCGGCAATTTCACATTTTGCAGTTGGAGGATTCATTCCTACCGGATAGATTGCATTCGATCCTATTCGCCCTGTTCACATCGAGTCTTGTTATCGGAAGGAAGGAGCACAATCTTGGCCTTGCCTGGGCTGTGTGTATGTGCGTGAGTGTAAGGAGCCCCCATCAATTAACCGTGCCGCGGTTTCCAAATCGAAAGTAACAGTCTCCTACCATCTCGACACGCACGGGAAGGATTTTCTAAATCGACGCTATTCTTTCGGTTCCTGCTTTCACCTTCCTGAAGAATAATGACGGCCAAGAAGTCTCGACCTTCTACTAATAGACATCCAAGCTACCTCAAACTGCAGGGCCCCCAATTAACAATACCTTGAATGTGGTATTTGCATAGCATCACTTTTTTTTCCTTTTTTTCTTTTTTTTCTTTCCACTTACTTCATACAAGACGGGCCAACCTAGCAAACACCCCTGCGGCTTTATCGCTGAACTTTCAGCGTAACTTCCCGTCATTCCCATGATCTGATAACCATGAGGTAACAGCATATTGACCCTTCCGCGCTCTGTGGACACCATGGTGGATTCTTGAGAGCAAAACCACCCTTTTTGGGAATAAACCCCAAGACAAAACGAAGCTACTAGCAACAAAGATGCGGGATCTAGACTTTGTGCATGTGCATTGCATTCCCATCTACATGAACACCTTCCCCGCCAACGGCCATGTCAATAATTTCTCTAGTTGTAAGTATATCGTGGCCATCTGTCGCTTCCCTCTCAGCAACACCACATTCCGCTGTCGCTGCCTTACCAATTTCGGAAGTAACCCATGCCCCACTAGCCCAGAAAGAGCCTGCCATCCCTGATCTTTTCTGGCAGGGGCCGCCTAACCTCTAATGGGAAAGACCAGGGTCGGCGCTTAACCTAAGGTATTTTTAGTACCGTCTGAGCTCCGTCCCCGGCCTGATCCCGTCGGTTCAGCGTCGCTGCCACATCGTTGACATGGGGTGACAACCACACCAAATCCCCCCCTCCCCCCGGAAGACCAGCTGTCAACGGTGCGGCAACCCCATTTGTTCAAAGTCCGTTTGAATTAAACACCAGGCATGAATGTCGAAACGAATGCTTAACGTGGCTAATGCACATCAGCCTAGTGCTACCGCGATCCGAGTCTGATGCCAGCTTGCAAGTCGCACTCTCCATTGCGAACGAAAATTTTTTTGCGTCATGACATCGGTATGTTGCCGAGCGAGCTTCTGGAGCCCTACGCAAATTCCCCCCCCGCTCGCCCTTTTAAAGCGCCCTTTTAAAGTAGAAGGAAAGGGGGAAACAGACCCGCTTCAGCAGGATTTCAAGTCTTGTTTGTTTGTCATTTCGTACGTAGTACGTATGCTTCCCGGGAATCCTACGGTGCAACCGTCGATTACAATGCGACCTCGCAACTCACGCGGCGTGTATGGCATTAGAGAAGCTACGGATCCAATTTGGTACCTTGGCTGTCCATCGTTGACCGGTTTGTCTGCAGCCTGAACCAACCTACTGGTCCACACATTGTTGCTGCTGTCATCTGAACTTTTTGGCCGTCTTTTGCGGCAGCGAACCATGCGGAGAACCTTCTCCTCAACTAGTCCCACCCCTGATTTAGGCGCACAGCGGTGTTGCTGAGCTGTATGTATCCTTGCTCATTCACTACCTCGCCTTCTGCCATAGCCCGATCCACGGTGCATTGCATCTTCCCTTTTCATCATACTACAACAGTCACTGCATGTCCATAGGGCGAACAAGCCCCATGATCGACGGTTACGGATGCTATTGCTGTCGTCTGGCTGTTGCCCACAATTTTAACAGCCGAGCCTACGGCCGGTCATCCAGGCAGGATACAGCGGCTCTTTCCTCGGCTCACTGTCAGCAAGAAGCCATGAGGGAGGCAGTGTCACCAGTCACACCAATCGAACCAAGGTTGAAGATTACGGCAAATCGGGCGCCTACCATCATCGCCGTCTGGCTGCAAGTCATTAGTCGCTTCAAAGGCTTAACGAGCAGCTGTGAGCCATCTAGAAGGATGCTTTGCCGCCAGAAGCGCCGCCACGTTTATCTGTCGGAGATACGGAAGCTGTAACTTGCGTCATCAACCGTTCCAGACAATACTAGTTCGGCCACGAGTTGAAATGATTACATCGCTGCCTAGTGCAACCTCCAAGCAAATACTACCATGCTGCCTTTCGCTGTGGTCTAACGACTCAATTGGTCTACGCTTGATCAGTATCCGAGGGAGACGAGCACGCGGTCGCAATGTCGCTACATCGCTGTGAATGGACAAATGGGTAACTAGAAACTTGAGGCCAAAGCTTTTTTGCCGCAAGTCGGACCCAACAACGCGGCCCTGGACGTTCGTTCCTTCATGTTCCTGCTTCAGACTAAGGCAAGTTGACCATGTTCAGCACATGGCTAGGAGCCAATCCCATTGATTACTTTCCACCAATAACGCCACTTGCTGCGGACCAGTACCTTACTCAGCCAGGCATCAGACTACAGTTCGAGTATCGCCCTTTCCCACAACTCATCGATGACATAGATTGCATACGCTTTGCGATATGCACTCCACCTAAGTTTTGGGGGCAGTGCCTGGAACACCATCGACAAGCCAAGTCGCTCCTCTGCGTGGGGTAACACGCGATGCGGCTTGCGGCTCGCGGCTCTGGATATGCGCACTCCCTCCTGGCCATAGGATCAAACTCAGCCTTCCCGTCACGCATATCCCATCACAACCGGCAGACTCAGCCCCCCCAATACCCACCTTGGGTGTGTAAAGTCTTAGGACTAAGACAAGCCCTTTCTATTCGGATCGATGTCAACTGCCGACTAGGAGCGGGAACTCCTCATCCGGTGGAATCTTGAGTCTTGTTCAATGTTGCCGGCGTCTGGCGCCAAATTTAGCGCATACAACACTGCCAGTAGAGTGAGGTATTGCCTCTCTGGTAGGCGTTCGACCTCTCTCTGAAGCCTCTGACATCCTGGTCGACTCAAATCTAATGCGCCGTGCCTCGTGTTGAGCATGGGCTGAGTGTGCACATGCAGACCCCACGACACCATTCAGTTTCCATCATAATCGGCTGAGATTGTGCTCTACAGCTCAGATCAGCTTCAACCCAATTTGTCCATCTTAGCTCTCCTCGCGGCGGCTAGCAGATCGGATCAGAACACCATGAGAGCAATTCTGATGACTGTCAATGCATGATGTGCGTGACTTCACGCTGAAGAGCGCGTACCTGACATGTGCTTTACCTGTGCTGCAAGCTTGAAACCGACCCCAATGTGAGCTGAACGGAACTAATGATTCGAACCTCGTGTTCCAAAATAACGGAATCCTCTGAACAAGATGCCAGTTTACGGTACCCCTTCCATCCACGCCGAAAGCTGTGCCCTCCCCACCCCAGCAAGAGTATGGACCGATCGGAACACAGAGAACGGTTATTGCATGATATGATGATAAGCCAAGTATCATGAGATAGTACTGGCATCGCTGAAACAGTGTAATGGAATATGTCATCAATTTTCCCTTGCTTCAGACGACTACAACCCAAATACGCACCACAGCCTTCCTTCTGTCAATCAATGTCGTCAGCCTAAGAATACAGCCCTGATGGCCAAAGCCCACCCCCTCCATGACTTAACAGATATACTGTTGAAATAGTAGTGACCGGTAGATCGATAAGCCAACAAAGGCGGTCGTCTACGGGAAAGCCCTAGCGCCAACATTACATTAACTCCAGCCACCCGGCGCGGCGCCGCGCGCGCACGCCACTTCTCGGGCCTCGGAAACTGCGTCTCATAATTAAATGACCCATATTCCACCATGCCGTGCGTCTCGGCAGGCGGACCGGTGCGCCTCGTCGGACTTAAAATGATGGTACGGTTGTATCAATCTGCAGGGCATCACAGAGAGCCATGATGAAGAGAAACAGGGGGTGAAGAAATAGGCCGGAAGCCCGCTCAGACGCCCCCGTTTTGTCTGGAAAAGGTCATGATCTACCCAACTTTACTGCGGGTGGTTTGTTGGAGCCGGGGAGAAACAAAAAGCCCTCATGACTTGTGCCTGGCTAATCATACAGCCTTTACAAATTGCCTAGCGGGGCCTAGAACAAGGCCGGTTCTCTAGAGGAAGAGGGGGGAAAAGTACCTCTGCTTCCACGGAAACGGATGCGTGAAACTTGAAACATTTCGTTAGTTGTGCCGCAGAACCTGTGAAGAAGAGCGGAACCAACTGCATTTGGGGGCTTGCTCTCTTGATATCCCGTACTTATGGCAAAGGGCCCCCCCCAGTGCGGCTGGACTGCGAAAGGACGGCGATGTAATGGTCTCTGCTTCACTCGCGAATCAACCACCTCTCGGCGTCTACATCGCATCACATCACCAACTCGTTTCTCCCAACATGGTCACAAGTGGTTCGGGAAGCCAATACAATGAGCTCATTTTTTTTCCTTTTTTTTTTCTTTTCTTTCTTTCTTTAAGTCCAACGGCGTGACACACGATGTGATGCGATAACCTCCAACATCACCACCAGCAGCACCTTCCCCTTCCATCCCCTTCCCCGCCGCACCGTGATATTAATCCTGTCAAGTCAAAACATATGTAATTGGGGGCAACCGCTCGCCGCGCAGGGGCCAGTCCATCTCAAACAATCGATGAACGGTCCAACGGCGCGCCCGCACGGAGCTGTTGGTGGTTGCTGCTTTTTTGCGGCCCCAATGGCACGATCATGATTCGGGCCGGGCGGGCGTGGTTTTGTGTATGTGTATGTTGGCGCACGCACGCACGTACGCGGGGATGAGCGCGGGAAGGGAAGGGCAAGCGAAGGAGGGGGAGGGAGGGAGGGGAAAGAGGGGGAACGTGTGAGCGGGAAGAGACAGACGGCTCCTCAGCTTGTTCCATTTTCTAGGTACGTATGTATATGTGTGTGTGTGTATAGACGTAATACGTGTGCCTCGGCTTTTGAAGCTAGGTTCATCCCGGTGGTTGGAGCTCGAAAAAAAAGGTTGGGATGAACGGACTAGAGCAGAGCATTCTCTAGTTTGGTTGTCACGCGCTCTCTCTCTTGCGAGGAGGTAACTACGAGTCGTAGGAGTACGATAGGAGACGCGAGTTATAGACATGCTGTATTACAGATTGAATTCTCGGATACTGTCAGGTAAAGATGAATTTATAAGTTGAAATTTCAAACTTGGTCGTTTCGTTTCTTCGACAATTTGATTTTTTTTTTATTTTAAAAAAAAGGATAACATATTGTGATAACGCATCTTCTATTCAGTACCACGGGAGCGTAGAGAAGAAAGAAAGAAAAAAAAAAAAAGTCCCGGATGAAACGACAGACACACAAAACGCCATCGTTAAAAGAAACGACATAAAAAGCCCAACAGTAATAGATACACATTGCGATAGAACATTCCCTGACCTCATTTTTGTTTTGGTGAGCCGGCCACACACACACATCTCAACCCTTCATACTCTCCATGTCCTTCCGTTTCTTTCTCTCGCGCCTGGAGAAGACAACACAAAGAAACAAAACCCATCATCATGCCGCAAAATAATTAGGGGGGAGAAAAGGGGGGGTAAGAAGCATGACGTCCAAAGGGCGGGGGATTTTTTTAGATGGATAGACGGTTATTATGAAGCGCTCGCGGTGGCGGCGGAAGACTGCTGGGGAACGACGCGGCCACGGGGGCTCTTGCCGTCGCTCTCGGAATCGTCGTCGCTGTTGCGGTGCGAGGGGCTGTCCTGCTCTCTCCTGGACTTGGTCATCTGGAACGAACGTTAGCAAGAGGTTCATCATATGGGGGTTTAAAACCGGCACGGTAGGGGGGAACGCACCCAAGAACGGACACCACCGACGAGACCCAGGGCGTAACCCGTGATGAAGTCGTTGGACGTAGGGGCGGGAGTGCCGCCGGGTGTCGTTGGGGGAATCTCGACGCTGAGCTTGGATCTGCTCGCCGCGGCAGACAACGGGAGGTCGCCGTTCTGGATGTAGGACGTGCGGGCAGAGGGAGCGGGAGACTGCGGGCGGGAGGCAGGCCAGTACTGGCGCAGCTCGCGAGAGAGCTCCTGGCCAGTGGTAGACCAGTTGGTACGGATGTTATCGCGCAGCTCCTGGACGTGACGCTTGAGGTCGAGCTCGTTCTTCTTGAGCCAGCTAACGTTGAGCTCCTGGCGGGACGTGCCGCGCTTGAATTGACGGGCAATGTACTTCTCGTAGTCGCGGACGATCCTGGACGTGACAACGTTAGCATGTGTACCTTCTTTCGGAGGATATAGCGGTTATATGGAGAAGAAAAAGAAACGTACTTGGTGATGATGCCTGTCGTGCTCACACCCTCAGTGCGCTGCGTGACCAAGAACTTGCCGGCCTCCTTGATGGGTCTGTAAATGTCGTCGCCCTCGTCGGCGCCGTAGGGGATGTCGTCGTGAGCAACGTAGTCAATCTTGTGTTGCTCAAGGAACTCGGGAGTAACGATCCACGGGCAGTTCTCAATGACCTCGTCCACCCACTTGCAGTGACGAACGGTTTCGGCACGCTCGCGGCCGGAAAGCACGGTCAAGCCCTTGCGCTTGTGAGTGTCGACGTCGCCGGCAACACCAACGATCAGGTAAACGTCCGGGAAAGCCTTCTTGGCCTGCTCGAGCTGGCGCATGTGACTGGACAGGACCGAAAGTTAGCATTCATTCTACAAGGGTATGTGCGGAATAACAAAGCTAGCCTGAAGCTTGAGAAACGTACCCGAGATGGAACAGATCAAAGACACCGTCGGCGTATACTCTAACAGGCCTGCCCACGGGAGGGTCGTTGGTCCTGTAGCCGACGGGATGAGTGAGCTTCCCGATGGGCGGGGGTGGCATAGCATCTTCTGAAGCTCCGCCCTCCTTAATGGAGACCTGCTTGCGGTTGTTCTTCCGTCCGACGCGTTCCGCAATATCAACACTGGCTTCGGTGGTGTCGCTGGGCTCGCCGGGGTCGAGGGAGTGATCTTGCGCCGCCGTCGCATTGGCAGCAGCATTTTCGGGATGAGAGGAGCGCTCCGAGTTGGCGCGTTGCCTCTTAGACGGGTGGCCGCCGGCTGCAGATGCGGTAGAATCGGCCTTGCGGTGGCCAGAGATACGGCCGGACTCGGGAGCGGTGCTGTCGCCCTCCTCACCCGAGGCGTCGCGCGACGAGGCCTGGAGAGCGGCGTCAACGGTGTCGGCGGCGGAGGGCATTGTGGAGGTCGGGGCGGATGTGCGTTTGCGCTTGCCTGCTGCTGAAGAGCCTGAAGGGGAAGACATGCTGGGCGGGTTGAGGGTGTGGTTGTTTTAACAGGTTTTGTGGATGAAGGGCTGGCGGCAAAGTAGGAAGCGGTCTGATGCTCCGCGGGCGTGGAGTTTGGGGAACCTTAGGTAAGGCAGGGGGGTGTGTTCTATGGGTCGAATGAGGTGTTTGCTTGGTGATCGGCGGGTCACAGCGGATGTAGGAACGGGTTGATGTTGGACTCTGGAGATTCTATTCGGCGGGTGTGGGTGGTTCTCTGCCTTGGTTTTAGTTAGGAGGGGTGACGAGTGGTTGATGACGATGTATGTGATGTCGTGTAGGTTTGGGTAGAGTACAAATGGAGGGCACAAAGTAAGGACAAGACACAGGTCGAAAAAAGCTTGGCTCGGTTCGACAGGCCAGTAAGACGCACAGCTAGGTAGCTGGGACGGAATTGGATAGAAACTTACCGCTCTAGAGAGACTTCACAAGTTTACCTTTGGGCACCGGCGACACAAAGTTCAGCCAGTCCAGTAAGAGTAAGTGCTCGGGTGATTGGGTGATTGCAGGTTACTGGAGGAGAAGGAGGAGGAACCAGCAAGCAAGATTGCGCATATGATACGGATTAGACCTGCAGCTAGTGGGGTGGGAGCGTCTTGTCCGGTCGGCGGGATGCGGGCCACGGGGGAGGTTTAGGGAAGTTTAAGTTGGGGTGTTTAACGTATTCAAAACCCAAGTGACAGATGTTGATGATGGAATTAGGTTGACTGACTACACGTGTCAATCGCGGCTATCAGATTTGGTAGAGAGTTGCTAATGTGGGAAAAAAATCACAAGGGATACTTCTTGACCAAGAATCTTTTTTTTTTTTTTTTGGTCAAGTCGCGTGTCACGGTGGGAAAATGCCACGATGTCCATCGAGATTTCACCCATACACACACAAAATGCATACGCGGAGGAGCAACATGCCTGTCCTCCTCTCCTATCTCCCTTTTTCTCGGATTGCTCTTCGAAATTCGGGGAACCGGACAGGTAACCAACCCCCCTGCACTTGCTCCTCTTTTTGCCCCGACGGAGAACTGGGACAGTCCGAAAAGGAGAGGGAATCACAAGGAGATTTGTGCTGTGCTTGGTTGGATTTCGCCTTGCACATGCGTAATTGCCAGCGTTGTGCAAGGCAGTGGCGTCATCTTTGTGGCTTGAGCCCGACCAATGCACGCACAATTACGTCGGAGTGGTCGTGGCTTGCTAGCTCGGCCAATAGCTGCATGGGCGAGTAGGAGTTAAAAAAAATAAGAATAAATAAAAATAAAAGGTGCATCTAAGCGGGTCATTTCCACCCGGGCAGGGATGGTTCGAGATTTCTCAGTTCTGTTGGGGAGAAAGTGGGTTCTCTTCGCTCTAGTCGGTACGTACCGCAACCGCCCGTCCCATTAACCTGTTCCATGTGGGCAGAAAAAAAAAAAGGACCAAGAGAAAGAGAGAGGAACCGACGCGAACAGTGACAGAAAGTCGACACGTGGGCAGGTACGGTTGAACTCCGGTTCGATCCGACTTCTTCTTTGGAGATAGCAGCGTGACATGTCAGGTGACGAGGATCGGCTTTTTCTGAGCATCGGTCTACACTTTCCTGTAACACGATCGAGGCCTGTGCTGTAGCGAAGTGATTGAGACGAGACTCTCCTTGCATCGAAACGAATGGAAGATGCGGCTTTTTCTTTTGTCGTTCCATCGCCTTGTTTGTCTATTTTCGTTGTCGAAGGGGAACAATGCGAGGCGCATCGAATCAAATTTGGCCGGTTCATGCGGCTGACCCACCGCAAGAAAGCTTCTGCCAGAATGGAACGCCATGCATGGATCAACTGCCTTATTTTGATGATCAAGGGGACATGAGGCGGTCGACAATCTTGTCGAGGACACCTTCAGGTCGGGCTCTGGACCGGGAATCCGTCGTACGGTGTCGGAGGTGCGGGGTAGGCCGGTTGTTTAGTCGGCAGGTGGATACCGGACCACCGCCGACGTGGGCCGTGGTCGGAACCGAAAGTGACAAGTTTCGTGACTTGCAAGAGTTGCAACGCGGGTTGATACAAGGAGAAGTCCTATGCACCGATTTTACTTGATTTATCTTGCTTCTTCATCGGCGTACAGGATGCAGTTCTAGAATGCTCGGTCCACAGAGTCTTTAGCCAACTTCAGTACGGAGTAATGGTTATGTTTATGAGTAAACTCGGCTCAATGATTTTTTGTTAACCTGAATAATTTCCATTGTTGGCTCTTATTGACAAAAGTAAGAGTCATATTCCTATTCCATCAATAGTAGACGTGTGACCTTAACAACTGCTTCAAGTCAAGTGTTGTTGCCTCATCTACTCCATCAGCCCTGCCCATCAAGGTTCCCAACTTCAATGGAGCTATGAGAAACACCAAGACAGGGGGTATCACTATCTGTGATATCTTTCATTGGCTTACTCTGCCATTGTCTGCCGGCCATCAAGGTGTGTTCCAGAGAATGACATGCTCCCTCGTGACTCCATGACTGAGAAACATCCGGAGTCGGCAGTGTCGCCATGGTCATGTCAAAACCCCCTCTTACCCTCGCTGTCCGATTTTCCTTCAGATCACTTCTTACCCCGCGAAAATACATCCTTGAGTGAATTACTTTAGGGAAGCTTCGCCATGACTGAACAATTCATCCACGATGTTATCATCATCGGCGCCGGCCCCTGCGGCCTAGCTGTGGCTTCTCGTCTTTGCGAACACTCCCCCTCGGCCCTCTTCACAGACGAGGAGCATCAGCGCTACCACTGGATCCGCAAGTATGGACGCCGGATGCCGCTGAAGAACAGACGAAACGGCGGCATCATTGAGAAGAGAACGCCCAGCCAAAGCCAGAGATACTCGACTCTCGTTCTCGACGCCACGGGTGATGAGTGGCTGAACAAATGGAACCGCCTCTTCAAGACCTTTGACATCACCCACCTTCGCAGCCCCATGTTCTTCCATGTCGATCCAATGGATCGGGATTCCCTGTTGGCCAGGGCACATGAGCGGAACCAGGAAAATGAGCTCGTTGAACTCCGGGCCTGTGTTGGTAAGGAGATTAGCAAGCATCTGCGCAAAGCCAGAGTAAAGTCGCGGAACCCAAAGTAAGTCCTCTGATCCCATACTATATACTTAAAGCCGCTAACACGCCTTAGACAACATGCTGTCGTTGAGGTAGACGAACGAGACAGGAAAGACTACTTCACTCCACCGACTACGCTATTCGCAAACCACTGCGAATGCATCGTTGACCGTTACGGTCTCCGCGAGGGGCTGATCCAAAACGAGAAAGTCCAGGACATCGAGTACCGCATAATCAAGCACGTGTCTCCCGATACAAATCTGTTTGCAGTACACACAGACAAAACAATACACTACGCCAAGGCAGTTGTGCTCGCTGTCGGTCCCGGAAACGCGCCCACTATCCCGCCCGTCTTGGGCCTCAACAGCGTGCCTGGTTCGGCTCCCCCGCAAGCCTGCCACAGCATGCAGATTCAAAAGTTTCCGGACCCGGTGGTCCAGGCTAAGATTTCGGCGCGGAAGAGTACCAATGTGCTTGTTGTCGGTGGGGGGTTGACCTCGGCACAGCTGTCGGATCTCGCCATCCGAAGGGGTGTCACGAAGGTGTGGCATCTTATGAGAGGCCCGTTGAGGGTGAAGCCTTTTGACGTGGACCTTGCATGGATGGGGAAGTTTAGGAATGTCGAGCAAGCGTACTTCTGGTCTGCTGACTCTGACGAAGAAAGGCTGCAGCAAATCCAGAGTGCCAGAGGCGGTGGAAGCATCACGCCGCCGTATCACAAGAGGCTGAAGCATCACATCGCCAAGGGCTCTCTGGCACTGCACACCAACACGAAGCTGGTGGAAGCAAATTTCGATGAAGAGAAAAAGGTGTGGAATTTGCGGACTGAGCCGCCAGTAGAGATGCCCGGGATGGATTACATTTACTTTGCTACTGGTGTGCAGACGGATTACTCTAGTCTTCCATACTTGCAGACCATGCTGCAGGATTATCCGATCCACGGCCACGGCGGCATGCCGTGTATCAATGATGATCTAATGTGGCAAGAAGGAGTGCCGTTATTCGTGACCGGCCGGCTTGCTGCACTGAGGCTTGGTCCTGGAGCGGGCAATCTTGGAGGCGCAAGGGCGGGTGCGGAGAGAGTTGCATGGGCAATTGAGGATCTGATCCCAAATCGGACGGGTGAGACGTCAGATTGGGATGAAGGGGAGGAGATGAAGTTTGTGACGGGAAGAGGCAATAGGTTTGATAGTCTGGTGTCCGCCGGCGAGGACTGGTGAAGACATGTGTCGACCAAGAAACTTGAATTCTCGCTCATGACCAGTGGTTCATTGTGACTGTTGTAAGCGTTGATCGGCACGGGGCTGGCTCAATAAGAAGCATCACTGGGCATCTTGAGTCGGCGGCTATGATGTCGATGTCCAGCTTGCCATTCTTCCGGCCTTTGTTTGCCCGACCGTGTTAAATGAGGACCAACATATTTTCTCTCGTAGCGCACCAAACCGAGATTGGTTCTTGAATCTCTCTGGGCATTGTTTCTCAGCGGCTCAGCCAACGTGTGGTTTGTGTTCAGACTGCGGCTTGACCATTTCCCCTGCAGCAAAAATCTCCCCGCATATACCAAGGTGGGTTTTCCGGCGGCGCGTTAAATGAAGGACGGGGGCATGCGCCGAGTTGGCTCAAGCTCCGGACCGGGATGGCACTCCACCTCGCCCCCGGATTCATCGGGTCTCGGGTGAGCCAGTGTTCAGCGCTCTTTTCTTCTTGCTATGAATCATTTCAGGCTTTGACTCCTGTGACGGACAAACAATCCAATGTTTTCTTTTTTTCTTTCTCCGTTAAAGTTTACCGTACGCAAAGCGGCATTTGGCGTAGACGGCTATCTTTCCATCACATCTCATTAGTTCGTTGAGCCCGTCGACAGTTGCTCCACCGCCGCCTTGGCGCATACCTTGAAACGGTGCGCTTTCCCCGTTCCTGACAGTCAGCCAGTGAGGGGGGGGGGGGGGGGGCAAATGAGCCTCCCGAGGAGATCTACCATAGCATCCCCATCTTTCTTTTTTCTTTCATTTTCATTTCTTGGGTGATGGAGTTTTCTCTTGGACGCTGTTTCACCAGTTAGTGGGCTTGGCGGAGCCGCCCGGTAGCAACCGGATCGTCCAATATTCTCATGACACACAGGGTAGTGATGTCGTTTTATTGGCTCGCCGTGTCGTTCTCTAATGCCAACTTGCGTGTTTTCAGCAGGTGTCATAGAAACAGTAGGCCGTATCGGGAGACTCCTTCGTGCTGGTGGCCTTCTTGGCCCTGATGCAGGTACCCGCAGGTCATCACAAACTGACCAAAGGGGGCGACAGCCAGCGATAAATTTCCAAGAAATAATTGGAGAGCTTTCAGGTGAGGCTCCAGTTATCACTCTCTAGACCCAGTCCTTTGATTCTTGGCATCCTTCGAGGACTCCCTCGGGAAATGGTCCAACATGAAGCTGGATGAATAAATGGTGATGTCGAGCCTCTGTACTGTCAAGAATTACTCCCCCTTTTGCTGTGTTGTTTCTCTAGTCATTCATTTCTGTTTTTAGAGTGCATTCATTCATTTACACATTCGTTCTTTTACTTCCAAGCAAACATGAAGACCTCTGTCATTCTCTCACTTTCGGCGCTGAGCGCCGTTGCCGTCTCCCAGGCGACTCTTTACGGCCAGTGTGGAGGGTATGTTCTCTTTTCCTCTTTCCAAAATCACATCTTGTCCCCGTGTCTGCTGAAGATTTTTGATACCGAATGGAAAACATGAAGCTGATTCCGTCCTCAACAGGCAAGGCTGGACCGGCCCTACCACCTGTGTCTCCGGCGCCACCTGCGTCTCTTACAACGAGTGGTACAGCCAGTGCATCGCTGGCGGCGACAGTGACGAAACTGAGCCCGAGCCCGAGCCCAGTGCCGAGCCCAGCGCTCCCCAGGTCTCCTCTGCCGAGTCCACGGCTGCCCCTACCGCCGTCGAGGAAGACGACGACTGCTCCCCTGCCGTCACCGACCCCCCGGCTGCTCCGTCAACCGTCGACGAAGCGCCTGCCCCCACCTTCGTCACCGAGGCCCCATCGTCTACCTCCGAGGCCGCCGCCGTTACGGCCACTTCTTCTGAAGAGGACGAGGCTGAGCCTACCACCGAGGCCCCTGTTTCTGAGCCTGCTACCACTCTGGCCACCGCCACCAAGCCCGCTACCACAGTCATCGCCGCGCCTTCGGGAGTCACCAAGACCCTCCCCCAGGCTGCTGGTACCGTTGAGACAGATGCCGCGATTCCCGTTTCTGGCGAGTTTGACGGTGGCATGAAGCTGTACGACCGTAACCGTAAGTGCCCTTGCTCCTGTGAAAAACTCACCGCAGAGTGCTGACTGTGATACAGCCAAGGTCTGCAAGGACCAAAGCGAGACGGGCGAGAAGGACGCCATGTTCATCCTCGAAGACGGCGCTACTCTCTCCAACGTCATCATCGGACCCGGCCAGGCTGAGGGTGTCCACTGCAAGGGAAGCTGGTAAGTCACTCCTTTTACCTCACCCTTCCATCCACAACCCATCCCACTAACGAATCACCTAAACAAACAGCACTCTGATCAACGTCTGGCACTCCGACGTCTGCGAGGACGCCATCACGCTCAAGCAAAAGTCCGGAACCTCCAACATCATCGGTGGCGGCGCGTTCCACGCCTCTGACAAGGTCGTCCAGTTCAACGGCCGCGGCACCGTCTCCATCAAGGACTTTTACGTCGAGGACTACGGCAAGCTCGTTCGCAACTGCGGCAACTGCAAGGACAACGGCGGACCTCGCGACATCATCATCGAGAACGTCGTCGCCGTCGACGGAGGCGTGCTCTGCGGCATCAACACCAACTACGGCGACACCTGCACCGTCGCGGGCTCGTGCCAGAACGCCGGCAAGAGCTGCGACCGGTACACGGGCAACTCGTCCGGCGACGAGCCCAAGAAGATTGGCAGCGGCCCGGACGGCGAGTTCTGCACTGTCACGGGTCTGACTGAGACCTGCTAGATGGATGTGGTTCGATTTGGGGTGGTCTTTGGGAGTGGACGTGGGTGTGTGTGTGGGTTTGGATGATGGGGAGATGAGGATGATTCTTCGTGTGTGTTAAAAAAAAAAACTTTAGTGCGTATACCCTTCTTATGAGCAATCTCTTTGAATATACTAGCCCAAGGCGCTTGATGAGCTACAAATGGTATGACGACACGTGAAAGACGTCGATTGTGAAGCTTCAGTGTGAAAATGATCATCTATACAGCGAAACTGGAATAAGGCCTTACCAAACGAGAAAAGTGATTAGTCGAACTAAGTTTCAATATTCCAAGTAGATTTTCTCACAATTACATTTATAGGTTGAATAACAAGCTGGAAAATTGAATAGTTAGCCATGCCTCAGCTGGTAAGAAGCCAAAGAGAAGTCTGTCAAAACCTATTCATCGTCAGCGCCCGCCTGATACGGCTTCGAACATTCAAAGTGCCAGGTAAGAAAAAGAAACGTTTCCCAGCAAATCCGTACTCATAAAAGAGGACTAGGGACGCCATTTTCTCCGGACGTGGTCGGCACAGAGGTAGTCCGTAAAGCGGCCTGCGGTCCGCCGCGCCGGCAGCGAATCGGCACCCGGTGACACCCCACCCGCAATAGCCGCCGTGCCGCCGCGCCCCCATCCTCTTTGATCGACCGCCGACGTCAACAGCCGTCTGTCCCCACTGTATCATCCATCCAGCATGACCAAGGTCCTTTCAAAGTTTTTGGTGTGCCGGCAGCATCATTCCCACCGCCGATCGGTTTCGCCTTCATCACCCGCCCTGAATCGTGTGCCGCTGTATCCTTCCCCTTCGTATTATGCTTACTGGTAGAGTGGCACCCTCTGGCCAAGTATTCCAAGTTTCTTGTTCCTGCCATGCAGGCATGGCCTAATCTTTCCATGGCAAGAAAACTCAATCATGGCCATTTTAAGCCGTACCTGACTGGGCGGGCGGGCAGTCATCGTCAACTTCGGACAAAATGAGTGCTTCGCCTCACTTACCACGCACACAGTTCGTCGTAAATAACTTATCCGGGTTTTGGACGAATTAAAAAGAATAACAAGTACAGCTCAAGCTGTAGCTATAGCCTTTAAAGATCCGATATATAATATACTTCCGTGGGCGAATAGCTCTAGATTAATAAGTCCCCCCCGGATTTTGCCTTTCTCGTGTTTATTAAAGGCAAGTATATTACGGGCTATATTACCATCGAACTAGGTTGGCGAAACACCTACTCAGCACGAGTTTAATCTCTCCCTCACAAGTGAGGGGGTGGGACTCCCTTACCTTTTTCGCTCTCTCTCTCTCTCTCTCTCTCTCTCTCTCATGCGTCAGGCTGTAGGGTTACCACTGACACATGCATGGCAAGCTTACATCATCCCGAATCCGACATGCGAGAAATATTTTGCCCTCGGCGAGTTCGTCCGGAGACACCGACCATGTTTCCCAGTCTCATCCATGGCTGGCCATGCTGTTGGCCGTGGAAAGTAATTATCCACACACATGCGGCACGGCAGCTGGGAAGTGGGTGGCGCGGGAAGTCATGGTTGGCTCAGAAAAATGGTGTGTAGCAACACGGTCCAGCCCGGGATTGCGCGGACTCCGCCCCTGCCCACTCGGCCCGGGATTTCTATTGCGCTGCGGCCGAATCCCTTCCCCTCCCCCTACAGCCCGCCGGGACAACCTTGTCCCATTAGTCTCTGGCCTGACACGCGGGATCCGGGGGGGGGGGGCACTATTTTCGGAGGAAAATCGCGGCAGTGAACTTAACACCACCCCCCGCCTCATGAGGATGAGACGACGGAGGGAAGGCCGTGGCGACCAAGATCTTGGTGGAAGTGGAGGTGGAGTACCATGGAATCGACGGCTGTTGAGCGGAGGCATGTTGGATGTGGTATGAAGGGTAAGAGAAGATGATCGAAAGGAGAGAAAAGCCGAGAACAACTCCGTTGACATCTGATTTCCACACAAACCTGAGGAGAGAACGGCAGACGTAAAAGGCGGGCCTCAAGACGAATACCATACCTCTGGTACAGGCATGCGACGAACACATCGCTGCCGTCGAGCACAGAGCCCAGACTAGATGCCGTGTTTCCCGAGCTGTCAAATCCTCGTGTTTTTGTCCTCGAATAGATTGCCAATATATCTTATACTTCCAAACTTCACTTATAGGTTGATCGTCACGTAGAATGTGTGGAGGATATTGTTTCTTTCGCCTTTCAAATTTGTCTCTGACATTTGGCTTTCGCTAGTATCTGATAATCCACAAGGCTCCCAAAAACCTAAAATTTGGCCCTAATAATTTACCCCAAACGCCGTCGCAAGGTGTGCCCTCCCGTCTTTGTGTGTACGTGTGCTTGTACGGGTGCTTCGAAAAAATAAGACAGAGCAATGATCAAAGGGCTTCGTAGATGCTCTATGTACATAAGAATAAAAAAAAAAAAAAAAAAAGTAGACAAACAAATCTCCACTTGTGCCAATGTTCCCGCGCGGCCTGCGCGGTTGACATTCGACACACCCGTTCCTGTTCTCTTTTTTTGGAAGAAAGAAAATGCGAATGCTTTGAAACCCTTCGAACCGTGATCCCGGCTGGTATAACCTCCAATCCGTGCTGTCGTGTGTAGTTATGTACACTCTAAAGTTGTAAATGCAGGGAAAAAAACAATGACAAGTAAGATGAAGCAAGTACAGATGGAGAAGAAACTTTGTTCGACAAATCTTTGGTAGAGTTGCTCTACTGGTGGTGGTGATGATGGTGGTGGTGTCTGCTCGTCATTTTAGGCTGAAACTTTGCCGAGGAAACTTAATTCTTTTCTCCAAATGTAGTAATCCGAAAAAAGGTAATACGACCGCAAGTCGGTCTACCTATGCTCTCTCGATTGGGTTCTCCCACTTGATAGGGTGGACAAGCATGCTGCGCATGCAGAGACGTCCCGAGCTGTCTTTGTGGGACTCGTCTGTCATACCACCGCGGAGCGTGCCCTCGTTGGCACGGCCGCCGTTGGTGCCGCGACCGTCCATCTGGGCGTAGCCTAACCAGCGGCGCCAAAGCAGACCCGCGAATTCGGAATTGTAGTACCAGCTAGTACCCTTGTGGTTATGCTCGTTCTTCAGATCGAAAGGACTGCCGTGGCCACCAGTCGTGCCGTCGCGGCCACCGTTAAAAGCCTTCTCGATAGTATCGAAGGGGTACCACGCGCGGTCAAGGTAGACCGGGTGTGGTGCGTAAGCAGCCTTGAACCCGTGATGCAGGGCCATTGAGGCCGGGAACATCTCAGAGAACATGCTGTGATGCATACGCCACATTTCCTCGTGCATGGCCGCCAGCAGACGGCGTGAGAGGCGGGAGGCAGTGACAATGGAGCAACGGCGCGGAGGAGGGGCAAATACCATTTCGTAGCCGGTAACATCCTTAGCAAAGACCCAGCCGGACTCATCGGCGTCAAACAGCGGGTTGAGCGTAATAAGATCGGCCTCTTCACCAACGCCGCACTCGGCAGGGTCGCCACCGCGGGCACAAGAGGCCGGCATGACGGAGACACCGGCCTCCTCGGACCTCAGGGACATGCGACCGGGGAAAATCTGGGGACCGAGAATAGCGCGGCGACCGGAGGCGTTGAGCTCCTTCTCGACGACGTTGGCGAATTCGTCCCAGGAGCCATGGACGGAGGGGATGTAGTACTTCGACGAGCGCTCCCAGAGGAGAGTGCGGGACTGCTTGCGGGCCCATGAGCCGAGACGGTCGAGAAGTTCGTAGTAAGAACCGATATAGCGCATGTCCATCTCCCAGTTCCAAAAGTGAGCGTATTCAGGGTGCTGAAGGGCAAACACCTGCAGGGGCATCTGGGCGCTGCGATAAACACCGTGAATGTCGGCGTTAGAAGGGTTTTCGAGGGCGTCGGCGAAATGTCCTGGATAGTAGAGTTTCATCTCGGCCTCGGACCAAAGCGTGCAGAGAGCGTGGAACTCAGTAGGCACGTTGTCGTCGAGAATTTTTTGGACGACGGACGGGTCTGACCAAATAGGTGCCTCATTGTCCTTGACATGCAAAAGGAAATGCACGGTGTATTCTCCGCCGGATTTCAGTGAGAGCTCAGAGATCATGGCCCGGAAATTGACAATAGCAAGCTGCGTCCACTCGAAACCGACATAGGTGCGAATAACGACGGCGATGCGGTCCATCTTCTTGAGACCCGCCTCGGTGGTGTCGGGTTCGCTGTAAACTGAGTCGTACGAAGTGCCGACTTCCTTGGTGCTGTTGCGGAAACGGGCGCTGTTACGTTCAACGCATCGCTCCTGGGCAGAGCCCCAATCGACGCGGCTGTAGTTAATTCGACCCGTCTTGGACCAAACGATGTCGGCACCCTCCTGTTCGGTATCCATTCCTTGAGAGGTGCCTCCCTCGCGGATGTCGTATCCGAGACCGTAGGGGCCATAGCGTCCGAAACGGTCGAAGCAAATGTCGTTGCGCAGCCCCAGTACTGTGTGAGAGCCGATAGCTGGGTCGGGCTGGTTTTGAGGAACGCCATCATAGGCAAAAATATCTGGAACCGCAATCTTGTCCTCATCATCGAGGAAGCACTCCTTGACAGCGTGATGCTCCTTCTGGTACTGGCGAGACTCATAATCTGGGTAAGCAGAATAAGGTGTGGGAGTTGGAGGGGTGTCATGATAGATAGGCACTGTAGTGACAGGTGCCGGAAATGAGGCGTTGGGATACTCTGCTGTGTGGTTGACAAACGGAACGATAGACTTGAGGCCGTTGAAGTAGCCGTTGAGGCTTCATTTTGTTAGTGAGGAGTCCCAGCACTGACCACATGGCCTTCACTTACTGCTTGAATTTGAGCCATGGCGGCATGCTGCTGTCAATCTCGGGCATCTCCTCATTCGGTATCACGGTTCCCTGCTTGTTTGGCTCGCCCCCCAGCCCGCCTATCCTATAATCATCGGCGAGAATCTTGCCATCGCGTGTGTATAATGGGGTGTTGAGATAAGCAAGCCCAAGCAGTAATGAGATGGTGACTGTCCATATCACAACCCTTCGGTAGAGGCAATGGCCCAGAATCGCCCGTACCCGGATCTTCGGCTGGTGAATCGTTGTGGATGGCGCTGGGAGAATGAACTCCCCTTTCTCATGCCCTGGTGTGGCCAAGTACAAAGAATTTGAACGAGATGAGCGAGTACTGGATCGACTGCTGCTGATAGATCGGGTGGTGCTGGTAAGAAGAGAGTGTGCTCGCTCCATGATTGCTGGAGAGAGATAGTTGGGTGTTTGGGTATCACGAAAACATCTGGTGATGGAACTGTTGCAACAAGAAATCGAACGCAGGGGAAATCTAGAAGAAGGGAAACGGCAAAGGTTAATGCTATAAAGAAAAGGACGCAGTTTGTGAGAGTGACGTTTTTGCCTCTACGTTCAGCTACCGGCTCAGACCTTACATCCAAAACAAGCACACTCCCAGCACAGGATGTTGGACGTAGAGGAGACGCAAGCCACATACATATTATGCAACAGAGCGAGCAGATGGGACCGAAGAGAAGGTAGTCAGGGGGGTCTGGCCGGGCTGAACTGCGGAGAGGCAAGGAGGTTGTGCAAGTTGGGATGTCCAGGGTTCGGGGGCTGCCGAGCCTCCTTGTCTCTTTTGCTCAGACTTGACTGCCCACCAAATCCCACGCCAGCTTGTCTCAGCTCCCAACGTCGCGGGGGGACAAGCAAGGACGGCCCTTGAGGTGCCAAGCTTGGAACAAGGGGCAGTGAGCCTCAAGTTGTTGCGAACCAAGTGCTTCTTCCATCCCTTCCCCAGCTCCCAAGCCCATCATCGTATCGTTTGGATTGAAGGTAGCTTGGCAGGTTATTCTCGGGAGTTAAGCCTAGGCCCCAGGTTGTCAACCCCTTCCCCGTCGGGGTTGTGGTTAGGTTGTGGTTGACATTACCAAATGAGCACCTAATTTTTGATGTTGCTGTTTCCTATGCCGCACTTTGCCGCATCCTTGAGATTGGGTCTTGGACTCTGCTGGTCACAATTAGAGCTTCGGGGCCCCGTCATAAGCGAACGCCAGATAGACAGACGAATGTGCAGCATAGGCAAGACAGGCTTTGGCGGACCTGTATCAGAGCGTATGGGATCAGCGGCTCGCTGGTGTGGAAAACAGGAAGGGACACTCGAGAAGATGAAAAGTGGTTGCGCGTCCCCTGTGGGGCACTGGCTTATGCATAGATCAGACTCGCCCAGAAAACCGCAGATACTATTCCACCCAATCCTTCAGCGGCAGGGTGACAATCAGGGGATGTGGTTGTAACCGGTTGCTAAAGAAAGAAACTGGGACGCGAATGGGGCGAGTGATTTAGGTGTGGACATGCAAGGAACGTAGCTTGGGTGCACGGGAGTTGGTGCATCTGAAACCGTCGATGTTGCGACGCTGGGCGACGTTTCATGCCAAGATCAACCCACGTTGCGAGACTGGTGCGATTTGTCAAAGAATAGATAGTCGAAGAAGGCAAGAAATTACAGAAAAATTGAAAGAAGCCCTGAATTTTGGTATCAACTTGGAAAATCCGGTGCAGGGACAGTCGCAGTTTGTCAAAGTAGCCCTGGTTCCTTGTTATGTGGCGTGGTTGTACTCATCGGAAAAAAAAAAAAAAAAACGGCTCCGCAAAAGACAATGGACCCTACCTACAGAGTCTGGGGTTTGGTTCTCATCGCTGCTTCGCTGCTCCGCGCCACGCGTGTGGTACGACCAAACCGTTTTGGAGCCGTCCCTGTTGCGGCTCGGGTTTTGGTGGTTCGTACGACGTAGTCGAGCTCGACAAATGGGGAAGTTCATGGTTCGTTTACAACCACCAAGTAGCGTCTCGTGTTGCCTTGTATGCGCGAATCCTGAAATCCCATCTCTTGTCTATTTTGGCACGTCGTCGTAATTGCCCGCCACCGGAAGGCCATCTGACGGTAAGCCGAACACTTTCTCGTCCACTCAAAGCCGTTCCTCCGGTACTTTAGCTTTGGGTCCAAGCAGGATGGCCGTAATTCCAGTCGGGTGTATGCTTCATTTCAGTTCTTATTTCGTCTGGTCACTTTGGGCATTTGCTTGGTTCTGCGCGACTTGTTTGCTGGGCCCCCAAATCAATCTGATCCCGTCTGCACCAAGGCTTTGTTTCCATTGCTTGTATTGCGTAGAGGTTTCATCCCGTAGACACTCTGACGGGTCGCTGTCTTCGTTCTCACCCGCTGGACCCTTCCATTCCACAAGTGTTGTGTTGTCTCGAGGGGCCATGGCGTGGACGTTCACAAGGGAAAGAGAGCACTGACGGATGATTGCCCCTACAGATGCTGATAGTTCAGAAAGATCCGAGCCACAGGAAGTATTCGCCCCAGACAACTGCATGAGCTTCGTTGCTCGCGAAGCCGGCGGCAAGGCGGCGGGGATCCGTTAGCATGCCATAGGCAACTTAGCCAGAACAACCACGCCCTGAGGCCATCACTCGTCGTCAGAAACGAATGAATTTTTTTGGCTAGCAGGTCATGACGGGTGACTGACGGGCCCAATACGGGATTCCGACGGAGCTAGTTGAGATTAGAGCGCGCCCAGGTCGATTGATGGCGCTGTGCCTCCATCAACCGAGCTCCGTCAGAATCGACCTGTTTGTCGTGAGATAGACAAACCTATCAACTAACCTTTCTGTCCCCCGCAACCACGAACCAGGGAGCCCCAAAAGACCTGCCAACAAGCCAGGCCCACCTAGAGGTTTGATGTAGACAACCGAAATTCCGAAGATATCGGAATGGATAATCACTCAATGTGCGTCATGCTAGTGAATATTTGGCACCCGCGTGAGCCGGTATAAACAGATCACGTCACTAATAAATTGATTAAGTTTTTCCGAAACTGACTCCTCTGGGTGTCGAGTTGAGTGTGCTTTGCAAGGTCAAAGCCGGACAACAAAGGCTGGGTTAGTCTGACGTCAGTGCCGACGGCCAGCAGCCGGGAACAACTGACAGTAATGTGTTGTGCGATGGCATTGTCTGGCAGCTGAATTTGGCCAGTAGCCTCGGATGGGAAAACGAGGAGAGTAAGAAAACGCCGAGTTTGGGAGTTGCTGGTTACGGAAGAGTGAAAGAGGGTGTCGAAGACGGCACACTACAACAGTATTAATGAGGTTGGCAACCCTCCCCGACCATGACTCGTCCGAGTCGGGAGATGATTTGAGACTTTCCAGACAAGGCGAGAGCGAAACAAGTGATTGCGTGTCTATTGCGGAAACACTGTTCTGACGCGCTCTTGTCGACCAAATCAACCCGCCTGCCCTAAATCTGAACGGCTTGTGTTTCGTTGTTTAGACGGAAGATCGAGATGTCAATGACAGACAATGTTGAGAGGGAGATATGAGGTAACGGAGCCAAATGAGAGCCAACGGTAGTCCCATATTAGTCAGGGGCAATCTTGCTGCCGGCTCTTGGACTCTCCGTATGCAGCTGACGGCGGCTGATTGGGGGTTTCCGTCGGTAAATCACCACACACACAAACACACACACACCGTGCTTTGCTGCTGCTCTGGGGACAACTGCTCCACTCTGGGCACCCTCCCCTAGCGAGTCCCGACCTAAGTCACATGACATAGCCCGGATGGCTGGAGATGAGGCTAATCATGTCATCAGCCACACCTGCGGATTTCACTAGCGTCGGTCTGCCCTAGCCGCACACAAGCGACATTTCAGCAAAACGATCAATTTCACTTTTCCCCGCCGACAAATTCATCGTCACGACACTCCGGCAAGCGACATCGACCAAACAGCCGCCAAGATGGGTGAGTATTGCTTGAAAGCATTTTATTTTCTCAGCGTGGTTTAGCAGCCGAATTCGATTTTAGAAGAGGAGGAACTGCACGCGATTACCGACAACACGCCGCCACCGCCGATGATGCGCACTCGACAAGAAAATTATTTTGGGCACGAGGGGGATCGAACAACGACGACCGGCCGACTGTACCACATCTACAGCGCAGCATGACGATCTTCAAGGGGGAAAACGATTCGGCTGCGACCACGATAGCTTCTGGGGAGATGGTTTTTGATTTCTTCTGGGATGGTTGGCTGACTCGGGATTTGCAGTGAACATTCCCAAGACGCGTATGACCTACTGCAAGGGCAAGGAGTGCCGCAAGCACACCCAGCACAAGGTCACCCAGTACAAGGCCGGCAAGGTATGTCCACACGAACGCGCCGACGACGAACTCGAGCGACGGGCCCCTTTCAGAAATCAACATTACCAGGACGACGTACTAAACTAGTTGTGTATCATAGGCCTCGCTGTTCGCGCAGGGAAAGAGACGTTACGACCGAAAGCAGTCCGGTTACGGTGGTCAGACCAAGCCTGTCTTCCACAAGAAGGCTAAGACCACCAAGAAGGTTGTCCTGCGGTTGGAGTGCGTCAAGTGCAAGACCAAGCTGCAGCTCGCCCTGAAGCGCTGCAAGCACTTCGAGTTGGGGTACGATCCCTTCTCTCCATCTCGAGAAACAGTACTGACAATGACTACAGTGGTGACAAGAAGACTAAGGGTGCTGCTCTGGTTTTCTAAACGCATTGTGTTTTCGGTCGACCGACTTTTATGGCTCCTTTCACGGCATACGGATCATCATCAGGCTGGAACAATGGCGAAGAGGGTTACCAGTTCTCAATTGCGGAACACTACATAGGGAACAAATAAAAGCCCTTGCTTGCGAACGGAAAGAAAAAAAAGTTCAACAAGGCCATCGCTGTCTGTTTTGCGCGCTGTCGTGCGCCTGGAGGCCACACGAGTGACAAGAAAGAAAAATGCGGGAAATGCGTATGAGCTCGACAGGCGAGGCGTCCTGAGGGTTACCAGTATGGGAATCCGATGTGGGATGGCTGGCGTCACTGTCGAGATGTGTCTACGCTCCTCCCCCATATGTGTGGCCTTTGGAAGATAGATGCGTTCTATGAAGGCTCAACCGGTCAATGAAATACATGAGTCTATGAAGAAACGGTCTAGTCCTGTTTGGTTGCCCTTTGCGTGTCCATCGAGGTACATCGTAGCTTGATGATGAAAACCTCTTGCCTCAGTAGCCCTCGCCGACCTTGATTGTTCTGCCACCGCCATACCACAACGTGCCAATCCTTGCGTCCAACCCTCTCTCCTGCCCGACAGCCCACTCGCCAATCCACTCGCCCCCCTCACGATCCCATACCTCCCTCTCAAGCCAAGCGTTGATCTCATCAATAGTCTCCACCCAGCGCGCCCTGGCTTCGGGCGTCTTGTGATCTTCATCTGACAAGAACCTACCCAGCGTGATGTGTGCGCTAGGAACCTGGTACCGACTCTCGATCTGGACGCCCGTCGACTGTGCCAAGTCAAAGACGTCACGGCGGAGGTGGTGATACGTGTACGCGTCGCCTCCAACCACGCCCTTTTGCGCCGCTGTCAGTCCCGGCGGCGGGCCCGTGGCCGCCTCGCCTGAGGCCGGGAGGAAGGAGACGGCGAAGGCGGAAAGGTCGTGCGAAATCATGGGCTTGACGAGGCGCGCACGGTGGGAGTAGGTAAAGTCTGTGATGTAGGGGATCCCGGGGCGCATTGTGTCGGTAAGGGCGACGATTTCCTCTGGCGTCTTGGAGTGGGTGGCCTCCAGCGTCGTGAGGTGCATTCTATGTTGAGGCATGAGCCAGATGGCTGACGTTTTTGTCAGCTCCGTTTTTTAGTACGCCTAATCTGACATCGGACGAGGTCTGGGAGGGATGCCGTCATTCCTCAAGCAGACATCCCAGATAGAGAGTCCTCTGGCGGCAAGCATTTACAACTTCTACAGAAACACATCATTCATTGACATAATCAAGACTTAATAACTTACTTGGAGCAACTTTCTTCAGCAAGGCCTGTAGATGGGCCGCCAGTCTCACGATATGATCAGGCGGGCGAGCCCAGAAAACGAAGCAGTTCCTCGGGTCTTGGAAGCCGGGCTCCATTTCCGGATTCTCCAATCTCAACAGGAAAGGATCGATGATGAGCTCCTTGAACTCGGGACTCAGAAATTTCCCCTTTTGCTGTTCATTTCTCTTCGTTCTATGAGCGTGGTAGAGGGCTTGGATCTCTGCCTACGGTGTGCCATATCAGGACATGTATGATGCTTCACGGGGTATGCGGGTAACGTTACAGGGTCGTCATTGCAGGCCTTGATGAGGGCTTGGTAAGGATTCTCGCCTGGCAAGATCGTAATGCCGGAGAGATCTTCTAATTTGTTTTTGGCATCAGTTGAGACAAGTTGGGAGCCCATCTTGTGTTAATGTTGCAAGTTTCGTCTGAAGAGAAGAGGTTATTGGTTCAATCAGAACAGAGAAACAAGGACGAAGGCAGCCTGCAGACCACCTTTAAGAAGAGGAGCAGCTAATGAGAGAGGGGTTAAAAAAAAAATACACCAAGAATATGTCCCGTATCAATACCTCGTATAGGAGGACCGATGTTGATAGAAGCTGAAGACTCATACAAGGGAGTCATTGGCACAGCCAATCAACTCTCTATCCTTTTCTGGTGCGCCCTTCAGACCAATTAATTGGAGCTTTGTGGGCCGCGCCCCCAGTAGCTGAAAACCGACTGCTGACTAATTTCACCACATTCAAAAGCCAGGATCCTCCTGGGTGGGTCACCATATCCGGAGGCTCCAGAAGTTCCATCAGACTGCACCAATTGGCCGTCACCTCCCAAGATTCACTATTCTTGTTTCGACCTCAGTTTTCCCGTTCAGTGTGCCTGATGTCTTATTGGATGGGATCCCGACCTTGCGAGGTCCGTCAAAACGGGCTGTTTATGGGGATCCGGGCTTCCACGTCAACCCAAATGCGCGGACCTCGGATTACGGGATGAGAACACGCGTCCCGCTGGCCCGGGAGTAGAGCTGGGGCCTCGATTCCAAGTCAAGTGAGCATTGTGGTATATGCGCACGTATGTTCGACTACTTTTGAATTGCGTTCTTGAAAACCTAGTGCAGCCTTACCTCCACGCCAGGGAGTGGAAACATGTACCAGTGTCACGGGTCGTTTGTAATTCGTGGTCTTTTCTTAATGGGAATGGGGCATTCCTCAGTGCTTTTCGGCCTCCTCAGTCGTCGTGTGTCCAGCTCAGCTAGGCGGGCTGCTCTATAGATGAGCGTTGCCCGCCATCAGTTTCTCATTGTTCTGCTGATCAATTGAGGAAAAAGGAGAACTCTCTGCTACAGACATTTGAGTGGTCGCTTGACGTATCTCATCCTTGTACGGTGAATACCCCTCAGCAGAACGAGTATTTGGCATATCTGTGCAGCCTCTCAACACTGCCTGTAGGTCTCTCAACCACTCGGGTTTCTCTTGAACCGAAGCTCACTCTTGGTTCGAGTCTTGGTTGTCAGAGCAGAAGGTTATTATAAGGCTACTGTGGTAGCTAATTATAGTATCCACTGTTCTTTCACTGATTGCTGGCAGCTTCATAACTTTCCATCGTGTAATTTATTCCCTTTCAACTCAATTCTTTGCTTTGCCCTCTTTCTTAACTCTTGCTATGGTCATAGGTATCTCTTGTCATTGTTCTTATTCTTGAATGATTACTATGAGTCCTTCACAAGTCATATGAAATGAAAGGCAGTATTTGGCATTCAACAGCAGTTTTCGCATGGTATTGGCTAACAAATCACATAAGTAGGAGATCATTCACAAATGATATACTCTATCTTTTGGTACAGAAAGGATTCTTCGCTGCGAGGTATATGTAGGAAACTCCACAGACATACTAGAATCATTGAAAGAACTCAGATACCAGGTCATGGAGGTGCCGGACATAGAGAGACACTTGTGTAACAGGTTAGCGCTACCAGCTTTTACGGGGATAATCAATACTACGATCACCTCAATAATGGACTTGAGGTTGGCACCGCAGACTGATGAAGACTAGTGCTTGCATGAAAACCAAACCAGAAGGAAATAACCATCTATTTCGCATTGGGTGTGCTGACAAGTGACCGACAATATGAAGCATGAGGTCAGGTACTTTGACCTCTGTTGACGCCCCTCAGGCCACGATTCGTTTTGATATTGTGAAGGTGCTCTTCTCGACAGCATATCTGTCTATGGAATTAATCATTCACGACACTCGTTTACATTTCTGGCATCAGGGAAATTCTCATGTTACAGACCTCAGGAAATTAAGTAACAAAGCACTGCATATCGTATTGTGAGTTTGCATCAAGCTGGTATTCCATGTTGACGAACACTGTTACAATACAATGAAAAAGACTCAAAATCAAATGCACATAACCCGAAGTCTTCCTTGGTGCTCTTTTAGAATCCTCAGTCCCATCTTCATGAGAATAGTAGTATAGAACTTAGGGAATTCCATATTCAATGCCTTTACTGTTTACCATGACTCTCGTCTTTTTTGACATGACTTCATGCTCCTAGCAAGAGCCCAGAATCTTCTCTCGCAGCTGTCTCTAGTTCACAAGAATGCTTTCAAGGTGGGAGCTCGTGAGGGCATGACTATTGTCAAATGGCGAGAACCATGACCCACAACTGCCTCACGACGCTTTATTATGCCATATTGTCCTCAACCAAGGGAGCCGGAATTTTCTTTTATCAGGTCGTTGACCACAATTGGTACGAATCTCGTCCATGTGAGGGCTCAAGGCATTATCTCGACGACACATGAACCCTTTCCACAGATTAATTTAATCAAAATAAACAAAAAAAAAAACTCTCCTTTCCACTCCCTTAAAAAATCCATCTCCAAACATCATCACCTTCACTGAGCACACCTTGCCTCCCATATTGTCTGCTGATTATCACCCTTCAAAGATCAAGCTTTGTCGATAATCGGCGGGCTTTGTGTCTTGTCATCCTTCAAAACACTTCTTTGCCCTTTTGTCGTCTCCTGTCGCGTTGTTCGCGTATAAACATTACCTTTCCCTCAATATTCCCTGTTCATTCCCAATTGCTATCCTCATCCATTCACCTGAGGTTATCTATCAAGTCTTCTCGCGATGGACACTGAAGAAGACTCTTCTGAAGTTGGCCAGGAGAGTCTTGGCTACTCCTATGGGCAGCAACAAGACTTCATGGAAGAGGGAGAGGAAAATAATGAGCCTCAACATCGCCAATATTGGTCTGCTTCACAGCAGCAGCGCGGTTCAACGCGGCAGAACAATGATTATATGAGCAACATGTTCCTCGACTATGAGAATGGCTACATATCTGACAGCAATGCTGATGAGCCTCCAAGGGTTTTTGAAGAAGGCGATTCGGATATGTTTGTCCAGCAAGAAGAGGAGCAACCGATCGAGCCCCAGCAAGATTTGCAGCAAACTGGTCACCAAGAAAACGGCACAGATACAGCCAAAAGCATCATGAGCCTGTTGCAAACCTCGCATCCCGAGTTCAACATGCTTGATATCTACTCAGATATTGAAAATCTCTTCAATGCGATAATGGAGGCTGTGCAGCACAGCAGCGCGATTCCTCTTCCCCTCCCGGACAACAAGCCCGAATTCAACCCTGATAAAGTCAAGGATGAGAGATCTGTCAACCGGCCAAGAGATTCATTTCCAATCATTGCGTTAAAGGCACTCGGCCTTGGCTTACAATCCATCCTCGAGAATGGCGGCGTGAGCTTCTCTATTGGTACAATGTGCTCGGGTACTGATGGTCCAATCATGGCACTTCAAGAGTTTGAAGACGCACTCGGAGCCTGTGGCCTCTCTGGTACGATGAAATTTGAGCACAAATTCAGCGTCGAGATTGAGCCCTTCAAGCAGGCATTCATTGACAGAAATGTTCGCCCTACCGGAGAAATATTTCGCAATGTTTACGATCTTGGCAGGCCCGGAGCGGTCACAGCGTATGCCAAACCACCCGTTGAGTGTTCAATATTGAAGTTATTCAGAATTACTGACCGATTCATAGAATGACTGCCTCGGGATCGATGGCGCCCATACCTACAGAAGTGGACATTCTCATTGCAGGCAGTTCCTGTGTTGATTTCTCGAGTCTGAATACTCAGAAGCAGAAGATCGCGGAACTATCGGGGATGAAGAAGATCTTCAAAGCCGTCATGAAGAACGACAGTGGACCTATTGTTGCTCTTGAAGATGACGAGTCATTCCTTCGTGATCTCAACTCATTGACAGAGAATCTCGACGCTGAGAGAGAGTCCACCAAAACCTTCATATCAATTCTGCAGTATGCCAGGCAGTACCGGCCCAAGATTGTGATTTTGGAAAACGTCATGAGCGCTCCTTGGAATGAGTTTAGAACTTTCTGGTTTTCCAATATCGGTTACCATGCAGCCGTCACACCAGTGGACTCAAAGAACTTCCTTGTCCCACAGACACGTCAACGAAAGTATCTCATTGCCATCGACGCCCGGTATTATGGACTTGATGGAGCGGAGAGCATTTCTGAAAAATGGGTTGAGCTGATGGGGCGAAGCAACTGGTTTCAAAACCCGCCCAGGTTAGACAGCTTCCTTTTGAATCCTTCTGATCGTCGGGTTTCCCAAGCCCGCTTCCAAATGGAGCGCACCGTATCCACCAAGAACAAGAAGGAAGTAGAGGCTACGAATTGTAGGATGGATCATCTTTCAGCTCGCCGGAACGAGGGTCTCGGCGGGAGTCACCCGTACACGCAGATGGACGACTACGGCAATGTCCAACCTCGCGAGGACTGTTGGACGGGGTACGTAGGCAAGGGCACCACGCCTCGGATGCAGGACTTGATGGACATTTCTTCTCTCCGAGCAGCGAAGAAGAGCCAAGATTTCAGCTACAAACCAATCATTCTCGATCTTGGTCAGAACGTCGACCGGCAAAACCGGAAACAAGGCACAGCGCCCTGCGTTCTACCGTTTGCAGAGCTATTCCTTTCCAGCGCCGGACGGCCCATCCTTGGTTTGGAGTGTATGTCGTTGCAAGGTATTCCGATTGACCGTATCAAGCCTTTTGTGGACAAGGAAAGTCAACTCAGAGACCTGGCTGGGAATGCTATGACGACTACAGTGGTAGGTGCAACGATTTTATGTGCTCTTATTGCAGAGCGGCAGCACACTGTCGTGGTAGACCCCGACGACCTTTTCGGAACCGGCCTGCCTAAGGCCAATCACGTGGTCGCCGGTGAACGCCGACGTTATAATTCTTCTCAGGCAGGTATGGATGTGGATATGGAAGGCACCGCCCACCTCACTGAGCAAGTGAACCGGCAGACTTTTTCCCCTTCTTCAACTGCGGAAGACACAACCTTCAACCTCAACAACCTCCACACCAATCTTCCTGGCCATTGCAACAAGGGAAAAAACCCAGCTTCTGAATTTTTCCTCAATACTCAGGAAGTTGAGGTGAAGATGGAGGCGCCGGAATGGGAGGTCGCGGAAGTCCATATGGATGATTCCATGACGCCTGTTTGGAAGCTTCGCATGCTTTGCCAGGAGGGCCGCCGATACTGCCTCTGTGATGATTACCGCAAGCATCAGAAATCTGGCAAGTACTATCGTTGCGATTTCTGTGATGAGGTTCGTTGCACTTCCTGTGCTGGCAACCCAAAGCATCATTTCGACAAGGATCACCCTGTCAATACTACTCTTTCAACCGACAGAAACACCGCTTACCAGGCTGCTATTGCCTTGTTCCCTGCCAAGATCATTCTCAATCTTGCGAGTTCTGATGATAGCCTTTTCGAGGAAATCGATGAGAAGGGACTTGGTAGCCATAGTGACGCGCTGGAGACGGCTATCCGGACCTGCACCGGTGGCGTTCACTACTACCAAACTGACCTTGAGTTTCGCGACGACCTCACCGTCACCTACGAGTCTGAAAAGTCTCGAATCATTATCGTTGCAACTCCCGAGTCTGTTACCTGGAGTGTCTACTTGCGAGTGGCCTATTTTGACCTGACCTCGAACTGTCTGTCTACCGATGCCAGCCAGCTGCTCAGCGCTCTGAAATATGACCTACGCCAGCCGCTCATTCGAGCTACCCTTACCGATGAACCTTCATTCATGCCAACCATGGACCACTAGAACTTGTTCTTGCAGCATGACATCAAGCTTCAGCTTCGTCAAGAACCACTTGAAAACGATGTTGGCAGCTTCTCCCAAACCATCACTGAAGTCCAGGGATTTCCCAGCTTGAAGACCGACGTTGCCCCAAACCTTGAGGGTGTTTTCAAATTCACCAATAAGTGCGCAACACCTGGAGGCTTGCTCTACGTTCGCAATGACGACCCGTCCCACCGTGTTTACCATATTCAACACGTTGAACCACTACCCGTCACCACTCATGATCGATGGGTAGTGACAGACAACCCCCGCAAGCTTGAAACCGACCAAACACGCAACATAATGTTGTCTTTCGACCAAGACTACGTTCACTTCTGCCGTTACATGGACGAGGTTGAACATCCTTCAGCTCGAGAGATATTGGCAACTTTGCCTGGCGTGTGGATGCGCTTGCAGCCTAGCTTCCACATTCACACCATCGGAAGAGATACTTCTAATGCGATACAGCTAAGGAATTTGGATTCGCAAGAAATTCATGGAGGTAGCTGTGAGTCCACCAAAGTCTCAATTAAATTGAGACTTAATGTCGTCGACATGCACTTTCCAGTTCCATCCCTCTCGGCACACTGGACCCCTAACCAAAACTCTTGCCCTAAAGGACATTTGACCAAGGACGAAGAACCCTGGGTCACCGTTCCAGATCATCACGTCAAGGACGCTTTGGGTCAAGTTGCGTTTGCTATGAACAGGATCGACGGTAACAGCAGCCGACTTCATATTCAAGACATTACTCTGGATGGCGAAAAGAAGTGTGTTTCCTGCGCGTTGCCACAGCCACAAATTTGTCATGTTTGGCACGACGATGGCTCGCTTGAAAGAATTGAGGATTCACAGGTGGCTACCCAAATCGTCCGGAACCACCACAGCCGTGAGTTTCCCTTCAAGGTCGAGGCTTGGCTCAACCGCGGCTATGGTGGGGACCCTGGTTTCCTTCTCTTGAGCATGCAGATTTCTCTGAACCCGCTGGCACTTGTTCATCGCGCATTCAGCTACATCCCACAGAATGCGAACGCATTGTCTAATATCGCCAAGTTAAGACATGGCAAGGGAAGTTTCAAAGTGCAATTCAACTTCTCGGACCCAAGCCTCAAAGAGCTGGCTCCTTACCGTGAAAGTCTGCGGTCTACGGCTGGTGACGACACCTTTACTATTCAACAGCCACCCAGCTTTCTTAAAAATGGCATGACTTTGCGAGATGACCAGTTGGCAGCTGTGGAATGGATGCTCAAGCGCGAGAACAGCGAGAAAGCGTTCATTGAAAAGGAAATCGAGGAGTGTGTTTTGCCGTCCGTCAACGTACGTATGTATGGCGCCGCCGAGATCATGAACCGTTCTCGAGGAGGTGTCTTGGCCCACGACATTGGTTACGGAAAAACTGTGGTGACTCTCGGCCTTATCGATTTATCGCCCAAGGGCCCCCAGTCGCAAACTGGTTCGATCCAGGAGCACCAGTATCACAAGATTCCAGGAAATGGGTTGATCTGCATCGATGCCACGCTGATTGTGGTCCCTCCACATATTGTGTCCCAATGGGTCGAGGAGATCAGAAGATTCCTAGGATCTAACTGGAAGGTCCATGTGATCCGCAAACATACTGACATTGATCGCGAGAAGATGTCTAAAGCAGACATCATTGTTGCAAGCACCTCGATCCAATCCTCTGATAAAGTATTGGACAAGATGGCCGCCATGTCCATGCTTCCATCTATTCATCAGACGAAGTCGGCTCTCAAGGGTCGAGACTTTCAAGATTGGTACTTGGACGTCTTGAAAGCATTGGGCGAGTCTGGATTCGACTTTGCCAATCCCAACATGATGAATGGATCTCAGCTAGAGGAGCGGCTGGCGAATCTCCGTATCGACTCTAAAAGCCAGGCTCAACAGGCATCGTCTGGTAATGTTGGGCCCAGCTCCCGAAAAGGTCAGCTCACAGCCAAGGCACTTACGAAGGCGGCCGCAAAGAAATCATCAAAGAACGGCAATGGCTCTAAGACCCTTGACATACTCGATATTTTCAAGAAAGGTCAGCTATTGGAGATGTACGCATTTGGGCGAGTCGTACTTGATGAGTTCTCATACGAGAATCCTCAGGTCGCTCTCTTCATTCAGCACGTCAATGCACAAGCAAAATTCATACTTTCGGGCACACCTCCGATGAGTAAGCTCGCGGACCTTTGCGACACAAGCAGTTTGATCAATACGCATGTTGCGCGTTTTACGCCGACACCAGGGTACTTCCCGTATATCACGACTGGGCCCCGGGTGACGGAACAGACTGCTGGCGAAGAGTTCCTTAGCTACCGTGACCCTTCGTCTGCGCAGCTCGCAACTGAACGGCATGAACAGGGCCAGAAATTCATTGAACACTTCTTTCGTAAAAACTCAACGAATTCTAGCCATGTCAAAGTTGATGAGTACGTCGTCTTTGCCCCGATGAGCCACCATGATGCTCTCATCTACAACCTTATGCAACAAGTGCTATACGGTGCGAAGTGGGACGTGAATGAGATACCCAGCTATCTTAAACACCTGGCTCGCCACATACTTGACCGCGAAAAAGCTGGGAGCATCGGCTCCAGGGTGAGGGGGGCAGGAAAGTCGACTTATTCGGAAGCGATTGACGTTTTACTACTGTTGTCCTCGGTCTCGACTTCGTACAGTCGAAGCGCCCTTCATGCCATGGGCTGGGTCAAAGAAGGACAGAAGCTTACGATGGACACCATCATGAAAAATGCGAAGGGCACAGCACTTTCCTACCTGAACCAATGCTGCGAAATATTGTCATCACAGATGGACTTGATGATGTACCTGGCTGATGCCATCAAGCAGGACAAGTCTGAGCGAAGCAACACTCGCAAGGCCAAAGAAGATTCCTACATGGCACACATGGAGGATATTCTCACGATTTTCAAGAAGGGCAGCAATAGCACAGCCTTTGGCGACCAGGACTGCCTGTTCTACGTCAAAGAGACCATCATCCACAAGCACCACATCAATGGCCCAGGCTTCTGTTACCGACGACCACCCGCAAACAAGCTGTGGCACTACAGCACTTGGAAGAGAAACAAGGGTGGGCCTGGAAGATATAACCGTGCCAATTGGTGGCTTTTGGAACCTGGTGAAGACTTGCCCGATGACGAAATGCAGGATCTTCGGCATCATCTGCCGGATGATGTTGACCTCGACAAGGAAGAGTTGATTGTCAAGATTCGTGAAAGGCAGGAAGTCGAGGGTATTCAGATGATGAATCGTCCCATTGGGCTCAAGCTAGATTCATCCGACAAGGACATTTCAGTCCGCCTTGCCAAGCACTTGAGCGGCAAGTCGACGAAGGATGACTTCGAGTTTGGGATCCAGCTTCCATCCAAGCGCCCCAAGGTTGGCGAGAACACGTCTCCTCGAGGTCAAAGCATAGACGCAACTCTCAACTACTTTATGCTGGTGATTCAAAGCATTCAAGCTGGCATCAAGATCACGACAGAAGCGTGGCGACGGAACACGTTCGCAACAAAGGCCGCCATCCTAGTATCGGGCCAGCTTGGCGATCACAGGGACTACGCTACGAGGTGCGATCAGTGCCACTGCTTGGATAAAACCTCCGGATCCTTGTCGGTAGCGTGTGGGCATACACTCTGCAAGAAATGTTGTGATGATTTCAACCACAGCGACGAGCAAATGTGCCCGGCAGAGTGCACCTCCACATCTCGAGGCACTTTTCTTCCGTGGACTAGTTTCGTGGACCCAACCTACGGCAATTTACACGAAGATTTGGCAGAGTTTCCTAGCCTAAAGGTCGAGTGTATCCATGATACCATTGTCGATGAGGTCGAGCCTGGAGAGAAAGTCCTAATCTTTGCGGCCCACAAGGGTATTAAAGAGGAGGTCTACAATTTCTTGAAGGCCGAAAACCAGACAGGCCCTCTTGGTGTCTACATGACTGATGGAGGTCATGATGACTCGGAAAGCATCGAAAACTTCAAGAAGCATGAGGGCAGCGCAGTGCTCATCCAGAGCCTCATGTCCTCGGAGTCTGCTGGAACGAATTTGACTCAGGCGAGCCATCTCATGTTTGCCGGCACCCTCTGCACCGACTCGGAGAATTACGAAATGTACATGCAACAAGCCAAGGGGAGAGTTGTTCGGCAGGGACAGGAGCGACCGGTACGTATATATCACTTTGTATCACCGGCTACGATGGAGTTCGACGTCATGAACAAGAGATTGAAAGGAAAGCTCCGCAACTGGGGCCAGCCGGGCGAGTTTGTCCCGCTGCCGATTCCCGACGATGCTCCAGCCGACCTTGACTATCCTCGGAAGTTTCGACCATTCCTAGATCTGGCCCAGTCACGAAAGCTTCTTCGTTCAATCGAAGTCGGTGAGTTTGAGGACAAATAAGGGAGTTGGCTCTCGTAATATTGGTGGGGTATTGGAGGCTTGGATTGAAGAATTCCGCCGCCAAAAAGTGTTAATGAATATGAACGCGGGTGACATTTGGTGTCATCAATTTTCTCGACACAGGCTAAAGGCCAACAGAAAACATGGCCATGGCTTATCATGAGGAGAAAAGAGCCGTCAGCTTGGGATTTCTCTTACATGCACGAATCTGCAGAAGGCAGTTTGTCGTGCTCAAACAAAAATTGGAGAAAATACGAGAGACTGGACAGGAATTGGAATTCTCCACGAGGATATGAGGAAGATTGAGATTCGGAGTGAGCCCATAATGGGAGGTTTTTGTCACTAGTGTCTGAGGATATCATTCGGATATGGCCAAGGACCCAAGGTTGAGATTGTATGAGTACCACGGATACTGAGAACGCAAAAGGGAATCGACGATTAGGTAGCTTTGAAAACTAGAAAAGATCTTTGATCACCATTGAGAGGCCGCAGTGTGGCCTATTGCTTCACTTCACCGTGATGTCGAGCCAACATGGTCTTGGCTTGTAATCGCTCCATAACAGCATATACTTGGGAGCACTCATCGTGACTCGATATTTGTAGTTTCTCCCAGAGTAAACATCAATAAACATACAATCATGGCACCTGCTTCTATATTTGTCAAATGTGCAATCAATGATCAATCTGTGGTATTACCTTATCTATGCCACACCGTTTTTCTGAGACATGCTCGACGCCCTCACCAAACCATCCCAAAAAGCAAACGATACCAAACGTGCATGAGCGAGAAGATCCGCAAAACTCGCCCGTGTCTTTACTAAATCTCATCGTACAGAAGACTACCATCCTCATACGTCATGCGGGTTCGCCGCGGCCACTTTCACATCTACGAAAGTGCATTCCTCTTGACGCAACACTCACAGCTTCGCGACAACAGGCATACGCTCCGGGACCTGCACGACTATGCCCGCCCCGTCGCCGGCAGCCTCGAAGATGACCTCCTGGCAATCCTCGACGCCGACGCCGCTCGCGAACTGGTTCACTACGAAATCGATCGCGGTCCCCTGCGGACCCAACGCCACCATCGGCGCATGCCACGTCCCCGCGCCGTACGTCACCGCCTGTCCGGGGCTCGCTACGAAGGCCTTGAGGCCCTTGAGGTCGGGCAGTCCGCGACCCCTGCCGCCCGCCTGCGGGGCGGGGAGGGCCTGTGTGACGCTGGACTCGGGGAGCGTGGGGGCCACGATGACGAGGTAGCCCGCGCCGGCGACGTTTCCCGCCGCGGCGAAGGGGACGAAGGTCTGCGTGGTGAAGGGGTGCCTCTCCAGGATCGTCACGCGGAAGCGGCCGCCGCGGGAGGGCCCCGCGTAGGTGTACGGCAGCAGGGTCGAGATCGGGGGCGCGGGCGGCGGGGATGCGGGCTCGAGGGCGCGGGCGGCGCAGGAGAAGATGCTTACTATGGGCTTTGATGACTTTGAGGGTGCTTGGGAGTAGAGGTCCAGGGGCGTCGAGACGTTCTGGTACTTGATTGCGGTGCCCTGGTTCGCGGAGACGGCCTGGTGGTAGAGGTTTGAGGGGAGGGATGTGCTGGGCCGGATGTCCGGGTGAGGGTTCTCGATCACGTCGCCAAAGGGGGAGAAGGAGCCCCGGGTGAGTGGCTCGGCGGGGATGAGGAGGGTGAGAGGGGTTGTGAGTGTGGTCGGCATTGCGCGGAGTGCTTTTCTTTCCTCTTGTCTTTGAGTTTCTTCTTCTTTTTTCTTTTTTTTTTTTCTTTCTTTGTTTCTTCAATCTAGTGTTGGTAAGTTCCGTTTGTTTTGGATGAGATGATGGATTGGGATTGAGTGAGATTTGAGATTGAGATGAGCGGTTGGTGGTTGAAGGTGAAGGTGGAGGTGGAGGTGGAGGTGGAGGGGGTGGGAGGGGATATGGGAGGTTCAATGAAGCTCAGATCGGCTTTCATGAGCTTGATTGAGGTGGGCAAAAAGCTTGGCGGAGCTTTGTCCAAGCTAGCTGGCGGAGCTGCTGAAGCTTTGCTACTCTTCAGTGGGTGAGTGTTGGTCTGTGCGTGTGTGCCTCGGTGCGGGTGACGGATGGGGTCTGATAAGGATTGTGGGGATCCGTTCACGGAGTCATTAACAAATGTCATCTAGACCTATCAATTTCCTCTGGAGCTGATGAGAAAAGAGAGATGCAGCCGCCGGTGGGGCGCAGTTGGAACGCATTGTCTCGGACACTCCCCAACTCTCCCAACATCAACGTCGAGCATGTTGGGGATTGTTTCTCCGGGGTGGGTTGTGTGGTCGTCGGTGTTTATCCGGCATTCATTATGATGGGTTGATTGCCGCCAAAAGCTGACAGCTGTAGTAGGTATGCAAATGCTGGGTTGACACTTGGCCATGGCTGTGTAGATGTTGCCAATGACGCAGCGGCGTTTTTTTGGGGGTCAATTTGTTGACTTGGACGAGCATGAGCATGACCAGCGCATTGCGTCTCCTCCAGGGGAACTCCGTGTGCAGTCACATCATGAGACCCTGAGTTGCCATTTCGAGCTTCTGGTCGTATGACGCCGATGTCGCCGAGTCATGGCTCGTGCAGTGGTATCAGGGCAACTCTGTTTCTGGAAAGACGAAATGACCCAGGTGTCTCTATTAACGAGGTCCGAGGTTCATCAGGTTGTGAGATGTAGCTGACTAGGAGCAGGGACGGTCTAAACTAATTACTATCGAACTGAGCCAGCTTCATCCTGGGTTCGCGGCATATAATACTTGTCATTGATGGATTACATCTCGCGAGAGCAAGAGAAGCCAGCTTAGTTGAATGATTGCCAATTGAAGATTTCAGAGTCCAGTAATAAATCTACTCCTGTTGGCATCTCACTTCAAATAGCTCTTCAAGTCTGAGCTACTTGAAGCTATCGCCAGCCTGAGTCTAATGTGAGTTTGCCTGCTGCTGGTTTACCCACCACAGTCGACATTTTGGTTTCGGAGAGGCTGATTCGAAAGTCCATCTCGCGTTCCTTTCTCCGCTGAATTTCCCGCCTGCTCAGCTGTTCGTTGTGTTGTTCGAGGCTATGTTACTTAAACTCTACGTCGTCTGATGCCGTTTTGCTTGTTTGGAGACAGTGGGGAATGGCGGGGTTCAGTTCACGAGGATACAGAGGGCGTTTGGAGGTGCCTCGGCCTGCGACTAGATCCTCATCTTCGATGTGTTGGTTCATGGAATCGATCACATGTTTGAGGAAGAAGCCTCAATGGGATTTTCAGCTTGTGCTTCACCTTGTGATGAAGGCCGCCTTAATGAAGTCTTCTATAAAGACTAGGACTTTGTTACCGGCCTAGCTTACTGAGCTCAACCGTCAATCATCTCTTGTACACGGCTCGTGCACATATCTCCGCCCGCCTTGTAAACATGGAGATTCAAGAAACTGTAAATATCCCAAATTGGACTGCCTAGGGTTTGCGGTTGAGGCCAGATTCAATAGAGGTTAAAGACTAGTAGATATTTACACATTGCTATGACATCGTCTAACGGCATAAATTAAGCAACAACCCCCCTCAAATGAGTAGGCTGCTCCGCAGAAACAGAAGGTGTTGCAGCTTCTGATCCAACCTCATTCTCTCCAGCGATCTCCCGAAAGATTCGCTCCAAAATGCCGAATCTCAAGCTCACAATGGTATCATGCTCTGCTTTCGGGATCACACAGCTGGTATAGTCGATCCCGCCCCCCCGCTGCTCTTCTCTCCAGCAGTGATCAAACCACTTCGGTCCATTGCCAGTCCCAATCATGGAGTCCGACTCGGAAAAGAAGACGTCCACGCGCAGCTTCACGCCACCAGATCTCAAACTCCTCTCCTTTTCCGCTAACAAAGGGACATACTTGTCGTAATCCCTCCATTCCCCCCAAAAGTCATCGTGCCCCTGCCTCTTCAACAGCAAAACCGCATCCTGCCCCAGCCCCTGCGTATTCTCGGAATACACCTTCGCAATAAGAGGCCCCCAAAGCTTCTCCTCAAACTCAGCCAGCTTGGCATCAACTCCAGGCGCGATATACAGGCTCTTGCCCTGCAAGCTAGGGATCAACCCGCTGATGGCATCGCTCGCGGCACCGCTGAACCCCGTCACGGGGGCGAGATTACGGTTGAAGAAGCCGGCGACCTTGTCGAACGCGCCGACCATTCCCTCGGGCAACCCGCTCGCGAGCGTCATGAGCGACGCGCCAGAATGCGAAGGGTGTATCCATGGCGCGCAGAGCGCGACGTATGGGCGAGCAGGGGAGAGCAGATGGCCCAGGTAGAGCAGAAAGTTGAGAGCGTAGACGGCGCCGCCGCTGTGCGCCGCCAGGGAGACGCCGTGGCGGATGCCAAGGTGCGAGAGTAGCGCAGGTACGAGCTCGAGCCAGGCCTGTACGCGGTCGCCGGGGCTGGGGACGGCGGTGGTGCCGCCGAAGCCCGGCCGGTCGACGTCGACTATGCGGACGCAGTATTTCTTGGCGAGGGTGTCCTTGGCGATGTGGAGATACCGACTTGCGGTGGTTCATGTGTTTTAGCGGGGAGGTTTGTGAGACCGAGACCGACTCATCGGGTTCTTTTCTTCTTCTTCTTTGGGAGGTCTTACCTGCCTAGCAGGGGGCCGCAGAGGAGAAGGACTCGCTCGCGCTCCGGATGATCTGGGTTGCGGTAGCCATAGTCGCTGTACGTCACTTTGAACTCTTGCGACCGGGACGGGCTTGTCGGGAGGGTGAAGGTCTGATGGAAGCGAGGGTCATTGATGTATTCTGCTGGGTCTGGGAAGCCCGCATCTTGGGTTTGAATTGAATTGGATGATGCGTCTTGGTGAGCCATCTTTTGATTTTGATTGTGGCTGTTGAGTAAATCAAACAAAGTAAAAGGGTTTCCGCGGTCTTGGCTGGGTGCCAGGGTCTCGACGATTTTATGAAGTAGGTTCTGTGGCGTGAAGGAGTCTCACCAAATGCTGAAAATGGAATAAAACAGAAAGCAGTTGATGCTACGAAGTAAGCTGGCTCGTATTGCAACGCGCGTCGAGGCATACGCGGCTACAGGTACTAAGGCTGACTTAGAGTGCTTACGTTGGGAAGGAAAAGGCGCTAGCCTGTCGGCGAAAGGATCTTCTTGGCTTACAACCCATGTTAAACATTCGGTTTCGACGAGGCTGACAGTCGAGATGACGGTTGCCCATCGCAATCCGTGTTTGTGTTGCCAAGATGCTACGAAATGAGTGAGTATGCACTTGATCAGTTTATGTGCTTTTTCCACCTTGATGCTGATCGAAATTGAAAGGACCCTGTTGCACGAGGAACAACACTTACAAGCTGAGTAAAATGGTGGGAAAAACAGGGGGTTACTGCGTCGCTTTCACGATGGTATATGATGTCATGGCTGTAAGAAACTGAGGTCGTGAAAGCCAGTCGCAACGGTCATCGCGGTAGTACGGCCTTCGAGAATTTGTCTCAATGCGCCATTTGACAGGAGACAACATACATATCATCACCTAGAAACATGTCAACCAAGCCTCGTGAAGCTTCTACAACGATGGACAAGATGTGCGCCTCCGTTCATCAAACCCGTCGTCTCATTACACCTGCGCCTCACATATAGGAGACGAAGTGAGGCCGAACAAGAAAACCAGCCTCAACGAACATATACACCAAGACACATTAGCCATATCCTATTCTGCGAGCTCTTCCTACATATAAGCCAAGCCGAGATACAAATCCCCCTAACAGATACACAACCTCTCCTCTCTCCCTCATTCCCTTCCGCACTCTCTATCCTATTCATTTCAGCATACACGAATACATTTTCTTTTCCGTACACAATAATCTCATAATGCGTACCACACTCTTCCTCCTCGCATCAGGCCTCCTCGCCTCGGTGGCCGTCGCGGCCCCCTTGACGACAATGCCCAACGCAACGGCCGCCAAACTCCCCGCTGAAAGCGAGCTCCCAAACACAGAAGACGTGGATGACACGGCCACCAAAGAGACTGCCAAAACGACATCCGTCAGCCCAGACCTCCTCCGGCAGGCGCCCGGCGAAGCCAGACACAAGCGGAACGCCCGCGATGTGCGCGCCCGCACCGACATCGACACCATCATGGCCATGATCGAGGACTTGACTGGTGGAGACGCCGCCTCCCTCGACGCCATCCTCGCTCTGCTGGAAGGACTGGCTGTCACCGGCACCAAGCGCGAGAACAAGGAGCCCGCTCACGGCGCCGTTCCGCGTGACACCATCACGGAAACCGTCAACGGAGTTACTGACCCCGTCACCGGGGCAGTCGATGACCTTGTCGAGAGCGTCACAAAGCGAGGGAGCAGCAGCAAGAACCCTTCTTCCTCGATGGAAGGTGCGTCCAAGTCAGGCGTCATCAAGCGCGAGAACAAGGAGCCCGCTCACGGCGTCGTTCCCCGTCAAATCATCGGGGGGGTCACTTCTACACTTAATAACCCCATCACCGGGGCTATCGGTACAGTTATCCTGGACATCCCAAAGCGAGACAGCAGCAGCAGCAGCAGCAAGGGCCCTTCTTCCTTGCTGGAAGGCGTGTCCAAGTCGGGCGTCATAGATGACAGCTTTGCGGGCGCCGTGGGCGTCACCAACAGCGTCGGCGGCATCGCCACCGTCCTCGGCACCACTGTCGTCAACAAGCGCGATGGCGAGAACGTCCCGAGAGAAGCCGCGCCTCTCGTAATCGGCGCTCTTTGCAAGCGCGACGGCGAGAATGCCCGAAGGGAAGCGGCCACGGTCGATATTGATGCTAGCACCTGTGCATAAATCCAACGGTAAGTAAAAAAATTTTTTTTTTTTTTTTTTTAAAAAAAAGCCCCCCCCCTTTCCCCCTGTCAGGATAGACATTTTGTCGTCGGAACCCAAACCGCTGACTGTGAGATGTAGACAGTCCTATACAACGACCAGCACAATTTTTCCACGGGGTGAAAGCCTACCTAGCCCCCAACTTTAATCTCCGTAAGGCAAAGATTAACTGGGCGTGAAGGGTGGATAGGAAAATACCCGGACATCGAACAAGTATCTACAACGAAGAAACATAAACTACAAACATGGGTGGTCGGTGTAATTCACGATAAACTAGCAAACCCCAGACATCGTTACATAGTGCGGAGATCTGTATGTATGGCACACTCTGACCAAGATGGAATCCGTCCGGATATATGGCTGCTCAAGGATGCTGGGCGCCCCTGAGTTGCTTGTCCGGAGGGTGGCGATGGTGGCAGGACGAGGAAGTGTACGGCGTCAAATGTAATGAGGTGTGAAAGTCATGTTTTTTTATTGGGAGAACGAGTAACTACCCCCTCCCAAGCTGTCCTTTCCGATTAATCTATTAATTTCCAAATCTTCTGTCCCGTTTTCTCCCCTGGTGTCTAGATGAGGTCATGCCCTCTTACAATTTCCGTTTACCATTTGTCCGATTTGGCTGTTGATTACAACGTCTATCGACTACGACGGCTGCCTGATAACTCGTGGACTTCGATACCATTTTAGGGAAGAAACTGAAATCCCGATATTCTGCCCATAATCCGAAAGTCGTCAATCCGGACCTGTGGTGAGCAGACATAAGAGGGCATCCAAAGGCTCACAATACGAAGCCAATTTGATGTGTAAACACGTCACATTATGTATGATTGAATGACCATGACAATTACAATTGACACGTCTATGCTCCTTTGGGAGCTTACTCGGTATCTACCCGTCTACTCGCCACACCATCATTTGTACAACTAAAGGCCCAACAGCCGTGAGCGGGTAAGAAAATGGTCTAGTCGCTTCAAAATGCCCAAGGCGTAAGAAAAATAGAAAGAAAGAACAAAAGTTATCGTAATGAAACAGATAAAAGAAAAAAACAGTGGTATGTTTCGAGATGCCGTTGCCTGCGGGCTGGTACGGTAAAGATACAAGCCAGCGCCCACAAGCGGAAAGCAAAACAAAGAACGCCGAGCTCCTACGACGACAATTGCGCCGATTTCTCCCTTCTTTTTCTCAGCTCGCATCGCATGCGGATGCACAATGCGCGAGGGTTGAGACCGTAGACTCCCAGCTAGAAGTCTGCCGTCCTTTTCGTGACCTCGACCAGCTTTCATGACCAGGTTCGGCATGCCATAGGCGCTTCCCTCTGGACGTGTGGTCTTGGGCTCTGTGGCCTCGACTACCGGCGTTCCGCTGCTACCTACACTCGCCATCATAAACGCGGAACCCCGTTGAAGCCAGCCGTGTTCGTACATCATACACCATCGTAGCATGAGCGCGTTCAGCCGTAGAACAGCTCAAACTTAGTCTTGAAACCGGGTTCTGTCGGCTTCACCTCCTTGATGGGGTGAAGAATCATCGGAGGCAAGCAAGGGCGGCCGTGAGTTCGCTCCCATTCTTTGCCTCCGTACGACGTGTCCTCGTAACCGATCCAGTTGTTGTACAATCTCGCGGGAGGCTCGGCGCGGTAGTACCAAGTCATGCCCTGGTATCTGCGCTCTCTTCCCCAGCCCATGGGGCTTCCCTCACCACCGCTCTCGCCGCGAGGTCCGGGATTGAACCACTTGGCGAGGAAGGTACCGTTCCACGGGCGGTCGAACCAGGTGGGGTGGGGCGCAAAGACGGTCTTAAAGCCGTGGAGGAGCGCAACAGTTTGAGGCGTCATCTCGGAGGCGATGTGGTTGCCGCGGAGGTTCTCGACGTGCATGATGTCCAACAGGCGCTTTGAGACACGGGACTGAGTGACAATCGTGGTGCGGCGGGGGAGCGTTTTGGCGGGGTCAGGGTGAGCCTCGTCTCTGTAACCCCAAATATGATCGGAAATAATCCAGCTGCTGTTGATGGGGTTGAAAATGGGACCGACGGTAATCATATCCGCATCCTCGCCAACTCCCCACTTGTACGAGTCCCTCTCGGGGTTGTCAACAGGCGGCTTAGGACCAACGGGGTTGATGAAGGGCAGCTTGGGAGGTCCCCAGATCTGGTTGCCACGGGTGCGCTTCTCGACATCGTTGCGGAAGTCGTTGTCATAGTCTCCGTGGTATTCGGGGATGTAGTAGCGCTCGTTGCGCTCCCAGAGACCTCTGCGAGGCTGCTTCTTGGCGAACTCGTCAAGGCGCTTCAGGAAGTCGTAGTGGTGGCCAACAATTCGGGCGTCCATCTCCCAGTTCCAGATGAAGTCGAATTCGGGATGGTCTTGGCTAAACTTCTGCACCGAAAGCCACTGAGCAGAGTGAACGCTCCGCTCGTTTTCGTCCGTGAGGGCCGTGTAAACATCCCAAACGGCCTTATCGTTCCACAACTTTGTAATGCCGTGGAACTCGAGAGGCACATGCTCGTTGAGAACGTACTGGTAAGTGGCCTCATCGTTCAAGATATCAAGCTCTTGCTCGCGCACGTGCAGCAGCAGGAAAACCTGGAATTCACCACCAGATCGGAGCGACAGCTCGGAAATTAGGGCGCGGATGACCTGCTTGTCGTTTTCGCTATACTTCTTACCGGTGTAAGACCTCAAGAGAACAGCGGTGCGAGGGTCGGCCTTCTTGGCCTTCGCATCCTTTGATTTGCTGGTGAAGCCGCGCTTTTTGGACTCTTCGTCTTCGACTTCACTACCGTACTTCTCGGCAATCTCGGGATAGGCGGTCTTGATGTAGGGGTTAGGCTTACCCTCGTCGAAACGAGCGGCATTTCTCTCGATACACTTCTCCTGCAAGTCGCCCCAGTTGATGTTGTCCCAATCAATACGGAGGCCGGCCTTGCTAAGCTGGGGTAGGAGACCGTAAGGGCCAAGGCGAGTCTCGCGCTCGTAGCAGATGTTTCCATCCATGTTCAAAACGTCGAAGCTGCCGAAACCGGTCGCGGGAAACTTTTTGGGTTGACCCTTGAAGACAAGGAGATCCTCGACAGCCTCGCCGGTGGCTCCAATGCATGGCACATGAGGCGCGCGGTGCGTCTTGTTCCATTCCTCGCTGTTGTAGTCGGGGTACGGGTTGTAGTAAACTGGTCGCTGGTTCGTGTACGCCAGCTCCTGGGAGCCGGCCTCGCGGAGAGCGGCAGCATGCTCGGCGGTTCTGTTGTCCTTGTTGGCCAACGAATTGATTGTGTTGCCGTAGATGGCATCGTTGCCAGGAAGCCTGGTAAAGTTTAGACTGAGTTAGTTTATGCTGGCTTTCGTGACAGATGATGTTTCTGCCGGTTCATCAGCAGGAAGGAAGCACGTACCTTTTGGCGGCCTCGTACTCTGCGGCGAATTCATCTCGAAGAGATTGCTCATATTTTTCCCGCTCCTGCTTCAACTTCTCCTCCTCCTGCTTGCGCTCTTCCTCCGACTTGGGCGGCTCGGCGGGCTTCACGGGCTGGCCGGGAGCGACGGCGCCATTTTGATCCCAAGGGACAACACGATAACCAGCGGGAGCACCGCGAGTCGCGAGAAAATATACAGAAACAAGAGCAAGGGCCAAGAAGAGCAACGTCTTGGGACGAGCCCTCGGGAGAATGATGCCTCTCGATGACTGTTGTTTAAGCATGGTCATCATTGCCGATGCGGGCGCAGGCGGCGTTCGCGGTGGCGGCGGCAGCTACTATATTAACAAAAAACCGCAACGGTTTGAAACGGGTATGATGTCGCTATCAGATGGTGGCGGCGGTGACGGCGGTGGTGGCTGGGCGATGGTGCAAAAGAGCCTCGTAACTATAGAGGCATGCTGCGATAAGCTCGCAATCTGGACCAAAATGAAAGGACAGGCGCAGTACGCAGCCACGAAGTAATTGACGAAGGACGAAAGACGAAGAGACGACAGTTGTTTCTCGCAGGTAGCCTAATCGACAAACCGGTTTAACAAACAGCGCGCGGCGGTCGAAGCGGGACCTGGACTGGGGACTTGGCGAGATTGGATAAGGCCTGATGATTAAAAGAGTGGTACGGCTCCTATCAAAGAAGACCCCGTTCGGTATTTTTTCCCCCCTGGCGTGGTTGGTGCGGATTGGTGTTGGTGTGTGGATGACAGTTGGCGCGGGGAGAAGCTCCACGGATAAAGATGAAGGTTGAATCGAAAAGATGAAACAAGCAAAGAAGAAAAAAAGGTTGTGCTGCTGGCTCCTACAGATGCTGCGAACTGCAGTTGTGAGAAGAAGAGCGGCAGTGAAAAAGAAGGAGAAGGAGGGGAGGCACGCACGTTGCTGGTGGATGGAACCCAAAAATGAGGGTCAATCAACGATGGATAGGGAAAGGAGTGGTAGAAGATCCATAAGCATACATAGATAGTATGGCACATCCAGCAGCAAAGCAGGATCTTGGGAAAGGGGAGAGGAAACAAAATAGAGGAGGAATACCACCAATCCGAAGGCTTTGTTGGGGTTGAAGGCAAGGGTTAGGCGCAGGGGAGGCACACTCTCCTGCTGCGGTGCAGAATCGTCATGATACCTGCTAATACTAGTACTCGATACAGAGGGGAAGTGGATTCCACGCAGCACACAACAAGAAGCCTTGAATAGTATGTAAATGGTAATGTGGAAACCCGCCCCCGTCTTGTGTTTCCAAGGGGAAACCTGCAGACTACCTAGAGATGGGACACGTACCACTTCACCCACTGCCGAGCGCGGCAGCACCAACGAGAAAAAGGGACCCACGGAATATCTGGGTGCGAAAGGGTGGTGATCGCCAGTATGAGCAAGAACGAGAGTGGCCACAGACCAACTAATCTCCAGGGAAGGGAACGACTTTCTAGCGGGCCCCCTCCCCATCTGCCCTTAGTGACGATGAATGATTGGATGGGGGCGGGAGACTTGGCCTTTACACACTACCTAGTACTCCGGCGTCCGGCAATCAAGCAATCAATCCATCACATCGCAAAGACCTCCACGACCTCGTGCGGTGTAGGAGCGTGGAGACTCTCTTGTTTCCGGGATGACATTATGTGATTTAGACCTACTGCTAGTAAGTAAAGGGGGGGCCAAGTTTTGGATGCTAACAAGCGCGGGTAGTGGATTTTTTTTTTTTTTTTGTGCTTTCGCCGCCAGGCCAACGATCAGTGGATGTCCCAATCTTAGGACGTGATTGCGCCAGCCCGGCTTTAATTCCTTCCTTCGACGTTATCAATTACAACCTAGGAGGATTTTTCTTTCCCTTGGCTGCAATCCCGGTTTTCGGCTCGCCCAGTGAGACATGAACAAAGAAGTATGGAATCAGCCACGCGTTGTTCGTCGGGCCGTTGGATGGGTTGAAACCTACCGTCTGATCTAAAAAAGCAAGTAAAAATTGAGGCTTGGTTGGCCCTGTCCAACTTTCCCATTGACAAGAGCATGGGCAATTTTTGAAAATTTCTCACCAACGGCCGTCATTCCCTTCCCCCCCGTCGTTTTCCCCTGACTATTTTAGCTTCAAGCCATTTTGGTTGTCGCCTAACCCACAGACAGACAAGATGCTGCACCTGCTTTTCGACAGGTGGCGTTTATGATAGGGCGAGAGAAGAGAGAGAAGGGGAAAACCCAGAAAAGAAGAAAAGAAAATGGAGCTACTCTCCCCTGTCGATCATTCCAAGTACCGAGACACCAAATGCTCGTAGCGAAGTACCATCCACAGCGCCAGGAATAAAGAGGAAGCACTTTACACGTGTGGTATTACAGCTCCCACGCGAGGAAGCCCGGCACGACAAAAGATCAAAAGAGGCAACAAGGTCCCGTCGACAAACATGCATCGCGACTCAGGCTCCCGCTTGAGGTGACATACGGTCAATAAGTCGACTTGCTGCTCTCCGGAGTCGGGTCCCGAACCGTCCCAAACCCCGACCACCACGCCTGCTGAAGCGCCAGGAACTCCGAAGCAAGATCGTCACGGATCGGCTCTCTATGCTCCCTCTTCAAGAAGGTTACATTGGAATGACTGATTAGAACCCACGGAGACTGGCGAAATCACGGACGCCAGACCGACAGTTTCCCCCTTCCCAAGCTCAAACGTCAAGGACGCCGCAGCGCTTGAGCGCACATTGACATACACGAGCACCCACAGCTGGCAGCTGTAAGAAATCCTACGCACACACGGACACCCGCATTTGACAGTGCTTTACATCATCATCACCCTTGGACAGCGAAGCGGCAGCAGAAGCACGACAGACAACCACCTCGAGTTACCTCGGATAGACATGCATACCGTTGGTGGGACCATCTTAACGTTGCCTCTCTCCTGGACTTCTATCTGAAGTAGACTTTTCCGGAAGCAAAAAAGACTTGTGACCAGAAAAATAATCTGCAATGCTCAATCAACGCCACGCAGCAGCCAGCGTCGTCGCACCTCAGCCAGGACAAACAAGCCGTGGGCGCCACGTTTATAAGCTGGGGTGCTAAAGTTAGCGCCGCCGACGTAGGGAGCTCCCAGTGAAGAAAGTCTTATTTGAGGGTGAGACATGCGCTGGCGACCTGGCCGGAGAATTTCAAAAAAGCAACGAAGCTGCGATGCCTCATATCGTCATTCCAGGATTTACTACGTAGGGATTTGATTGCTGAACGACTCTGAAGCATAGAGAAGGAATTTTCTCGTTCCATCACGCCATGGTCACTTCCTCTGTCGGGTTCATCAGAAAACGCAGCAATCTCTTCTGCAAAGTACTCCTCCGTCCTCATCCTCCTCTGCCCTGGCCTGGCCGTCCTTATTTAAATTCTATTTCCATCCCACCCACTTAGCCCCCATAAGCGGCAAGAATAGAAGGGCAAAAAGAAAAAAAAAAAAGCTGAAACCAGCCCAACCAACCAATCACTACGTTGCATCAGGTACCCACTTTGAACCCCTATTCCCCTGGCACCTCAGTCCAGGTTGTCCGTCCACACCCACTCACTCTTCTCTCTATCTTCGTCTTACGGTACCACCGCGTACACAACCACAGATAACAGGCTGCAGGAGTTCGTCGTGGGGGGGTTACACCGTACACCGTACAGGTTGCAGCACAGCCGCAGCAGCAAGTCAGCTTCGTCAACCCACGACACTAGCGCACTTTCCCAAACCACCACTCTCCATGAAACAATTCCCCCCCCTTGTGGAGACCCTTTCATCGAGAGTAACCCGCTGAGGCAGTTTATCTGCTGTTAACGGGGTTCACCGACTTGCCATCTTGTAGGATACTACTGCCCGCCCGCAAAGGCCACGAACACCAACATCATTACACCGTGACCATAGCCATTTCTCCAAAATAACAATGAAGAAAAAAAAGACATTGTGCCGTAGGACCCACGTAACCTCGTCCACCACCACCCGATTCGGGCCGGCGGAGGCACGTATGCCTGAGCATGCCTGAGGGAAAGAATTAAAAAAAAAAAAAAAATTGAGGAAATTGTTATCGGACACGGCGCCCCGTCTCGGCGGCGGATATCCAATCCCACATCCGGGACGGAACGGGGGACTCATCGAGTGATGACAGTTGACTCGTTGACCGTGATAAAAGTGTCAAGACTTTCACTTCCGTCCCCCCCGGAACACCCTCAAGAGACTAACTAGCATGAATGAATATATATCCACGTAACAAAGTGACATGCCAACACGGTTGCACTCTCTCATATTCCTAGATAACGAAGCAATTTCATTATCCAGCTAGGGTATAAATACTACTCAAAGTGTGTTTGTTGCCTGAACACGTCAAGACAACCGAAAAGTTAAAATAAACGTACCCTCCCGTTTTCGGCCCGTTTACCATCAAAAAATGTCTAACAGCCGCATTCGATTTATTAACCCTCAGACCGAGACATCGTTGCAAACGGGGGAGGTAGTGGGAAAAAGGAAATAAATAAACTATATGTCGACCCGAACCGTTAAACTCCCAACGGTACGAAAAACCCGTTTAAACAGCCAAACCATCACACCACGGAACAAAAAGTTTACCCTTTGACACTGACACACACACACACATACACACACAAAGTTAAACTAATCGTTTCTTGAATTGGCTTGTCCTATATATCTCGGCCTTGTAGCCGCCTGGCCCATCAAACGGCCAATAATGCTGCGAGCACCCGTGTGCACCCTGTTTGTTGCCTGCCAAGTCTTCGTCCCTCCTCAGCGTAAACGCCTTGTCCCCATGCAAACATGCTATTCCCCTTTTTTTTCAGGGCAGGGCTCCTTCCCAGTCATCGACAACAAACGAGACGACATCCACGTCGTCCACTCTATGCAGGTATCAACAGAGTCCACTAGGGACCGGGTATATATAACTCCAGACGGCAGAAAGAAAAGAAGAAAAAATGTGTCAAGGTGGCGAGATGAGGGTTGGTATATCGTAGTCGTGAGATGTGTTCGTGGGTATTAAAAATGCAGTAGATATAACGGTCCATAAAAGACCATGCATGCGGTTGTTGTGGTTGTTATTGGAATGCTGCCTTCAAGAGATGTCGGTGTTGGTCTCTTGCAGCTTACATCATTCCCAGTCTCGTCATGCGCTTGTTCATGCGAGGCATCGGCGCAGCAAGGCCGGCTCCGGGAGGCATCCGCTGGCCGCGCGGGAGACCAACAGGAGGCCGCATGCCCGACTGGCCGTTACTGGGTCGTCGACCGCGGTCTCCGGGTCCTCCAGGTCCTCCAGGAACGCCGAGGCTGCCAGGCGGGGGTCCTCGGGTCGACTTTTGCACACGGCGCCATGCATCCCGTTCACAAAAGGCCCTGCCGTTAACCTCGAAATAGCCGTTGGACAGAGACATGCCGCAGTCGCCGCACCGGAAGCAGCCGACGTGATACTTGACTCGCTCTTCGTCCTCAAGGTACTGACCCTCGATGCCGCGTCCGCATGTTCCGCACAAGCTGCCGTTCAGCTTGTGGTAGTGCTGCTCGCAGTAGGGCTTGTCGTCGAGAACGTAGAACTCGGCGGACGAGAAGGGCTCGCGGCAGGTCGTGCAGACGAAGCAGGCCTTGTGGTAGCGGCCGGTGAGACGGCCATCGGCGGACGAAATGCTCTTGCCCTTGATCGGGTCGCCGCACGACTTGCAGTTTCCGCGAGAGGGTTGAACAGCAGGGTCACGGCGACGGGTGCGGGGCGGTGATGAAACGCTTTGTAGATCACTGGGTTGACGCTCGTGGCCCTGGTCATAGCGATCCGTGGGGTACCTGGTGGCATCGCGGTCTTGTGTTGCAAGCGGAGATCTGGCGCGCGGGCGTCCACCTTGGATGGCAGGGTCGTTTCGGAAATCCTCAGAGGGTTCACGACGGCTGAAATACGGATCCCTCGGCGACTTCTTGGGCGGCGGGGGCGGCATGTCGTTCATACCTGGCATAGCAGCCATCGACGACTCGAGCTCGTTCATCAAGCTGTCAAAACCAGACGTGTCGGAAGGCTTCCTTCGTCCACGCTGCATCGTGCTAGATTGTGAGCTGCTCTGCGAGCTTGTCTGGCGGCCATGGCTGAACACGGAGGCCCCAGATGACGTCGAGGTAGAGGGTGTGTGATACGGGTTGTTCGCTCCAAACTCGCTGGCTAAATCAACAGGCGGCGCAGCGTCCCTTCCAGAAGTTGTCGGTCGCAGCAGGCTCGTTCTCGGCGGGGGCGCTCTCGATGTGTCCGGTCCCATGGAACGCTTCCTCTCATGGTCAGGTCTGCTGAGCCTGTCGGGTCGTAGGCCAGGAGCCGACGGCGTCCTCGCGGGCGCTTCCGTCGGCTCGCTAGGGCGAGGGAAAGTACCTGCTCGGCTTCCAAACGGCTCAGGCTCGAATTCGTCCGGATTCGTCCCCGGAGGACCAAACCCCCCATACCCATTCTTTCTCGGTAGTCTTGGTGGTGCAATGCCGCCGGCGTTACTGCTCCCAGAAGACATGAAAGAGTTGTTTGAAGCTGACGTTAGTGGACGGTCGCCAAAGTTGTCCTCCGGCGTGAGGGACTCCTTTCGAGACGACCTCATGGCAAGCTTTGCGGCTGATGGCGCGGCTCCTCCCCTTCTACCAGCGTCGAACGGTCCTGGTGCGATGGTGTTCATGCGTTGAAGCAAGCTCGGGGCCTGTTTCTTGGGCTCACTTGGATACATCTGATCACCGAACTCGTCATTGTCGTCGAACGCTCCATAGCCGCCGGGTCGTCGAGTTTGCTGATTCGAGCCGTAGTCGTTGGCAATCTGTGGTTGGAAGTAGTCATCTGATCGACCAAGAGCTTGACTGTTGGGCGTCTTGGGCGAAACACTGATGGATCCGGTCGACGTGCTAACTGGTGTGAGCTGACTTTGACGCATATATGGCATGTCTATTCTGGTCAGCGGGTGGTGCTCAAGAGTGCGTAGGGAAGACATACTAGCTGCGCTTGTGTCTAGAGTAGGGGGTGCCATCCGGCCATACTTGTCGAGCGGCGGAGGCGGCTGGTCGTATGAATCGAAACTATCGGGACGGCGGCCCAGAGGCGGTGATGCTATGATGAGTGTAAGTCCCGACTGTCTTCTCAAGGTGATGGGTGAGGGCTGCTACATACGCTCATCATCTGCTGCTGGGGGACCACTGCAGAGATGCTCGCCCATCATGGAGATCTCGACCTGTCTACCGCATGACGAGCACTTGATGGTGGGCATAAAACTGGACTCCCGCGGCATAGCCATTTTTGCAGAGTTGAAATCCGTGTTTTGGCTGGACGGGCCAAAGTCGTCTTGTTGTCTACTGAAAGGCGAGCGGTCTGTATTTCAAGACTCATTTACAGACCGCATCAAGGTTCAAAATTCCGTTGACGCGGGCTGTGGTCCAAAAACGGAAGTAGCGGAAGAGGAAAGGTGCTCAGAGAGCAATGGGGGGACGAGGCTCCTCTTGAGTGTTTCTAGAAGACCAAATGCGGCAGTGACGTGAACTGACGTTGTCCCTGAAAGTTTGCAGGGTGGACGCACGATCACGCCTTGTTTCCAGCTTAAGATCGGAAACTATGTAAATGTGATGTGACGGGGTCGAGGGGAAGGAGTATGGATCCCCGTTGCAGGCGCAGTTCTGAACAGGAGAGGCGTGTGACCTTGGGATGCTCAGCAGACGCCGCTTTGGTCTGGAACGGGTTGCTGTGGTTTCTTTTTTTTTTTTTTTTGTTCTCCCCCTTCTTTCGACTCAAGTGGAAGCGAAGCGCGTTGCTGCAGAGTCTCGCAGTCCGTCCCAGGATCTTGGTTGCTGTCAAGAATGCAGTGTTGGAGCGTGTTTTGGGACCAGCGCAAATGCGAGAAACATGGGCTACAATGAGTAACAGACGATAAACGGGACAGGATAAGCTGGTCTGAGGATCAGTCGCTTGGAGGAGAGATGTTGCGTCTCGTGTCTCGAAGTTGGGAAAGATGGTGTCGGGATGTTTGACGGATTTGGGGGAGTAGAGGAGAGTCACTGACTGTCTCAGTGTGCCGGAGCTGGAGCTGTTCAATGAAGAGACACTCCCCCTTGTCAATGGTGTGGGTGGTCAGAGAGAAGCACGGACAGTGGCTGTCGAGCACCCCTGGCGGCCTTGTCCGGGCCTTTCCAGGTTAGGCCTGGCGGTTGACGAGCATCAAGCAGGGGACGAGGGTGATTTGCTTGGTGTTGATGCGCGCCCAGGGGGGGAACGAGATGGAGCAGGGCCCAGACGGAGCTGGCGGAGGGGCCTTTGAAGGGTGTGGTGGGTGGCCCTGAGGGGGGTGGATGTGATGGTGGTGGTGGTGATGATGATGATGTCGAAATGTGCAAGCTTTTTCCGTTGTTTAGACTTCGCACGTGTGCCTGTAACAGCAAGGTAACGCAAAGTAGAGACAAAATAAGAACAAAAATTAAAATTCAGGTACAAAGATAGATGCGTTGGAGATCGGAGCGGACAACCGACTTCATCCCTCTCTCCGTTACGCAGACAGACCATGTCGATGATTTGATTGTGAGGTCGAATTACACCAGGAGCAGACCTGTTCACCTGCGACAAATGCACCGGGCGAGGGGTCCAACGAGTGCAGAACAAAATGGCACAGGATCGTTGGGCAAAGTGGGAAAACGGCGAGGTGGATCAGGGTCTACGGCGTTGCTTGCCTTGCAGAGGAATTCTTCCACCTGCACCTTACAGCAGCCCTTGGCCGGATTAGGAGGATGACCGCTATGGATTGGCAGGATAACCGGGCAAGACGACCTGGTTCGGGCGGAATGGAGCAGATTGCAGTGGGAAACATGCGCAGAAAATAAATAACGACAAAAAAACGATGGAAGAAAGAAAAAAAAAAGTAGCCGCAGGACCACCACACCTCTCTCTCATTCTGAGGGAAAACGACGACAGCCTTCCCCAGTAATCGCATGTTTCAGGTCCTCTATCCAGCAATATACAAGCTACAATGAAGGACGCGCTGCAGACGGAAGAAGCGCCTGACCCGGCCCTACCGCGAACATTCATCATCCATCATCCCTCATACTGCGCGGTAAACGCTAATCAAGATGAAGCCGCAATATTTCTGAATTGATTACTTGCCGGGCGCAGAGGGCTTATTTTCAGGTGAAGCTGCAATCATGGTGATACCAGCTGGGGGGGGGAAACGGCCCCAATCAGTCCACACACACACACACACACACACACACACACACACACACACAAACGAACTAACTCAGTCATCCATCTGCAAGCAAGCAACCCTTTTTTTTGTTCCCATATTTAGAATTCGGCATGACATGACTTGGAAGAGGGGCTTTCGGAGTCCGGATTGAATATTTCTAAATATGAATAGTCTCTCTTCGACACTCTTTTCGGAACACGGCGCAAGGCAAGGCTAACTACTACGTATCAGACTGCCTAGTATTAAGTAAAAGCTGTCTGTATTGGCAAGCCCCAAACACCCAAAAAAGCAATAGGCATTAGGTTTTTGCGGGTTCATATTACCTAGTAGTGACTGAAATGGCAGCCAATACGACATGGGGCCATCCAACATGCCCAAATTCGGTTGTCTTCATCTCTGCCAAATTTTAATTAACACGAACGGCGCCGCCAAAAGGAGTTCGCGCCGCGCGGGGGGGGCGCATTTTCACCCTTTTTTTTTTTTTTTTTTTTCTCCCGCTTGTCATCTTCTTCCCTCTTACTCCTCCTGGCTCTATTTTCTGGCTGTCTTAGCCTTCGGTCACTTCCCTAATCTTCCATTACTGACCAGTCACAGCCGCAGAATGCTGCCCCCCTCCAGCCAAAAGACCTCACGCGGGCACCTGGTGGCGCTGTGCCTTATTGGAGCTTATTGGAGGGCCGGGTACCTTGCAGCACGATACGGTGCCTGTGGAGCCTCATGGCCTCCAGAAGCCTATCGCTACTAGCGGCCTCGCTTGCCCCTGGCCAAACGAACCTTGAACGGTACGTACCTTTTGTTATGTACAGGCCAAACATAATATCGGCCAGGAACCATCTTGCTGGACACTGGGTGGTCAGCATATTCTACCATGGAAAGAGCCCTTCCCATAGAGAAAGAGTACCCTCTCCAGCTTCCTTGAGTTGGTTCGCTTCAACAATCAACCCAAGGCAAAATGGAGATAGCGGGTGGATTTATTCCCGATGCAGGCGGGCTTCCAATCCACACAACCGTCTAAACCACCTAAACACCCCTCGCTCGCTTCTCTCTTTCATCTGTCTTTGACCAAGGTAAAAACTGGACCAGAACCTCGTCGACCCGCACTTGCCCGGTCGACTTCTACTCACCATAGCGCCATATCCGTACTATTAGTTATACTACTGCCGATGTCGTGTGCGTATGGCCCCACTTCACCCATACTCACTTACACCTGCGCCTTTGGCGGCTTCGCTTGGATACTCACCCAGCACCTTGACAAGATTGCGCTATTCTCGATCATCAACGCTACTCCAGGGTACGGTTACTGCTTAAGCTCGTCACACGTCCTTCAGTCAGCTGCCTCCTCGTCTTAGCCCATCGATATAACGGCACGGTTTCCTGTCATTGCTGACTGTCACTCCTCACCCGCCAAGCTGTCACATCTCAACCACAGGCCCTTTTTTTTTTTTTTTTCTCACCGCAGGGCCTCCAGCGCAACCCCGAGCGGCCGACCCGACGTGTCCGCCCGCAGTGCTGCTCTGGAGTTTGTTTGGAACATAGTATGTGGTTTTGCTATATTGCTCTTTCTCTTAGACGTCTCAGTCGTCGTGGAGACGGCCGTTCCTCTCTGAAACCTTATTGGGCCAACCGGCTTTGAAGCTTGGTACGCATCATTTCAGTTAATAAGAAGCCTGGCTCAATCAGACCGTGTCGTCGACATCACCACTGGTAACATTGACGGCCTTCCGACGGAGTAGATTGGGCCTTCGTAGCATGCTATGTGGCCTCCTGGGATGGAGAGCTTCCGGCATTGAGCAATCCCTCCGATGTCCGACTCAATACTGCGACTTCAATGCTAATGCGCCGCCGTCTGCCCAACTGCCAAGCGGGAGGTAAGTGGGTGGAAAGTGGATACCATCTTCCGCCCGGTCTCGGTCCAGACTCCAAATAAAATAAAATAGAAAAATGCAGAGTCCTGGAGCACCGGGGTACGACGGACTCAAAGTTCCAATATCGAAAAGGGAATAAGTTAAATGGGGTTGCCGAAAGGCCCCTTTGGAAACGTGAGGCCTTCCAACACCTTCCAACACCCCTCAACGGAGTAGAGTTTCCAGGGAATCACCCATCTCACCGCAATTTACCTGCAGCCCTTAGCCGGCGTTGCACAATTCTGCACTAATGATTCGAATCCTCCGACACCACTGCACGCCTCGTGGCAACTGCCCTACGGCGATTCGACCACCTCCTACTACAGCGTCGTAGTTCGGCTTATTTTATTTTATTTTTCTCCCCCGGAACATCTTGGCAGTACAATGGTCTAGCGCCACGCTGCTCTACTGGAGCTGAAGGTGGGCATCTCCATGGCACCAAGAGGTGAACGTCGTCGGAATATCGGGTCGCAGACTGCAGGCAAAGTATAGAAAGAACTGCATCGAACCTCGCTGCAGCAGCAGTCGAAGCATCTCAACCTACGAATTCGCGCTGGTCTGGACCTCTCTGCTCTGACCACCCACCCCCTCCCCCCTGGTACCGTCACCCCCTGACCTGGTTCCGCCGCACATACCAAACCGTGGCTCCCTGTTTGCTCACTGGTTGATGATCCTCCTCAGAGCCATTTCCTTTTCGCAAACTCAAGTTCGTCCACCACCGCCCATGGTCAAATCAAGAGACGCACAGCACATGACGCCGCAAGTCACAGTGGAGGTTCATTAGCTTCCTTCTCCCCTCATGATCGTCTGGGCGGGACCCCTTTGGCGGCAGATGAGACTCGCTATATCGATCAACGCCCACCACGACTCTCTGTCCCCTCTTGTGAAGCTTTTGTAGACGCTGTGCGGGAGATGACACTGGCTTTGAGTCGCGCTTGGCCGTGTGCCAGAGGCCCGTTCCTGTGGCAGTCGTCATTTACAGAGGCCCCAGACCAGACAAGCGGGAGTTCATTACGTCCAATAAATCGCCGTAGGCTGAACGGCTATCAACCAGAGACAAACAGCCATGAATAATTAGTCTTGAACCTAGGCTGCAGCTCTAATCTGAGTAATCTGAGCCATCATGGTGTCATTCCACCAAGCCATCGGGGGGGGCACATCAGTGCCAACAGGACGTGCTCTTCTTGCTCCGCCCATCACCGAGCATCAAGGACGCTACGTGACGCAATCCGAGCGATGGCGTCTTTTTTATTTTATTGTTTTTTCTTGATCTTGCCCCAGTCATCACGGCCTTCTGGAAATCTGCAGCGTCCGCCGTGACCTTCTTCCCCGTTGGCTTTCCACAGGGACACACGAACACACACTATCGAATTGCAGCAGACGTGATATATTCTCCGGGAATGCGGCTCACAGTTGACGGGACCGCTCACGACGCACAAACATGCGGTCAGCGGCGCAACCTGCCAATATCACGTCTCCGCCTGTCTAGGTCCGCTGATAAGGATCTCCGACAGATGGCCATATCAAGCATCACTAACAGAATCGCTGTTTACCCCCCGTCGCCTATCTTTACTAACTACGCCGTGTCTTTCAAATGCCGCCGGCAGGTCCCCCCCCCCTCTATTCCCAATCATCGCACCTCCCCAAATGAGATGCATGTCAACCGTAAAGAGAAACTCGCGCATTGAAGGTCTCACCTTGGCATACATGTCCTGCGCCCCCTCCTCCCCAGTCACCAATGTGTGTGTGTACTTGTGTTTTCTTCCTTTTGTTAGTCACATTCGAGAATCAGACAGAGACAGAAACCCCCCGAGTCAACCCGACTCAGGACATTTAGCCGCCGCGCCGCAGTCCGCTCCGAGCGTCGGGGTAAAGAAAAAAATAACGGTCCCCCCCTTCCCTGAACTCGAGACGTCGGAACATTGACGCGACTTGATGCCGTCTCGCCTCTTCTCAGTCCAGTCCGACACACGCTTTGCAGATCGAGCATATGGCCCATGAACCGGCATCATCCCTGTGTAGATACTCCATGTGGCCTATACACTAGGAGAAAAAAAGAGAAGAAGCAAAATCCGTCCTTTGTACAGATCGTCGAACCTGTGACCGTGACATGGCTGATCATGCGAAGATCCTCTTTTTTTTTTTTTGCCATCTCTTTATTGAACCCCCTCTCTTCGTCATATCAGTATCTCGTGCCTGAAGGATCCATGCGCTCTTTGAATATTCCGTAAGGGAACTGACTCACTACATGCGGACAGTTTTACATTGAGACTCTTCAGCATTGGTGGTAAATGGAAACACATGGACTTTGTCCAAGCAAAAATACCATGTACTTACACAAATTCAACCAAAAAAGCAAAAGCAATGTCGACGTGGGCCTGATTCGAACAGACGCTCCCGAAGGAACAAGATTTCTAGTCTTGCGCATTAGACCACTCTGCCACCACGCCGCATAGGAGTTTTTGGCATTTTACAAACTTATGATGCCTAGGTCACAATGACAGCTGGCACCAGCTGCAGCTTACACTACGGCTTACGATTCAAACGACGAGACTTTCATCTTAATGGTCTCGCAACGAATGGAAATTGTCTCAGTAGTGATACTATTCCGAGAAACGCCATAAGAATACAACTTTGAAATTTGCTCATCTTGAGACTGTGGGCTAGCTTCCCTTTAGAAACTCGACCCTGTCTTTCACCGAGAAGAAAGCGCGAGTACATCCTGAGGGAGATATCCTTCGTGCTTCAGCATCTGCAATGATACCCCCAAAACGGCACCATTTTCAAATATACGAGACTACGGGTTCAGGCAGATCCGATTTTAAACTTTTGAGGATGCTGTACAAGGGGTTTTGGGAGATTGTACGCGGCGCATGGTTGCTCTCAACTCTACAACCGAGGAATGCTGCAAAAGACAATAATTAATTATCATCCCTCCACCCATTCCAGACTGACGTGGATCTCTTGTCGTTCGGGAGATCGAAAAATGGTCACTTCCCCATCATCGGCCCGTTCATCGCTCGCAGTGTCTACGATTCTTATGAACCGAGCAACGGGAGACAATGCCCCCCCCCCTCCTCCGTCTCCTTAGGTATTTGCCATCTCCAGTGAGACCGAAACAGCGATACCTTGATCCAGATCTGAAGAATTCCACTCAACAAATGACTTCGAGGCAACATACTTCCATGTTTACGACCGATAACGGAATGAAATGTCCTATCGAAACTTTTTGTTAGCCGAGTTATAAACGCCCAAAATCCGCGTCCACGTCATTGACGCAGACAGAGTTTGGAGGGGGACCTCTTCGTTCTCGTCGAATGCCTCGGGAAAGTCGAAGCAGCCTAGGAGGCGTTCGTCTTTTGCAGCGCCGTCGGCGTGTCTTATGCTGGTGCGGCCATCGGCGCCTCTCCGGACGTCGAGACATACCAGCGCCGGTCCCATGTGCGTCGCCACCTTCACCACCACGATGCCTCCGGATAAGAGCGTACGCAGCTCCATCATAACATCGATGGAGAAGCCGTCGTCGCTTTGGCGGCTGAAAAGGCGGTTGAATGGGCCCTTTGTGACCAAGATCGTATACGACTCCTTGGCCAAAAGGTATTCCATGATGTCCTGCTTGTCTACCCCTGTGACGGCATGTAGTTCCGACACGCTGCGGCAGGGAACCTGTCCACGCAGAAAGTCGCGCCATGGCCATTCGCGGACAGAAACGCTCTTTGCCACGAGGGTGACGAAACCGGCGAGGACCCAAGCGAACATGGTGATATTGAAGGGGTCAACGCCCGCTAGGCGCTCGCCGATGAGCAGGCCCGCCAGAATGCCGCCAATGACGAGCGCGCCGCATGCTGTCATCGTAATCGCGACGAATACCCGTCGCCTTACAACGATGACCTTCTCCTCAATGACCCAGCTGCGTACGGCATGCTCCAGCCTCCTTTGATCCCTTGCCCCATGTTCTCCAGTTTGTCCGAGGCCGTTTACCCGCTTGAACCATCTGAGTGCTGGCGGAGATTGAAGGACGTTCATCATTGTACCGTCTTCTGAAGTATTCCGGACGTAAAGGGGGTTCTGGGATGGGACACATTGCGAGAGTGGCAGGAAATCAACATTATGAGCTCTCACCAAGAGCTGCTGGTGGTACGCCTTTGAGCGTAGGGCCACGAATGCAGAGAACTTGACGACAGGGAAAGAACCAAAATCGATGGCACTGGGAGATGTTGAGATTTTCATTATTAATCCCGATGCCCTGTTTAGGTAGGATAAAGGTTCGAGTTGGGTGTAGAGGAGAGGAACCATGATCGAAATAACCTCTGCAATCATATCCAATCGCAGCTCCGCCAACCTAGGGCCCGACCACTTATCAATGCAATGCTGTCCTACCTCGTTTCGGTCCTGAAAGTTGAAAATGAGGTCTGCACCGATTCGGTGACTGTAATCTTCGTGCTCCCTGAAAACGGGTTGAATAGGTTTGATCCTGTCGACGTCGAGGGCAAGGGCAACCTGGCGAATTATACAAAAAGCCCCGTAAATCGTTCGTAAAGAACTACGAGCACTCGTTCCGGTTACCTCTCCGTGGCGGTCCTGGCTCAGCAGCGTTGACACGTCGTTCCAGCCTGTTCTATAGACGACGGAACATATATCGAATGTGTCTACTGCAAGCCCGGACAGTCTGCTGCCTTTGAGATCATTAAAGATATACATCATGGTGTCTAGAGCCCACGAGGATGTCATGGCCATATCGGTAAAGTAGATGTCAGTTTTGACTTCATCGGCACGTAGAAGCTTCTCCATGGTCCCGATTTGAGGAGACCTCTGACCGTAGGCTCGAGTCTGGTAAAAGTTGGGGGATGTGGACTCAGAGGTTGATTTCTGCTGCTTCTGTAGGGAGGCGATGAAATTACGAGCCTCTTCTGTAGCTAGGATATCCATCCCGTTCTCGAGAGCCTGGCTGGCGAACTTTTCCGGTTTTAGAATGAGAAATTTTAGCTTGGCAGCACATTTGGCTAGTGCCGCCAACGCGCGTATATGCCAGAACTCGGTCGGTATGGCGTGACATGCGTACAAAGCCGTCACAGTCGTCACATAGTCTACTAGGGAACAGAAAAGTCTGTGGTTCTTCTCCGGTACCGTGGGCGATATGCCGCTGGTTGACTTCCGTGGATTATAGCGCTGCGATATCGTTCGTCTCGCGGTGAAGTATACGTCGGCATCGAATGTCGCCGGTTGGTGTTCGAACAAGATTAGTTGGTTATCGTAGTTGCATATTGCGATGTTGCACATCGCCCAATCAGCCAGGCTTGACAGGAGCTCCAAATTTTGTCTGCTGGCCGGCAGATCTTCCTTGAGTGTGAATCGGCAAGGCCTCGATCCTTGGGCAGCTTCGAAGGCGGCTATGAGCCTTTTGGTCTCGAGCTGCCAGAGCTGCGTCTCCTGGGCAGCGGATATACCATATTGACAGATATCATCGAATTTGGGCTGATTAACAATCGCTTCGCCAAGGCCAGGTGGTACATAGGACTCATGCGAATGGATAAACTTTGTGATTTTGTCGTGTGTCGTCCTCAGCACTGCAAACTTACTCGGCACAGGTAGCTCCTGCTCTAGACCATGGTATTCCTTCCTGCTGGTATTGGCATCGCTCTTTCTGCCATGGCCATGGAAGAAGTGACGCGCTTTCCGTTGCCGAGGCACATTAGGTGTGTCACCTGTAGCTGGGCGATTGTTAGATGTGATGCTGGTCTTGGCTTTCATCTCCATTTAACGTGACTTGTCCAAGTCATCTATTTACATCTTGCGGCGATTGTAGAACGTAAGTGAGAACGATCGGTTGGTAATATTTTGAAGGTACACTTTTCCAGACGATGTAAGCGTCAATGATGCCCAACAACCAACAGCATGAGGCTTGGCATGCATCTGTACCCTCTCGGCAAACGGCTGCCTCTAAGTACCTTGGGTATCGTTATGCGTCCCCCAATAGCTTCCAACCCCTCATCTGTTCAGATATGCCTTGCGAGGCTGATTTTGAACGCGACTTAGAAAGAGAGAAACAGGCCGGACCCTCGAAGAAATCCCGTCAGCGATCGAAGGTGATAGTTTCGTCTCTAGAAGCCAGCACTCTAGACTTCATCCGCAGTGTCAAACTGCCTTTTTCAGTCGGGCAAATATGGACTCTGACGAAGTGTTTGACATTTTTAGCCGAATAGTTGGCGGGCAACCTAAGCTGGACTCAAATGCGAAGTTAAATGACGCATCTAACGCACCAGATGCCTTAGCACCAGGCGCTGAGCTAGCACCGGAACAGGCTACAGTTGACCAACCGACTCCCCAAGACGGGGGCGTCAATGATGAAAATGAGAAAGATGGATGGGTACCGGAAGTCAAGCGGCTGGTCCAGTTCCAGGACCTTCGGAAGAACACACAGGTCTTACCTGTTGAGGAATTCTCTTACGAAAAGAAAGCGAACGAGAAAAGCATCGATTACCGTTGGCGCAAGTACTCCATTATTTTGCGTCGTATCCTTGATGAAAATTTCAGCTTGCAGGAGTATCGACTCGAGCTACGTTCCAAAAACCTGCAAAATATCTTCAGGGAGATCGGAAGGCCGTATATCGAGCTGAATTTGGATGCGGACCCGATTGTTATACCCTACCCATTTCGGTCTTTGTTTCACCTCCGCGGCAAGATAAAGACTTTGGAGCACTCAAACCTTTTAAAAGAAGACGTGAAAAGAGAATTGGCCGAGCTGACGGCATTTATCTCCGCGGAACCAGCCCTGCAGCGCATCATTAAACCATACGATGAACTTGTACCTAGAGGTAACATCACACGGGATTTGCATTGGTCACTTTTTAGACCACATGAATTCGTGTACATTAGACATCAAATTGGCTCTTATATTGACGAGAAGTGTGGCTTTGTGACGGCTATAGAAGAAAGAACTGTCACGGCAGACAGCATCGACAAGTCCACGCATATGCTGCATTATGTCAGTAGCTCACACGATGGTCTCAGCTTCGGACTGATTCAACGTCGGAAGCCGTTGGGATCCGCTTCCAAAGAAATTGTCAGTATTGATGCGGACAAGCTCATTGTTTTACCTTTGCGATTTCTGGACAAAGATGACTTGCAAAAAGTCTCACAAAGGCTCATTGAGCGGGGTAAAAAGTATTACAGTATACTTTCGACCCCGAATACCATGATGCACTACAGAGGGCATATGGCTCAACCTCCAGACGGCGAGGCTCAAGTACTCAATGGACAGATAATAAGCCGGAACAGAATCAACTGGAACTGGACGGTAAATTTCAGCTTCAGTATGTGGGTAGAAAAATAATGGAGATGCTAATGTTTTGCGCAGACAGACCAAAAAGTCATGATCGACAGACAGGCCGAGAGAGAGATGTTGAAGATGCGTGAAAGCAGCCATCTCATTGACCAGTGCCTTGACGAACACATTGGATACTGCTTGGATGAGTCGACGCCATTCGAGGAAAAAGTAGCGTCGAAAATGAGGAAAAGGTCGTGGTCTAATTTTGTCAAGGACGAACATCTCTGTCAGGAACCGAAGATGGATCGCTGGTCCGAAGAAGTCTGGAATGCAGACTATCGTTGGCAAGATCACGACTACCTCATGTGTCCGTCAGCCATGGTTGCATTCTTGTTGCGCAAGAAATCATGGTCCTGGGTTCACATTGAATACCTGATGCCTATCGAGTGGAAAGAAGATCCATTTATCTCTCTCCAACTTCAACCAGATCAGAAGAAATTAATCAAGAGTCTTGTCGAAGGGTTCAATAAGGGACCCTGGAAATTGGAAGATGATCCTTACAGAGATGTCATTGAAGGGAAAGGGAAAGGCTTAATATTCTTACTCCAAGGCCCTCCTGGAGTAGGCAAGACCCTAACGGCAGGTAACTGGCAATCCCGCCATCAAGGGGCTTGCAGCTTTACTGATTGAACCCCTACAGAAAGTGTGGCCGAGAGTACTCAGCGGCCTCTTTACCATGTATCGACAGGGGAGTTGAGCAGTGAACCGTCGTCGCTGGAGAAGCAGCTCAAAGATATATTCCGCCTGGGGTCACGCTGGGGTGCCGTCGTGCTGTTTGACAATCTTGGAGAGTTTCTCTTAGAGTCTACAATATTGTCTCCGCGAAATGCTGGTAAATATGTTTTTCTTCTGGACCAATCCCACTAATGTTTCGTGCAATGTTCTTGATGAAACGGAGCTCGAGTGCGCTAATGTAGCTTTGCCAGTACTTTGCCACTTGATTGAGTACTACGAAGGTATGCTCTTTATCACAACGAATGCGGATGAGATTTCGTACAAGAACCCCCTTTTCAGCCATATAAATGTACATTTACGGTACTACGACCCGGATCTTTCTCAGCGGACCAACATCTGGCGCCAACACCTTGAACGTGTGAGAGGCAGCACTCACTGCGACGAGAGCAAGAATCAGTGGTCTGAGGAGACATACGAGCTGCTGGGCCAGTTACACACCAACGGCCGCGAAATACGTAATTACGTACGGACTGCACACGGATATGCCCATGCCCTCAGAGAGGATCTGGACATCAACCACTTATTGACTGTCATCCGAAACAACTTGAATGCTAGGCAGTCGTCAGAGACAAGTGTGATTCTTAGCCAGCTCGAAGCTCGGGCATGCATGGGAATAACTAATAGGACAGCTGAGCCCTAGAACACCAAAGTTGACAACACTGAAGACATAGTGAATATGGATCCAGTCGTAGATTACTGGTACTGCGATACTTCCTTTTGCCTATTTTGAGAAGATATTCATCTGACTCAGCTTTAGCTGACCATCTTCACAGGCTGCGATGAATGTTGAAAACTTTACCATAAAACACTGAAGCGCCCAGTTACCAGGACAGCTGCAATCCGTTATTTGAGCAACGGTAGTCGTTGAAGGCCTCGGCAGCATCTAAATAGGCTAAAAGAGTAAGTCACAGCTATAGCAACCTGCTTGTGGCGACAACGGAGTGCATATTTGCGGTACGTAGGTTGGTCTTTTCAGATGATGGTCGTGCAAATTGTGACGGGCTGGGCCGTCCCTGGCTCCTGGTCCCAACCTTTTTGCCATTGTCGACCGATATGGCCACATTTCCCGCGCATAACGTACAAAGCATCAAGTTTGCAAGCAGGCTCGAATAAAAACCCAAAGTAATCAAAGCGCTGTCGGATTTTATCGATGTTCTCAAGGCACATCGCGATGCTCACGTTGTGGTCATATGGGCACGCCTGCGAGGGATGAAGGATACTTATACCGGGGTTATCTTGACGAGTTTGAATGGCGAAGAAGCGACAAAGTCTCTGAAAAGGTCTCTAGATGTTGCTGGATTCAAGATGACAATAAATCAGTCGGACGCAACTAAAAGGTCTCAAGATGCTGTTCCGTGAGGCAAGGGGCAAGTTTGATTCATCGCAGTATTCGCGGCCGCTCACTGATGGCTTGCCAGGCACCTGTGGCTCACCTTGACATTCAAGATCGATCGAGGGACTTATGAAGAAGGTTGCAGAAATGTTTGCTTCGGGTGTCGAAACTCTCAATGCTCAGCTCGAGCAAGACTGTTGCTCCTTCATGTTCATGCGTCCCTTTGCCTGTTTCCTTCGGTTAACATTCGGCTACCCTCGGGTGTAATATGTTTGGACCTACGTATTTTTCTTGTGGGTTTTCTCAGTGGCAATGTCGGAGGTAGGACAGAGGTCGGATTTCCAATGATGAAGGAGGCTACTGACGAGCTTGAGGTGTACGCCAAGTTCATCTATGGCGACGTCCCTTTTCGTTATCTCAGCCATTGTAATACTCCATAAGATTCCATTGGAAATTACGGCGAATACAATGTTCAGAAAATGCGTGAGGCTGCAGAGAAGTACGATCCAGCAGGGTGTCCTAGAGGAGGATTGTGCCTGGCGGGTTCAAGATCCCAAACGTGGACATGGCGCAGAAAAGTCGTGGCATTTGCCGCTACAACATGTGTTTGACACGCATTAAGATGGTACTTGTTGCGTGAATGAGGGCCAATCGTATGTTGTAAGCACTGAATCAGAGACATCCGGAAGGTGCATGCGAAGCGTCTCCCGGCTCTACCTTCGAAGCCTTCCGGTAAAATAATTGTGGGGCGGACGGGGTGCGGGGGAAGCTGGACCGGCCCCGTATTGGTCGGAGCGGCCGAAGCGCATCACGTGATGATGCATGGTACTTCAGGCAGTGGTGTTGCGGCGTCCACGTCCCTTTGCATTGCAAGCTCGCACTCTCTCCTAAGGCACATTTTCGAGGCGGACTCCCACCACTGCAAAAGGGAATCCGCATTGTCTCGGGCTTACAGCCTGCCGCAGCAGCCCGTAGCCTGCATGGTTTTCGGCAGGCTCTAAAACAAACGGACATATCATGCGCTCATCCCCAGTCACATCTCGATGACCTCACCAAGAACCATGCCGCGGGACTGAATAGCCTTGCTCACATGACGCTCTTTTGACGGCCTCATTTTCTTTGGAGGTCAACATCTAGTCGTGTATTGTTGTGAATCGACTGCAGGTGAACCCCAATGGCTTCATGTTTCACACGAAATACTTCGTTTGGAGCAACAAACACCTATCGCCACGATTGGGCTGTAGGTACCTGCAGGCTTAGTTCTCTGCATCATAATCATATTGCAGTGCCAACCACTGTCGGTTTATGCGGCTCATTGGCCGCACGCCAACTAGCTCAACGAAAATGACCAACCATTCGGCCTGCCAGCCCAATGGACAAAAGAGGCTTACAACGGATGCAGTGCTGATGGTTAAATACCCCGCTCCTGATCGTGATATGAATCGAAGAGATCTTAGACAAACCAGCACCTTTTTGATTTTCTTCCCAAATCCAGACCGTCAACATGGCTGAGCTTCCGGCCAGCGTGCCCCCCTCCCCTAATGTGCCAGCTATCGTGAACTTGGGGTTCCAGTTAGCTAACAAGCTGAGACTCTATGGGCAGGGTACCAAGGCACCTCATTGGCGCATCACTGAGCTGGGAGAAGGCGTTGATGCTACGACATCAGCTCTCGTTCAGCTCTGGGACTTCCTCAGCACTGACAGATACGGTACGTTGGCCGCGTATAAGGAAGCCGGCCGCAAGGATGTAGAAGACCTTGCAACTCGGTGCGGGAAGACGTATACCACCATCATACGTACCGTATACAGAGCCAGTCTCGCAGATAAGGTTGTTGAGGACGTTTCCTGGGACGCCGTTGGGGTGGAGGACTTGAAGGCTGCCAGGCTGTGTGCTATCAAGGCGAACATGGACTGGCGCATGGTGAGAACCGCCATCCAAAACGCCGAAAATCAGTTGGAGTGGCTCTATAGCAGCCTCCTGCTTCACTTTCAAGTGTTCGATGTCGCTCGCCTCCAAGTCAAGTCAGTCGTCACACTCTTCCACTTCTGCGCATTTCCACTAACAAACTGCTACAGAGCCCCCAGAGCTCCCGGCAGCTTTGATGAGGAGCTTGCCTCAAGGGCAATGGCCAGCCGGCTCCTCTGCAAGAGAAACAAGGCCGCCGAAACGCTCGTAGAACAGTGCGAGAAAGACGCAGAGATTAAAGCCGAGCGCGAAGCCAGACTAGCTAAAAAGGCTGCCAAGGCCGCGAAGGCCGCTGAGGCTGATGCTGTTAGCGTCTGCTCCAACGACGACGACGACGCTGCAACCTGGAAATCTGGTGCGACCGCCAAAGAATCCCGACCGCCATCCGTATGTGAGTTGAAAGCCGATAAGAAAGATGAGATTATTGTCATTGAAGATTGTCGGCCGCCGCCACCGCCGTCAGTGCCCACTCCTGCGCCAGTGGAAATACCGACCCCTGTTCCTGCTCCTATCGATCCTATTGATGTGAAACTGGTGGCCCCAAAGCGTCGATTCCCGTCCAAGGTCTTCATCAGTATGGCTGAGTGGGTACAAGGTCTCTTCGGCCACGGTCTCCCACCTCTTGATCATATGGAGCTGGAGGCGACAATTTTGCAGAGAGGACATCTGCTCCCCGACCGGAAGCCTCCCGTCTTAGCCCTCGAGCCGAAGATACTGCTACGACAGCTCAAGTGCGTCCTCCGTAAAGTTGGAGACAAACCCGGAGACCAGTTGATCGGCCTTGAACGCCATTTCCGTATCTCCGTGCAGGACGCTCCCCAACGTGCTCAGAAGAAAGATGGCCGGAACAGGAGCTTGATTGCCGTTGATACCCGCGGCCTGCCTGACTTTATCGTTGCGTACATGTCCATAGATCCAGCAATGGAGCCTATCCGCCTGACAGACCCCTTGGACCGCAAGATTGTCTTGCCGTATGAACAGTGCCGAACTTTGAAGGTAGGTTTTCATCCACTTGAGGCGTACAGTCGAGACATTGCTAATATATCGAAAAAGGGTGCCCGCACGGCCATCCACAATCGTTTCGCCGACATTGCGCGGTTGTGGCCGATCGTCAAAGACGGCGCGTTCGAAATCGTCAATGAAGAGGGTGTGGTCATCCCTCCTGGGTCCTGGGAGGCCATCATCAAGCCTGGCGCTGTCCTAACGATGCGCCTCTCAGCATTTAACGACGAAGACCTAAGCTCCATAACACCTAACAATGACTCCTGGGCGTTCCGGCCTGCTCACGTGGGCCACGGGCGACCACCAGGCATGTTCCACGCGGGTATGCCGCCAAGGCCAGGTGGCATGGCTTACCCACCAGCTCCGACTTTCGCTGGACCGCCGCGAGCGCCGCCCGGATGGAATATGCCGCCTCACGTGAGGCCGCCCCATGTGGTCAACGTACGCCCCCGCCCTGCTGCCAAGTCGTCGATGCTGAGCTGGCTGGCCGGCAAGCCCCCCAAGAAGAAGGGCGGGGCCGCCGGGAGCATAAGCAGCGCCAGCAGCGATAGCACCACCAGCACCGAGCGGGAGATGGAAGAATGGGAGATGGGTTTTGAGATCGACTTCGGGCCCGAGCCGACGCGGGAGAAGGACCTGGATGACGAGAAGTGGAAGAACCTCGGAAAGATAGTCGCGCAGTGGACGAATGCCGTCGATACCGAGTTCAACACTGACTCGGGGACTATGCCGTGGTACGATGATGCTTCGTCGATCCGGTCGTCCTCGAGCACGTCTTCTTCATCGTCGTCGGAAATTGTTGATCGTTGATAGACCTGCGGGGATGGGGGACTGGGGATACATGTTGTAGGCTTTTCCTGATCTCTGTTGTCAGTCGTTTTGGTGCTGTGTGTGACGCTCTTTTGATAAGTTTCATGATTTTGTGGTAGTTTTGATGAAGCAGATTGTAATTCAACGCTTCTTGTCATCTAGAGATGAGGATTTGACTTATAATGAGCAATAATTACGATGTCGTTACTGTATCCGAGTATATTCATGCCTCAGTTGCACCCTAACCACGCGTTGTTCCTTACGCCTCAGCCAAAAATTTCATTCAAAGTAGAGCAATACAGGCATTATGATTTAGAGATTATAGTGGTTTGTGCTGCTCGAGATGAAATATGCACTGAAAATGGGTGCCGGATATGTCCTTTCTCTAGAAGCCACGACACCTCAGTGGTTGCGTACGGCCTGTTACCGGAATTAACGGCTGCTATTTCAATGCGTGGGGTGGTGATGAATGCTAGGGAGACATCCTTTGAACCACTGCTTCCAACCAAGGGAGAGATCAGGCAAGGTAAGCGACACAACTAGACAAGTTCCACAAGAGCGTTATCTGATGTTTTGATGGAAAATACGCGTCGGGACGTGCGCCCTTACTGAATACCAAGAAAGATCATGCTGATTAGCCCTTAATATCGATGAGTCTGGATGGATTTTCAATCAAGTATGCCAAAGAAGGCAAGCTATTGACGTAGGCGGTGAAGCTTTCTTGGAATGTACAGATCCTCAATAACCGTAGGGTGGAGTACACTCTCGCCGTTCCTGATACTGTCACTCCAGACTCAACGATCTTTTCTAACGATGAACTAGAGACAGGATCAGGTGAGCAACAAATGCTGATAAATAAAACTATTAAATAGGGCTCTGTAGGTACTGCCCCGCTTCAGAACGAGCCGAGGGAGGCTTAGGGGTAGGTTACATACATGAAGAAATAGCTACACAGGGCCAAAAGAATATGAGCTGGACAATCTAGGAATCGAACCTAGGACCTACCGCATGCGAAGCGGTCGTTATACCACTAAACCAATCGCCCATTTGTTGTTGCTGTTAGGTTAAAACACCTTGCTCTCGTTCATATTCGAAAGAATGTTTGTAAGAGGAACTGCGGCTGAGTGGTTGTGTCCAGTTAGGGAGGTGGAATAGAGACATGGCGCCTCCGGATAGGTGAGGTGGAAGACTGACAGGCGGGAAGTTCCAGGGGCAGCAATGGCATGACAAAAGAATAGCTACACAGGGCAAAAAGAAGATGTGCTGGACAATCTAGGAATCGAACCTAGGACCTACCGCATGCGAAGCGGTCGTTATACCACTAAACCAATCGCCCACTTGATCTTGTTGTTGGGATATAACACCTTGCTCTCGTTCATATTCGAAAGAATGCTTGCAATAGGAGGTGCGGCTGAGTGGTTGTGTCCAGTTGGAGAGATGGAGTTGAGACATGGCGTCTCCGGATACGTGATGTGGAAGACCAACTGGCGGGAAACTCCGGGGGGCATCGATGAAGTGAAGTAACTAGATACGGCGGTGAGGAGGAACGGAATTTGGCCGTGTACAGGATTTGTTGATTACTCTTCGATTGCAGGCGGTCTGGTGTTGGGTCGTCTGAATAGGTTTGGCTTAACTTTCGATATTTGCGGAAAAGGGGCTTTCAAGGATAGAGAGATTAAGAAACTTGTGGACCCATTTTGGCGGATTGCTCTTATCCTACAATGTCTTGATGCTAGAGGAAAAGGTCGAGTGACGGGGATGACAGGTGGTTGGGACAATCGCGGAATACGTCAAACTTCAAGCTCTAGTACGGGGTAATTCCACATCCTGACCCACCAGCTTCAAAACCATGTAAGTACTAAGCAACTTGGACATATTGAGCCTCAGTTTCCAGTTGTTCATCTGGAATAATGAGCGATGATTAGGTCGAACTTGAGAGAGGTGTACCCAAGGATCGCCAAAAGCCAGTGTTATATTGTGCTTCTTGCTTGTCATCTCCGTACGCCATCTATAAGTGTCAATGGTGTGAGCTGACAATGGGTCATGCCAAGGGAACGTGCAAAAAGCGGAGCGGCGCCGGAGAGAGAAGCGGCCCGCGCCGGCCTCCACAGTGGGCACCGGCATCATAAGCGGGGCGACGGACCCTAATCGGAACCCGCGTGCAGGCATGCACCATAAGATGTGTAAATGTCAATGGTGATAAGAATGCGGGTTTGAGACATGGACGTTCATCCCAGCGACCAACGCTTCGTCGAAGGAAGCGCAGGGAATCTGACGTGACTAACCCTACCGACATAATTGCTTTCCCTGTCTCAACCGGTGCTGCAACTCTAACGGTGTCGATACCCCAACATCACCGTTGGGCCCATGGCACCGGCTCCGCATTCACGAGATTTCAAAAGTTGTAAAAGGTGCCATCCGGCGGCCTCGGCATCCGAGAGGAGGCTCGTTGCGGCTCGATCGGACGGATGGTTGGCATGATGTTACTTAAGTGCTTGGCATATTAGTACGACGCTATGTTGGCTTCGGGACCTTGCATACGAGATTGATTTTAGGACATGGGCTGTTAGAGCGGTGCTGCACTAGAAAATCCGCAGTGCGACGTCAGCATACTACCGTTACTTTGAGATCTTTGACCTCTTATTTTGGTTTTGATGCGGCTCTATCGGGATGAATATTGACTATTTGGTTTCGCGGCATGTGTACGTTGCGTCAATAATGCTTAGACGCCTTGTGTCTACGCCACAGGACAATACAATCGACTTGACGAGTTGCCGAGCATGCCGAGAGAACAACGCAAGACCGCAATTATTGTGCACAGCCAAAGATGTTTGCGAGGCAGTCTGAGAACAAGAAAGCCGGTGCCGACTCTGACACCGGATTTCCGCCGAGAGGGCTGACGCAAAGAGCAGTGGTGAACAGTAACCATAGCAGAGCGAAAGGGCGACCATGGTGGGTAATTTCGGTCTCATGGGGCGCCTTTTGCCCAATGACGGTTTTCATTATGGCATAATTAGACATGATGTTAAAATAGCAAGCTTACCAACACCTAGAGTGACCCCGGCTGCCAAACCCCAGCTAGATCCCCATCAGGGGTAGAAGCCAGCTGACAGGCACCCACGCGCTGTAACCCAAACGAAAGCTGCGTCCAAAAAAGGACATAAGATGAACATTTTCTGTGGAACGTACACCGAATTCGTGTTCTGAAATGAGCAACACGTTCATGGTCGATATCGGACCAAGCATCGGCACCTGTGATGCCATAGGGTGATGTAAGGCCAGGAGTGACTTCGGCAGCTTTCTTTCTTTCGAGAAGGAAGAGAAGTAGCTGCAAGCGCAAGTGTGGTTGCTATCTTGAAGGGCGCTACTGGCCCAGGAATAGCAGACGAGCCTCAGGCTCAATGATTAGTGGGTGACAAGCTGGCATAGAACCGATGTAGAATAATGACGGAACTAAAACCTATGAGTGGCCGAGCGGAAGGTAATTTCACCCAAACTCAAGCCCCCCTCCTTCGCGATACGAGGTATAAGTGCGCCTAGGAAGGACAGGCTTCACACAGAAACAGGTGGTGCTCAGCGGCCCGCGTGGTGGTTAGACAAGCAGAATGGACTGGATCTCGCAGAAGACGCGAGACCAGACGAACCGTTTCATAGTCAGTCATGTCTGGAAGACAAAGTGTGGCTTCAAGCCTCGAAGAAACAAAAACAAAAAACATGGTCGACCGTTCTTCAAGTCGTCTGTGGGCGCCCACGTGTCGAGCGTGGAATAGGCAATGATTTGAGCCAGTCGCCCGGACTTCGCCTCGGAGTTCCACGGAGCGGACCAGACGGAAATAGTCGAGGGCGGGTAGCCCGGATATGTTGGCTGAGGTGAGGAGCAAGGGAAAAAGCCAAAGGGCCGAAGAGGCACATTGTCTTGTTATTGCCAGCCTTGCTCGGGGAGCGAATGGGTTGGAGGGATCGACGCCGCCCTGGACAGATCGGATCAGACAGACAACAGAAGTGGCTGCCAGCCTAACCCACCAAATCAGGGATTTTTTGCATCATGAGTTCTCCTACTGCGGCTTCATGGTATGAGGGGTCGGTCAAAGTTCGTAGTGAACCCAGATTGGATGGAGCTCTCCGGTACTCGAGTTATGCGTTGTCAGCTAAAATGCGTGTGAGCCTAGAATCTCTCGTGTTCTTGTTGATCCTGTAAGACATGCATATGCGCTGTGAGTGTAAGATAGCGGGAAGTGGGAGACCGTGAGAAGTGGAGGAAGAGCACCAGCAGCAGTAGTAATAGGGTTGGTAGCTGAGGCCGAAGAGGTGGAGAGTGTTGGTTGGTATTGGATGGCGTTGAGGCCTGGAAAAACGGATGGCATGATGTTGGCCGTCATGTTGGCCTTAGCTGATTCAGTTTGCTGGAAATGTAGGAAGAATCTTCCTTGCTAGGTTCCTTGCTAGGCGGAAGAGGCAGGCCACCATCAATGTCCAGCTGATAGTTGGCTTAAAGGCGGGAGGAGTTGGGAAAAAGCAAATCCTGATGCCTGTAGCAAGAGGCCCTGACCCTGTTTAGGGGCCTCAGCGGTGAGAATAGCGCTATGGCCGGTGAGATTGTGCTGCGTGTTTTACTCTTTTGGCCCTCCGCCATGGGCTGTGGGCCTGTGGCTGGTTACTGGCGCTAAGCTATCTCTGACCTGCTGCGGAAGGAAGCCACACCTTACTTGCTACCTTATGCTAGGACTTTCCAAGAAGTCCCGAGTACAAGTACCTACACAGTGAATAACAACAATACCAGGACGCGGTGAGTCTTATATTTGGGTGTGCACAGGACAGTGTGTGATTTAACTGCACTGTATGTCTATGGTACGTACAGCAGCAGCATCAGCTTCCCCGGACCACAGCCCATCTTCCCAACAACCCAATCCCGACCTCGCAGCCAACTTCCCTACCTCAAGACTTACCAGTCAGTATCTTTCTATCCTAGGTTCGTCCATCCTGACCTCACTGTGCGGCACATACAGGCTGCAGTCCAAAGGCACTTTGGCTTACGGAGTAGTGCCCTTCCTCCAGCTCATCCAGCTACTATCATTCGCCGGATGATGGCATCGCTGGCTGCAGCCATCATCCTTCTTCCATGTCCTTGGAAATGATACAGGGCTATCCTAGCCAAAGTGTCGCCGATTGCCATTACATCAGATCATCTTTTTTCGTCCCATAGGGCTACTACTTCTGCTAATAGTTTTCTGCAGATAATCCCTATTGCCATGACCTTGCGCCCTTCCGTTTATCCTCCTCGTGGTCTGAATGGCGGGTTGCCCCTAAAAATAGCCCCCAGATGCCGTGTCCCATCATTCGAACAGTAGCGGCAGCACCGCCATCTGGGTTCATCTGGCGATGACTCTTCTAAGCAAGCAGAAACCGGGCCTCGAGAGGACTGAGACTCGACGCTTCATGATTCGCTCAAGAACCGCGCCGCTTGGTCATTGGATGGTACCGCGCTGCCTGCAAGTAGACAGGCCATCTAGGACCTCACAACAAATCAGGTGTGCCCATCTCCGCGTTTGCCGGGGTCCGTATTCTGGGGGCAGTCTTTCTCCACGATTGTTACTACCAAGAGATGCATTTTTGCTTTTGCGCCTGTCACTCGTATTCTCACAACCTCTGTCCTCCGGCGATTTGCGCATGGGAACCGGCCCGTGAACCTCACCGCCGACTCAAGAGTACTCCTCAACAAGAGCAGACATCCGGCTCGTCATGTTTCCCTCCTGCTAGCCGTTCAAATTCCTGTCGGAGATTTATTGGCGATGAAAGCAGGTCCAGTTTTTTACCTGCCGGGCCAGAGATCCCAGTAGCCTGGCTCATGTCTTCCTCGAGGGGCTCCCGTGCCAAGTCTGGGCGTTCTGCACCATGCCATACGAGGTTCCCAGCTGAGATTGTACAGTTTAGAGTGCTTTGCCAACAACTTCCCAAGGATCCATACCGTGCTGAGATCATTTTTTCATTGCTCTCTCGGTTGTGAGCCAGTCACGTCTCCTCTGAAATGTGGTCAGACCCTTCTCGGTTGGCGCGAGTGTGTCCCCGAGACACCAAGACACCCTCCATTATCACATCAGAACTTTGAACGTACCATTGCAACCGGACGCTTCAATATTGGATTACACCGATTGTCTGCGTGACATATGCCGAGTTAGGCGTCCATCGATGCGACCGTAGACCCACGGCCACATGTGTAGCTCATTGCCGGGTACTATGACATATAGTTTGCCTCCAAGTGGCCGTCAGCCCCATCCTTCAACTATTATCAGCCTCCGCCAAATGAGCCAGTCAAATGTTGCCGGATTTCATACACCTCATATGGATAGGGCAAACATTGGACCAAAAAAGGGGCAGATCGAGTACCCAATTTGGGGATCTGGCATGGCCTTTCCTATAATCCGTTTTGTTGCTTTCCGTCTGCCTGGCTACTGCCACCCGCGGCAATCCGGAGCTCAGCCTCATCCCAAATGTATCATTATTTGGCCTGGCATTCTCCTTAGTACCTTTTTGCCTGTCAAGCCAAGGCGGGACTTTGCAGAGAAGCATGTTCCATCACCTCCACGGTGGAACAGGCAATCGTCCCCACGTCGTGTTCCCGTGCCCACGACGAACGGGGCCTGGCCTAGTTGTTCCCTCCATGTCAGAATGAGGCATGGTATGGTATGTTATCTGCCCGAAAGGTAGGGGTGCAATGTACCTCACTTCTACTCACCCCTCTAGCTCTCACTCGCATCGTGGCACTCCTGGTGGACTATCCATCCTGTGCAGACGCCACTCTAAGCTCATGAACCTGCAGGTATAACAAAACTATTGATGTTCTTCTCCGAAATAGGTTAAGTTGTTGTCAAAGCCTCTTGCTGATATACACGAGATGTATATAACCTCTTCATTTCTTCGCAGATCTCAGGTTATGGAAGCAACAAGTCAGTCGCTCATCTCCTATTGTCTAATACAGTCTCCTGTCTGTTAGCAAACTCACTATGCATTCCAGCATGATTCGAACCGCCTTCGGAGCTGGTATTTTCCTTGCTTCTCTTGTCACTGGCAACCCTCTTCAATCGTTAGAAACACGCATAAGTCAAAAAGGCTGCGGTACTCACGGGCCCAGAAACCGTGCCTGCTGGAAGGGGAAGTACAGCATCGATACTGACTATGAATACGTGACGCCGCCTACCGGGAAAACGAGAGTGGTATGCTCCTTCATCCTCGCAAAATTTTACGCATCCCAGCTCACCTTTCTACAGTTTGATCTTACAATTACCAACCACACAGACTTCGCACCAGATGGCGTCAGCAAACCAGCCATGCTAATCAACGGCCAATTCCCAGGTCCGACGATTGAGGCGGATTGGGGCGACTTTGTGAAAATCAATGTCCACAACCAACTGACTGATAACGGGTGAGTATACCAGAATATGCATTGCGGATCAGATCTAACGAGATATCAGTACCTCTATCCACTGGCATGGCATGCACCAGCGCAACACCAATGATCAGGACGGTGCCAACGGTATTACTGAGTGTCCCATTCCACCTGGACACAGCAAGACCTACTCCTATCAGATGATTCAATATGGTACTTCCTGGTAGGCGCTTTCTTCTCTGTTGAAGAACAAGGGACCCGTTTCTAATGCGTCTGGAACAGGTACCACAGCCACTTTTCCGCCCAATACGGCAACGGCATTGTGGGCGCCATTCAGATTAATGGCCCGGCATCCGCTAACTACGACATTGACCTCGGCCCATACAGTATCAGCGACTGGTACTACGACACTGCCGACCGCCTTGAGCGCCGTGCTGAGCTTGTCGCCAATGGACCTCCTCCGGACAGTGATAACATTCTCTTCAACGGAAAGAACGTCAACGTCCAGGGTGGCGGTCAGTACCAAAAGACGAAGCTTACTCCTGGCAAGAAGCATCTTCTTAGGCTGATCAACACCTCCGTCGACAACACCTTCACCGTCTCCCTGGTAGGCCACAGTTTCACCGTCATTGCAACCGACCTTGTCCCCGTCAAGCCCGTAAAAAAGGACAGCCTCTTCATGTCTGTCGGCCAGCGCTACGATGTGATCATCGAAGCCGACCAGAAGGTCGGCAACTACTGGTTCAACGCAACCCTGGGCGGCGGCGGACTCTGCGGAAAGTCTAGAAACCCCTTCCCTGCCTCAATCTTCACCTACAAGGGCGCACGCGACGCGCTCCCTTCTAACAAAGGCATCCCACCGGCCGGGGCCAGCTGCGCCGACACCGTGGGATTCACCCCCGTGCTGCCCCGAAACGCGCCTGCGTCTGAGTTCAACCCCAATAAGCAAATCCTCGACGTCTCCCTGGATCAGCCTGTCATCAACGGCGAGAAGGTCTTCCGCTGGAAGGTCAATGGTTCCTCCATTGATGTGCACTGGGACAAGCCCACCCTCGAATTCATCGCCGAGGGCAACTACTCTTGGCCACACTACACCAACGTCATTGACATCCCCTCAGCTAACGTCTGGACTTGGTGGGTTATCGAGAACACCGGCGCCCTTCCCCACCCTATTCATCTGCACGGCCATGACTTTATGTTGCTCGGCACGGGCAGTGGCACCTTTGCAAGCAGCCAAGGCGCGACCAACGGCACGGGTCCTTACTCTGCCACCTCTCACCAAGGCCTAAACTTCAAGAATCCCATCCGAAGAGATGTTGCTCAGCTCCCAGGCGGTGGCTGGATGGTGATCGCGTTCAAAACAGACAACCCAGGCGCCTGGCTCATGCATTGCCACATTGCCTGGCACGTTAGCATGGGCCTCAGCGTGCAGTTCCTTGAGCGCAAGGAAGAGATTGCCCGAACGCTGAAGCTACAAGACATGCAACCCAACTGCGAGGCTTGGAGGAGATACTACCCGACAGCGTACTACCCGAAGCACGACTCTGGGTTGTAAATGATGCGCGCCTGAGGCTGAAAATCGGACAGAAAGGGCGGCGCTGATGACAGCTGCAGTGGCGTCCAACTGCCTTGCGTAGCAATAGCCGGGGCGGCAACACGAGCGCACCAAGTCTGGACGCCGCAAGCCTTCAACGTCATTTACTCGGCATGCACATTTTACTTCTGACCAACAGTAATTTTTTTTTTTTGGTTTGGGTAGGCTATCCTGTCGCGTGGCCATACACCCTTTCCGTGACTACCGCACCACGGCATGATTTTGAGCGCTTAAGGCTTCTTCTTGTTTTTTATTTTTTTCCCCTTTCCATTTGACGTTGGAAAGGCCCATACTCCTTTCCGGACCACACTCACACACCACTCATGTGCATTTTACGAGGATGCAGGGATCTGAGTCCACTCATTTAGACTCATCACTAATGATCGGCCTCGAAAGCGAATGATTTGGAAGAATGAAGGGTTTTCATTATTGGACATATGTCATGTTCAGCTTGCGTTGAGCTGCAGGTAATAGTTTGCGTACGTGCATAAGCTGGAGTTTCGGGCATGGATACCTTTTGACGTGGGCCTCTTTTTTTTCGGTACGTGCCATTTAGATGATGGGATTCAAGCATTTGTTTTTAGTTGGACTATGATTGTCAAAATTCAAAAATTGTTTAATTTCCACTGGAGGAAGACGGATCGGTGTGGTTCTGCATGCAGTGAGATTGTAAGTGCCGTCGTTGGTCCGCGGGTACTTTGTATTTACGCGGTGACTCCTGTTTCTTTGGGTGTCTTAGTAAGACCAGAATCCGCCGGGAGGGATGGGAGGAAAGGTGCGGTTTTACTGCTTGATGCCCGCTGTTGTTGCATTGGGCGTGTTATCTGGGTGTTGCAAGGTATGACCTCAGCTTTTGTATCCCGGAGGTCAAACCTCCCCACATTCCGGTGCCGTCTCACCCGGTCGTCCGGCTCCGACGTCAGCTTAGTTGTCCGCTTGTCTGGTTTTGTTGGGCTGGGCCGCCGACTTGGTGTGAAGTTTGCTTTTCTTGGGGCAGCTTGATGGAGCTGAGTTCCGGGGATTTGGGATCTTGAGGGTTGGCATTGAAAATGCGGTGATGCAGTGTCATTTCTGGAGTTTTGCAGGTTGTTTATGCTGGGTAGACGAGTAGAGAGTGGTGGTATGGGTGTGTGTATGTGATTTGCTATATCTTCATAGCCTTTTTGTGATCCTTTTCTGGTATACCTGTGGCGGACATGGAGTATCGGGCTGAGGGTTCCTTTTAAGTGATTGGATGTGTGTGTGAAGATATCTTCTGTCGTGATTCACTTGCATTGCCTTACATTTATCGGTGCGTGAGGGGATGATAGACACCTTGGTGAAGAGGTGTTTTATGTAGTTGTGGATCAGACGTAGAAGAACGCGCTTAGACCAGGTTCAAGCTGTACAGTTCAAGCATCTTTTGATCTTCTTCAAGAGGACGGTAAAAGCTACTTTGCAGAGCAACATCTTCAAAACCAAGTAAACGTCTCATACAGTATACTTCGGTCTTCGATGACAACCCTTTCGTCACCATTCGTTTTAGATGTCCGATTTACGTTGGACGAATTTGGTAACCCAGTTAATCCAACTCTAGAACGCTGTTCCTGTCTGCTTTACTGCGTGGAGACGTTAAGCTGTCTTGCAGTCTAGAATAATGAGGACGTTCGTCTCCAACAACTAGGACACGATCTAGAGAAGTGATGAGAAATGATTCAACTCGGTCAAGAGACAACATGTTGCATTCATATTGAACTACCAGATATTGCCTCACGTTGGAAGAGTCGACAGAAAGGCACAGCCCATCTACTTGTCTCCTTCCCCTCATCAGTCCTGCATGCACTGAGCAGGATCAATGGACCGACATCTGTCGGCAGCCTCTACCTGCTCCTTTCGAGGGCCTAAAGCGGCGACAGGTGCTGCGAGAGCAAGTACTGGGGCCTGATGCATGACGGTCAGCGAATCGACGGGAGCTGAGATACATACGGAAGCAATAAGGATAGAGCGTAAGTTGGGGTCGTGCTACTTACCACGCTGAGCGCGGCATTGCCGGGGAAATTGAGACCAAGGCATTGTACGCCGGTGAAGGCGACGAAGCTGGCGGCGAGAGTAGACAGGATATGCATGATGCTTGAATGTTTGGGTTGAGAAACTGCAGGACACAGTAGGATAGAGTATTGAGAATGTGGCGTTGGAGTCTGAAGTCACAGAGTTGCGTGCAGGGTAAATTCCACAAGAAGAGAACGTTCACGGAATGTAACTACGGAGCCGTCATGTAGGCATTTATACCCGCGAAGAGTGAAGCCCTGACTCGGCCATGCCAGGAAGGCGAATGATGATGCAGCAGAGTTCCGACAAGCTGCGAAACCAATTCCATCGTATTCGCCACGGGTCGTTCGTGAGAGAAAATTGGAACCATGTTGGTTAGACTTTAAAACCACGCAGCCAATGACTGTCAACTTTAGACCGGTACGGTGCGGTAAAACATGTCCTAGTTCGGCCAGGATACGCCCTATGCGCCGCCGGAGAGATTTTAAGAAATTAGAGTTGAGCCGTCGTTTTACTGCGCGTTGTAGTAGTCTTGGCATCGGTGTACGCTCCGCGGGTTTCGGTTTCTCAAGTCGGGATGTGGCGAGTTGCTTAAGTCGGCGTCTACTATTGTTATTGAGGCTTACGCATACCCTAATAGGCTATTTGAAAGCTGAGCAACTTGCAAACCTGTTATGGCGTACCGGAGGAAACTCGTCAGTGTGTAAGTTTAGGATGAGAAAGTTATCCTAGTATCGTTAAATGCCTACCTGGGTGCCTGTCTCTGGGTCTATTGTATCCAGCACTAATGAACAAATGATGCGGCTTACACTGGAGTCTTGCTAATGCAACATCTTCGTTCCATGTCATGATGGCAGTGAAGTGCTACATGAGCATCACCTACACATCACCTGCACATCACCTAGTATCACTCGAAAGAAATCTAATGTGGGAGTCATCATGTCTTCGTAATTAACTGCAACGCTGATGTAGGGCTGAGCCAAAGCATACCCCCTGTCGAGATAGGCCGACCCATCAAGGTCCTCGGTCAAATCCACGCTCTTAATAAAGTTCAACCTTTTCCAAATTCTCCAAGTGAATCAATCCATTAGGAGGCTATACACACCTGTTAGTTCTCTTCCAAAGCAAGGACTGCTGTTAAAGACTCACCGGGATGTATTGCCTCAACTTCACGCCAGCCTGTCGGAACACCGCTGCCGTCTCCGTGTCCATGCTGTACCCCTGAGCATACACCACCTCGTCGATGCCGACCTGGCAAATCTTGATGCTGCAGGTAAGACAAGGGCAGGTGTCGCAGTACAGCACCGCCCCCTCGCGAATGCGCTCCCGACCGGCTTCCAGCAGCGCGTTCTCCTCGGCGTGGATGCACAGGCACGTAGCCAGCCCGACGCCGGATGAGTTGCCAGAGTTGCAGCGCGAGCACCCGCCGTCAGAGCAGTTCTGCAGACCACGCGGCGTGCCGTTGTAGCCGGTGGATATGACGCGCTTCTCGCGGCCGACCAGCACGGCGCCGACGCGGCGCTTCATGCAGTTTGAGCGCAGAGAGGCGAGCGTTGCGAGGGACATGAAATAGGCGTCCCAGCTAGGGCGCAATCTTACGGGATCCGCGAGCTTGAGCTTGCCCAGCGTGGCGTAGAGGTGTGCCAGCGAAGACGAAGTGTTGAGGAGACGGACCGTGGCGCGCGAGATGAGGGGCTGCAGGCCGTCGAACGGATCGTAGAGGTGAGCGTCCGAGGTTAGGGCGAAAGATTCGAGGGTGCAGTGAGGGTTGTGTAGGGCGCGGTAGCGGGCGTGGCGGACGGTCAGGGGCGCGTCGACGGAGATCAGCATGAAGAAGGGGCGGCGGGAGAGCTGGTCGAGGATGGCCTCGGTGTGGACATCGGTCATGACGAATCGAGACTGCCAACGGGTTGTGACATATTCGAGGAGGGCGTCGGCGGAAGAAAAGGTGACCTCTGTGGCGGTAGCGGCGGCAGCGGCAGAGACGGAGGCGCCACTGACAGATGGGGGCGGAAGCGGCCCTCGGACGGAAGTACCGCTGGTGGAGGGAGGCGGAGGCGGTCCTCGGACGGGCATGGTCACACCGAGAACGAAGGGCGCATTTGCGATGGGACAGTCTTTCTTGGTGTGACCCACCCCGTCACAATAGAAGCACTTGTTCTTCTTCTTTTTGCCCTTCTTACCTGGCTGCTTTTGAGCGCCAGCATCAGTGTCGCCGCTGACAGATGGTGCGACCGACGGCATCGAGGATGCGGCGAGGACTGGGGCGCCGACGTTGGTATCACCGGGAGTAGCACTGTCAGGGGTTTTATCTTGAACAGCGCCATTGTGAGAAGTCTCATTGCGGATAGAGATTTCTGAGGGGGCAGTAAGACGGAGCAGCTTAAAGCCATGGTGCTCGACCAGATACTGAGCAACAGTCTTCTTTCCGGCGCAAATGCCTGTTGTGGTGTCAGGTTGGTTTATATAAAAGAAATAAAGACTTGTTTGTTATATAGGCTCAGTTCAGATGAGAGTGACTTACCGCCGCAAATTCCAATAAGCATCTTGACGAATATCTGAATCAAAACTCTCTCAATCAAAAAGGTACAAGTCTGAACAAAAAAGCGCCAAGGCACAGTTGCAGTGGTCTGAGTATCAAACTACAGCTGTGTAGCTACGCAGAAACAGCCAATGCTGATGTGCAAAGCTCTGCAACAACCCGGCAACGAGGGTCCAATTGAAAAGTCGCGACTCTGAAGCCCCCAATTCCACAAACGCGGTTTACGCGTAAAGGGGTTTTTCCCGTTCGGGTCGGTAGATTGTACCCCGCGCTCCGACCGCACCGGAGTTTATCCGGCGGGACCTGCAGAGCATGACACAATAACCCCGTGGCCCCGAGCTTCACCCCCACCTTATGTCCAGCTGGGCAGGTGGCAGGTCACAGCCCGATGGGGGAGGGGGAAGCTACCCTTACCCTCTCTAGCCCTATCATGCTTACCTTGTCAGATACTTACCATTTCACTCTCATGAAGTTGTCTCGTTGTTCTCGTGATTCATAATCCCAAGAAGACGTGCCTGGTTGCCTGCGCAGCTGACTTCTTTTCTCCTCCCTCAACTCAAAAGCGCATACATCTAGTTTGCCTGGAGCCTCTCCCGGACGTGCAACTTACCTTTTCCGTCGCATCGCGGACTCCCACTTTTGAGTCATTTCGTGCCTGAACGGTCTCTGTTTTCAGTCTCGTTCCCCGCCATCGTATACATCCAAAATCCTAGGCGTCTTTTTTCTAGAGCTCTCCATCTTCACCAGAGTATAATTCGCCCTCATTACGTGTATTGCGAACCAAAGATTCCGACGCATATCTCCGAGGCGCATCGCGATCACCCACACACACAGCTCGCTCGCCTACGATGGCAGCAATCCAATACGCGCCGTTCTCTTCCGAGATCGAGCTTCCCTTTTACGCTGCCCTATTTTCTTCCAAACTTGAACATGACAAACTGGACGACTCGGCGCGTAGGGTACTGGGCCAGTATACCCCGCTGCCGGTCGAGCCGGGCCAGAGCTGCAAGATGTCCATCCTGGGTAACGCGCTCAAGGCCGACCAGTAAGCCTGGCCTATGGGCTTGGAGGCCTGTATCATGTTGACCGTCACAGGACTGATGAGGAGAGTAGGCCCAACGATGAGCACGTCCGCGGCGAGGGCTGGATCAAGAACGTCAACACCATCGAGGATTTCAAAAACACCGACAAGCCTGCCATGCTGAAGCTAGCTGCGCGGCATGTGAGTTTGATTTTGCCCAGACACGGGCGGCGCATCCACTGACGAGCTTGCTAATTTTTTCTAGATCTGGGACGCGATCAACGACGGCACTATTTATTCCGTACCGTCACTCCTCTCCTCCTTCACGATTCTTTCCTACGCCGACCTGAAGAAGTACCGATTTACATACTGGTTCGCATTTCCCGCGCTTCACTCAGACCCCCAGTGGAAACGAACAGGCCCTATCGGTCGCCTTGACCCCAAAGAGAGCACGTCGTTGGTTGATTGCGTAGGGACATGGGCGGCGAACCGCGATAAGCGCCAGAACGGCTTTTTCCTTGCGAAGAAGGCCCGTGGGGTTGATGTCAGCGATCTTGACAAGGATGCCAACAGCGATCTGCACGATCTTAACGACACGTTTGGCTATGTGTGGGAGGTTGCGAACTTGGGCGAATTCGAAAACGGCTTTTTCGACGGCGTTGCTGAGGAGGACAGATACGTTTCTTTCGTCGACCCTTCTACATACCCCGAGAACCCATCCTGGCCTCTCCGCAACCTGCTCTGGCTTGTTCGGCAGCGGTACCGTTTGACAAAGGTGCAGATTCTCTGCTACAGAGACATCAGAGCCAGTAGACACGCTGCCAGAAGCATCATTTTGCCTCTTGAGATGGACCCTGTCGAGCCTCTTGCGGTTACTGAAATGCCCAAGGTCACTGGGTGGGAGAGAGATGCGGAGGGGAAGCTTCGAGCTAGACTCGCAAACCTCGGCGAGTACATGGATCCGGCACGTCTTGCAGACCAGTCCGTGGACCTGAATCTCAAGCTCATGAAGTGGCGCATATCACCAAACCTGGATTTGGATTCGATCAAGAACAGCAAGTGCTTACTATTGGGAGCCGGTACTCTGGGTAGCTACGTCTCCAGGAATCTTATGGGCTGGGGCGTGCGAAAGATTACTTTTGTGGACTACGGCCGAGTCTCTTACTCTAACCCCGTACGACAGCCCCTATTCAACTTTGCTGACTGCCTAGAGGGCGGAAAGCCCAAAGCGATCCGCGCTGCAGAGGCACTGAAGGAGATCTATCCCGGGGTTGAAAGCGAGGGCCATGCGTTGTCTGTTCCTATGCTTGGTCATCCCTTTACAGATGAGGCGAAAACCAGAGCCGATTTTGACAAGTTGAAGAAGCTCATCGACGAGCATGATGCAGTCTTCCTCTTGATGGACAGCAGAGAGTCGCGATGGCTTCCGAGTGTGATAGGAAAGGCTACAGGCAAGATTGTGCTCAACGCTGCTCTCGGATTCGACTCGTGGGTGGTTATGCGACATGGTGTTGAACCGGAGAATGTTCAGCCAGAAGACAAGGAGCGTGCCACGCTTGGTTGCTACTTCTGCAATGATGTGGTTGCACCGGCTGATGTGAGTGTTCGTACTCCTTTATCTTTCATGTACTAACCCTATGCAGTCACAAAAGGATCAAACTCTCGACCAGCAGTGCACCGTTACACGGCCAGGTGTAGCGCCCATGGCTTCGGCAGCTCTTGTTGAGCTTTTCGCCAGCTTGCAGCAGCATCCTCTTAAGCATCATGCTGCGGCACCTCATACCTCGAACGACGAAAAGGACCCCGTTGACCACGCTCTTGGGTTGGTCCCTCACACGGTTCGCGGTTACGTCCACAACTTCAGCAACAAAGTGATCCGTGGTCAGTCATACCCATGCTGCAGCGCTTGTGGCCCTCCGGTGTTGGATGCGTACAGGAAGGATGGCTGGGCCTTTGTCAAGAAGGCTCTGCAAGAGAAAGACTACGTGGCGGAGCTGTCAGGGCTGGCGGAGGTACAGCGTGAGGCCGAGAGGCGGGCTGCTGCAATGGAGATTGAGGATGATGAGGAGTTTTTTGACGACGGCGAGGGTGAGTTGATTTAAAAGATGCAGGAGTAGATGTCTTCAAGGTTTGCTAGACCAGGCACGGAGTTACTTATGGGTTATTATGTCATGTGCAGTCTCGCTGCAATGTCTTGGGGTATCGGCAGGCGTTTTGGCATGGTCGTTTCTAAACGAGGTTTGCATCATGATAGCTTTAACGAAGACTGTTTATCGAGTTGGTTGTTACCTATGGATTTACTCTTCGTCGTACATCTTGCTGCATACCAAGTGTACTGTTTATTGACCCGGGAACCGGCGAAGTACATGTCATGTCGTACAAGATGAAGTCGATCCTATCACAACCGACGGTTCTCCGGAAAAGACGGCGAACTTTGTGTTTTCCCCTCTCCCAGCATCGAGATTCGTCGTAGGAGATCCTCGACGCAACAAGCCCTGCTTCTTTTTGTGTGTGAAAAAGTCACTTCCATTGCACATTCACGAATATGCTTGGATCCAGCAAATCATCGACCGTCATAAATACCGGAACCCGTCCCGTCCACATGCCTTGCCCTCCCACTGCGATAATGATGCGCATAATCCACCGCATACATACACCATAGTAGAGGTGCAGATGCAGATGACAGGGATCTCCCCCACACAGGCCAGCCAGCTGGCCGCGGCCCGTGACCGATGTGCAGCATGTTTCACATTTCCCACTGCCCTCGCAACTGCACTAACAAAAACATCAACAACAGCGAGAACGAAATTTTTGAAAACAGCATCAAATTGATCAAACCACGCCCGCTCGCGCTCTCAGAGGTCACTTTGGGCATAATGTCATCCTCGGCATTGATTCTGCTCCCAAAGAGCCTGCTCGTGGCCGCGGGCGGGCTCTGACCACGAAAAATTCGAGAGCAAGCCACAAAGTATGACACGTCAATAGACAACACCATCGACACCACCGCGGTTGAGTCACGGGCTATCACGTGAGCACAACGACCAAGCCCAAACAAACATCAATACTACAGCTACCGATAGGTTATGGGTCGCCTATCACCCCCGACAAAGTTTGCAACGTCCCGCGACAACAACGACGACAAGCCCGACAGAACGGTATCACCTCCTGCATAGAGAAAGCACCAGACACCAGGCATGCTACGATCGATGCCACAAAATACTACAGTTTGCAGACAGATTGGTCCCCTGTCGCCCCCTCCGCGAAGAAGGATTGTCGCCCCTTCAACGTATGACAATGTCTGCGGAATCTGTGTACGAGCTCTCATACTTAGTAATCGGACGAATCGAAGCGGTTGGAGCATTGTGTTTTGCGGATTGAGTCCGACTCCAGGCGGTGGATGGAGGTGGTGGTCGAAAGATGGAAACATAGAGCCACATAGGAACCCAGCATGAGGCAACAAAAAGATTTACAGATTCAACTGAGATATAGCACATGCGAGTCTGAGAGGATGCGGACAAGATAAAGAGACGAAGCTGAGGGCTGGGGGGAGACTATAGGTATACAGAACCAGACATGGTGCCTAGCACCAACAGAACCGAAGTAGGAGGACGCGAAAGAAGGATTCTAGAAGGCAACACCAAGCGAGAGAGCAGGCAGGAGGACAACAATCTTCAACAGAGGGCATAAACACACAAGAATAGATAGCATAGTGGGAGCTTGGGGACAGCTGGTCCTGATCCAACAACAGGGCGAAGTGGGGCGTCGCGGTTTATCGTCGATGCTTCGGCTGTCTGCCAAACCCCGCTTTCCGGGCATAGCTGCTAGCATAAGAGCGGCTTCATAACCGTGTAGGAATCAATCAATCAATCAAAGCAACTGCACTAACTCGACCCCGATACCACGCGGTGTCGATCTGTTAGCGAGCGTTCAACGAAAAAGCTGCAACGCTATTCTGGGAGTGATCTAGCGGGGGAAGGTCGCCGCTGGCGCTGTGGGCATTAGCCATGTCGGGGAAAGTCAACCCCCCCCCCCCCCCCCTATATTACCTAAGTAAGCACTACGGGCGCGGCGGTTCGTGTTTCTTTTAGTCAGGTGCGTTGGCCAACTACAGCGGGATGGATGACTTTTGGAGGTACACACACACACACCGTATTCTCATCCATCTTATCCGTTCCCGCCTTTTGTTCTGGCTGCATCGTTATTTTCCTTCCATTTCACTCAAGATACAGCTTACCTTTTGACTTGGAAATAATACTCTTTTTTTTGTTTTCTTAGATGGAAAAGATGTGAAAAGCGCTCTGGGGACCCTTTCTGAATTGCATCTGTGGAGTTACGTTGGAGACGCAAGGCTGGTTTGCGACCATCTTTGGGTGTGTGGAGGGTGAATTGAATGCTGCCGGTTTGTTCGGCCACTTTCCCTTAACGACCGTGACCTGGAGACGCCCATCGATTCATCACGTGAGACGCGCCACTGGTAAAGTCGGTCCATCTCAAGACACTTTCAAAGTACCGGAGGACCCGGTTTCACGGCGAAGAACCCGAAGATGGCGTTCATGTTGCGCTCCCTGCTGCGGCGCCTGATGTCGGACCAGACCGAGTCCGTGAGCAACTACATCGGCGTCGTGGTCCCGCTGGAAGAGGCGCATTTGCACAGTCATTCGGCGCGCATCGGAAGGTGCGAGTTTGAGGAGCGGCCGGGGCATGATGAGGATGCCGAAGAGGAGGAGGAGGAGGATGGCAAGGACCAGGGCGAGAGCACGGGGATGCTGGAGATGAGTGCTGCCGAGTACACGATCGAGGGGCTTAGGAAGGAGGTTAGGAGGGGCGGGAAGGGTCAGTGGACCGAGTATGAGCGTGAGTGTTTCTGTGATGGTGGGTGAGGATGGTGGGATGGATACTGATGAAGGCGCAGTGAAATCTAAACTCATCAACAAGGCTATTCAGGATATCGGCATGGGCAAGTACAACTGGCAACTCTTTGTACTATGTGGTTTTGGATGGTTTGCAGATAAGTAAGTTTGACCATATCTTATCTATTATTTACTGAGCTTCACTAACTTTTCAAAGTCTGTGGATGCACGTAAGTCTTCATCCTCAACTACCCTCACTCACCTTATGCCATAGATATACAGATGCTGACCAGCACTAGGGCGTCTCCCTGACCCTCCCTTCACTATCCGCCGAATTCAACATTTCGGAAAAGTCGGTCCGCTACACCACCTCATCCGTCTTCCTCGGCCTCTGTTTCGGCTCCTTCATTTGGGGCATCGGTTCCGACGTCCTCGGCCGCCGCATCGCATTCAACATGACCCTCCTCATCACCGGCATCTTTGGCATTCTTTTGGCCTTCGCGCCGAGCTGGGGCTGGGTCTGCCTCCTCTTCGCGGCGCTCGGTTTCGGTGTGGGCGGCAATTTGCCCGTCGACGGCGCGCTGTTCCTCGAGTTCCTCCCCGACGCGTCGTCTTCGCTCCTGACGCTGCTGTCTGTGTGGTGGCCCGTGGGCCAGTTATCGTCGTCGCTGGCGGCGTGGTACTTCATCGCGAACTGGCCGCCCGCCGAAGGGTGGAGGAGGTTCGTCCTGACGATTGGACTGGTGACCTTTCTGATGTTTGTCGTCCGCTTCTTCGCCTTCCAGCTCTTCGAGTCGCCCAAGTTCCTGCTGTCGAAGAACAGACAGGCGGAGGCGGTAGCCGTGATCCACGGCATCGCGTTCCGCAACGGCGCAAAGACGTGGCTCACCGAAGAAATCCTCGACGCGGTCGCCGAAGGCGTCGTCGTCGACGGAGAACCTCTCGGCCGGTCGTCCTCCCGCCCGGGAAGAACCACGAGCGTCCTCCGCGAAAGGCTAAAGTCGTTCTCGGGAGACCGCCTCCGTCCCCTGTTCAAAACACGCACCCTCGGCCTCGCGACGGCGATAGTCTGGTTCGTCTGGGCGACGATCGGCATGGGATACCCGCTCTTCAACGCCTTCCTCCCGCAGTACCTCTCCCACGGCGGCTCCGCGCCTCCCGAGGGGTCCCCCGACGAGGGCGCGACGCCCATCACCCCGGACACGTACCGCACCTACGCCATCACCTCCGCCGTCGGCGTCCCGGGGAGCCTGCTGGCCGCGTACCTGGTCGACCACAAGTCTCCCTGGCTGGGCCGCCGCGGCACCCTCGCGTCCTCCAGTTTCGTGTCGGCCGTCTTCCTGTTCATGTTTGTAAAGTTCGGGACGTCGCCCGCCTCGCAGCTCTTCTTCTCCTGCGTCGAGGCCTTCTCGCAGAACATCATGTACGGCGTGCTCTACGCCTTCACGCCGGAGATCTTCCCCGCGCCGGTGCGGGGCGCCGGCACGGGGATGGCGAGTTTTCTGAACCGCGCAATGGGGCTCATGGCGCCGCTTTTGGCGGCGAACATGCCTGGCGACGGGACGACGACGCCGATTTATCTGTCTGGAGCGCTGATTCTTGCGGCGTTCGTGGGGATGTGTCTGATTCCCATCGAGACGAGGGGACGACAGAGGCTATAATGGTGTTTTTTTTTTTTTTTTTTTTTTTTTTTTTTTTTTGGTTGTCTGTTTGATACACGCTAGAGGTTTGCGTCATGAGGGAATCTAGAAGGGTCTGTCGAGTGTTTTGCTCCAAGAGGTACTGCCGGGGAGTACGAATACGTAAAAAAATGGGAGTTTTCGTTTCTTGGTCTCGTCAACCCCGTGCTTCTCATTGACATGTCGTCGTAGCAGCAGCAGCAGCAGCAACAGCAGCAGTAGCAGCAACTACATCAGCACCTTGGCAAAAGCGTCTCCGAGTCCCCTGTCCACAAGCCACCCCTCCACGGCTTTCATGTCCCCGCGGTTGGCCCTCTGCCCGCGCCTCTCGCCGACCGAGTCCGTGATCTCCTCCATGTCCGCAAACACCCTCTTCTGCACGTCCTTCTCGCGGTGGCGCTCGCTGACCTTTTTGTGGTGCGCGGGGATGTCGCCCCAGCTCTCCGTCTTGATGAACTTCATGTAGTCGTCAATGTTCTGCGACGCGCCCTCCACGCACAATAGCCCCGGCTTGCCCGCGTACAGGAACCCCGTGAGGCCGTAGGACGGTGCGTGGATGATGAAGTCGTCGCGCTTGGAACGCGTGGAGATGGACGGGAAATAGAACCAGACGCGCACCAAGGGCCCCGCGTCCGCGCAAGTTGACGAGGTTGTCGTCTTTTCTTGTTCTTCTTCTTCTGCGGCGGCGGCGGCGGCTTGGCGGGATGCCGCTTCGCTTACCGCCTCGATTGTGCTGAAGAGGTCTTCCGTTTCGGGGATTTGCGAGTTGAGTTGCGTCGCCGCGGCGCGGTTCATCCAGTCCGGTTGGCGTATCCTTAGTCTTATCCGCGGCGGTTCATCTGGCGATTCGGGTCCCTCGTGTGAGAAGGGCACGTTGATGTCGAGGTGTAGCGTCTTATCGTCGTACTCCGGCACGGCCAGTTTCAGGACTAGTGTCACTATGGGGGCTGATTTTCTCTGTGACTGTATTGTAGTTGTGCCGTTTTCGACGTCCAATTTCAGGGAGTTGAGGAGTTCTTCAGAGTCTCTGTCGAGAGTCACTTCGTCTTCTGTAGGGTACATTGCCATCAACAAGTCTATTTGGCCTATTTGGTGCTCGATGAGGTCTGGGGGCAGGAGGAGCCATGATGATGAGGCTGACATTGTGTGAATTTCAACGTCTTTTGATTTTTTTTGTTGTTAGATTATGAGACAATGAAAATGGATAAAGAGATACAGTTCAGATCTCATGTCCGATGCCGGGGCATTGAGTGATGATTGAGGGGAGGATATTGTGGATGAGGGTTTTTGACACGAGCCACACTCAGCCACAACGCCACAGCGTATTTGCTTCACGATGTCAGGGAAAGGCATGTTGAAACATTTGATTCTATATTTCAAGGCTGACTGTGACAGATTCACAAGAGTTGTAATGGCAAACTCTGGACACCTTTCTGGCAGTTTATACCCAAGTCACCAAAACCTGGTATTATTGGACAGAATATTGAATATTTATATATTTGTTGCCGGTATCTTCTCAGGACGCCCCCATTGCTTCTAAAGTACAAAGTCTACTGCCACTTCTACCTGTTACCTTTGGCGCCAGCCGGCGCATCTACTCTCCTCTTCCGGAACGAGTTGCCCATCGCGTCTCTCACCATCGGATCAGACCGGATGGTGTTCTGAATCAACCAGTCCTTGACCTTGGCACGCACACTGCTGAGCGCCGCCTTCTCTCCCGCGAACGGCATCATCTCCATATCCAGCAACCTAGTGGTCTCCCCATCGAGCCCGCGGACGAGCATCTCGAGCCGCTGCAGCCCCTCGTCGACAGCCGCCGCAGATCCCTCCGCAGCCCGCTGCGCCGCCTGGCCTTCTGGGTTCAGCAGGGGACCGATCTGGCTAAAAGCGATGTATATCGTAACCGCAGCCTGGCGCGCGAGCGACACAAGCTGGAATTGCAGGTAGGGCGGACGTCGAAGAACCGTGCTGAGTGCGGTGTTGGCCATCTCCAGATACGGCGGCATCGCAGGACGCGTGACAACAATAAGCTCTCCAACGAAAAAGAGGAGGAGAATCACCCAACGCCAGTAGCGGCCCCAGTCCAGGTAGCCCAACAGGCCGAGACCATACGTAGCAGCAGCGGCAATGCCGTAGTGGGGAAGTGTGCTCTGGAAGACACCCCGGGAAACGTAGTCATGTATCGTCTTGCAGTTCTGCCACGAGCCTACAATGGGGCCGAACCGCTCGTAGGCGAAGCGCCGGGGCTCATCGGCCAACGTTTCGGAGGCGGTTTTAAGGTGCATGAAGCGTGCCGCTGCTCCGCTTGTATCGCCCGTCTGCTTGTCGGGGTGGTAAACCGCGGCAAGTCGTCGAAAACGGGACTTGATGATCCGAACAGGCGCATTGGAGGCGACGTCGAGGTCTGTGTAAAAGGTGCCCTCTAAGCGGAGGGTGCGATCTGCCTCGATGAGGGTGTAGAGGAGATAGAGAGACACGACGAGGATGTGGATTCTTCGACGGTGGATGGCATATTTGGCGCTGCCAGGCTGGGGCTTTGGATCGCCTGCACGAATGGTGATGCCGTAGTAGATCGTCTGAACCCAGGAAGTTGCTAGCTTTGAGTGGGTTAGTTATCGAGCACAGACGTAGGTTGGAGAGGAATTATCGCGTACGTTGGGCAAAAAGGCCCAGCCTATGAGGGAGAGGGCGTTGGACATTTTAAGTTCTTAAGCATTACTTAAGAAGAATTATGTCTCGCGACTACGGTCGAGGTGCGGCGAGGGTCGGCCAGCAGATGGTGGGATGGGAGGTGGTGGATGAAGCTGGACAGAAATGTCAATTGGTGATGTAGCTTGGGGCCTTGCTGGCGTTTTGACGCAACCAGTATCGAAAGCTGACCTCATCCGAACAGGGGGCGGCTCACAGACCCTGGTCCCTGCGCTAGTCGGAGCGGAGGAACCAGGCTCCATAAGAGCCCCCACATTCTATCGTGTCGGAACCCGATCCGTAGGTTATCTAGTTCAATGTTCAAAGTCAGAATGACAAGCTGCCAGCCCTGTTTTTCACCCAGTCGCTTTAGGATTCGCAACCTCAAGAAATGTTCTGCATAGTAGAAAACTGTTTACAACGTTTTCGAACAAGGGCTGCGGCTCATGCAGTCAACCGTTGATGGGCTAGTGCTCGTTCTTCTCAGATTAGCGAGACAACCACTGCCGAACTAACATCCTAGAATGCCCTGCCAGATTATACCTGCGATAGCTCGGTTGCCGCCCAAGGGACATCTTGAATCACCACACTGCAAAGATCTCAACTCTTTGGTCGTCTACAAAGGCTTTTTCCAAGCTCCCGCTCCCAACCTCTTTCCGCTTGCCAAACAGGGATTTGATAATGTGGGAGACTGACAGCGAAACATTTATTAAGAATGTATGGCAAAATAGTATTAGGCGATACCGATCACACCACCGCTATCGTATCAAAAGATAAATGATATCAAAAGATTATGCTTTCAGCACATTCGAAGACTGATTTGTGCACTCCATACTCTGCTTCTCCTGGAGTCACAGTCCAATTGCGGTAACCCCCCTTGTTACACACAATGACGACCTATACGATGCCAATCAACCGATATTCTTTCACGGACAAAGTCTAAACCTCGTTACCCTTCTTCCTGCTCTCGTCAATAGTTGCTGGTTGACTTTGAGAGGTGTCGCTGCTTTTCTTCCGGTCAATCCTTCGCCATCCCATGCCCCAAGCGAACAAGAAACTCCCTGCCGAAGCACCCAGCGCAACGTAAAAAGTCCTATCAATGGCGTAGGCGTATGAACGTAACACACCAGGGAGCTGGTCCGGCGTGACCACCGAGGCAAACCCAGTAGCGCCGGCGTGGGTAATGGCTGCCGCGTCGACCGTAGGGGAGAACTTGGGAATGGCCGTCTCCAAGGAGCTGTTGAAAACAAATTGCGCAATCGTCAATGCGAGAGACCCCCCAAATGTCTGTGTGAAGATGACCAGAGACATGCCGAGTGGTATTTTCTCCGCTGGGAGTACGTTTTGGATTGCAATGACAGGCTGGTTGGAGGGAGATGGCACCCGGTTAGCAGCTTGTCTGTATGGAATGGGTGAACCAGGAGATGCTTCAACTACTCACCGTTTGCATGCCGCAGCCTCGACCGAATCCTGCGACAAATTGATACATGACCCACTGGGCAACAGTTGCCTGCACCGTTAAGGTTGTCGTTAAGCCAGCGCCAACAAGCATGATGGCAGAACTAACCAACGCCCAGGGAAGGTAGTAGCCCGTTTTCCCAACTATCAAAGTTAGCCACATCCCCTTCTTACAACCCATGCCGTATGCAGCTGATCACTTACTTAGTGCGCCGGATAAGATGGCCATGACTAATTGGGGCAAGATGCCTGAGAGGAGGTATATGCCACTCATAAGGGCAGATACTCCCTTGACGGCTTGGAAATAGATTGGCATGTAATACGAGAAGCAGAGCAACGCGCCAGAGAAGAAGCCCAAGTAAATGGAGGCGCTCCAGACTTCGTGCCGGCGGGCAACTGATGCAGGAATCATTGCACTGTCGCCAACTCGGTGCTCCCATGCCGCGAATATGACCAGAGACACGAAACCACCGCAGAGAAGGCCGATCACGGTGGGACTGTTCCAGGGGAAGTCGGATCCTCCCCACGAAAGCGCCAGCTCGACCATAACGGCGAAACCAGCGAAGAACACAAAGCCGGTGAGGTCGAGTTTAGAAAGGACGGTCTTCAAGCTCGTTTGTACCGATAAGGTTTCGGCGGAGCGATGTTCAGGGATGCGAATGCTCAGGAACAGGATAGCTGCAATAGCACCAATGGGTAGGTTGATGTAGAAGCCTGACGGAATCATTAGAAGAGACGCATTCCGGAGGGTAGCAGAAGGATACGCACACCATCGCCAACTGGCTCCTTGTGTCAAGGCACCGCCAACGAGCGGGCCACACACGATGCCCATTTGACTCACTGCAAAGGTCAGAGGTGGAACCATCACTTTGCGTTAATCACGGGATTACCTACGTCCCATCATGGTCCCTACCATGACTTTTGATATTGTCAGCCAGCGCCCAAATGATGTACGGATAACACAGAGGCAGGTGGCACTCACGCGGTTGCTTGTCCCTGGGAGCGCTGGCAGAGACGATGGTGAGTGCCCCATTCATGATGCCGGAAGCGCCTAGACCAGCCACGACCCGGCCGGCTATCATTGCCTTTGATGACTGGGCAGATCCACAGACGGCAGATCCGATCTCGAAGACGAAGAGGAAAGCAAGGAAAGTGTACTGCACTGCATTAGCCACTGGTACGGGAGACGAGCCAGAGATGTGAGGATGGTGTGCGTGCCTTGTAGCTTGTCAGTGTATACAGTCGGCCGGCTAGAGGCTGCAAAGCACAGCTGATAGACAATAACAGTCAGTGAGTGGACATCGGGGTAGGGACCAGTGAGGACGGGATTTGACGTACTTGGCCAGCAGAAAGGCGCTCCCGTACCACCCGACGTCGGCGAGCGAGTGAAAGTCGTTTGTGATTTGGGGGATGGCCTTGTCGTCACACTCGGTCAGAAGTCTGTAGAGTAGCCGGACGGCATGGTGGACGGTGGACACTTACCGTTACGATAATGGACATGTCGAGTAACATGACAAAGGCGACAAGGGTAACAGAGGCAAGCAACAGCCAGAGCCGAACGCCTGAGAGATACTCGCGCTTTTCGCCTTCGCCATCGTCGGTCAGCTCCTGTGTTTTGTTCGCGTTTGGGGATTTGCCATCGCTGTAGCTGATGTCGTCGGTGTGGTTGCTTTTCTCTGGGGTTGTGGCGGGTAGAGAAGTGCTGCTGGTAGGCTTCTCCATGTTGGCAGAGTGTTCCGTAGCGGTCACGCCAAATCTGCAACCGCCGGCTGATATCGTTGTCCTTATGGTGTCTTAACGAGGCTGCGGGAAGGAATCACGAACCTTGTGTCAAGAGAACATGCGTGGGTTGACACAAGAGCCTGGGTTGGTTTGGCGCGGTGAAGATGAGGTTGGAGAAAACTCTTCTATATCTCTGGGAAGGTTGAAAACATCAGTGCTATCCCATGCTAATTCTTTGAGGTATCTGATATCCCAAGTCCTCTCAAGCACCTTAAAGGCTGTCGTGGCGATGGTCTCCATGTTTGCGGGCCTTGGTATTGTTTCTCTCACCTAGTTTTCTATGGTAGTAACAATATTCCGGAGAACATCAACTATGTAGAGCTTTCAGCGTCAACCGGTGGACAAATTCACAAATCACCTTTTAATTCCTGGCAGATGTATATGAACTGTACTTTCCTTACCTGCCTTCTAATAACTTCGGGCTAACGGCACGGGCCGCTGCTTAAGCTCCTAGCTTAGTGTGACCTGAGCTTAAGGAGGTTGTCGATATGTACCCTTGGCTGTTGTTTAGACAGCCGGTCTTTTACTTGCGTTGCGCAGCCAGTCGATACATTGTAACCAGAGCCTGGTTCAACGGATTATATTTCACTAATTTATATAGTGAATATCCCTGCGATTCCAATCCATTGGGTTGCCGAACATCCTTCGAGATTGGTGCCATTTCCGTTGCGTCAACTCCGTTCTACCTGGGTTCTACCAATTCCGTTCTATCAATCCCGTTCAAACCCCGTTCTAATCCCATTTCAACAGCTGTCTTGAGCTCTAAGCCCTCCAGATTTTCGACATTTATCCAATCGACTGCCGTTAGGCTACAAACATTGCAAGCCACACAATAATCCACACATATTCAACCCCGTCGGAAAGGGTATGGGCTGAAGATAAGGTCATACTACCTGTTCCCAATTGGCTGTGCCCCTGCATGATATATATTTGCAGCCCTTAACGGTAGTTAATGCGGTATATGTTGAAAAAGTGCCTCGCAGTCCCCTCAATTTCACTATTCCCACCGGAACGCGGTGGCCTCATGGGACTCTCTTATGTAGGCTTTCTAAGACCAGAAACACGTCACACTTAACTCACCTCGACCCGCGGCAAAGAGGCCTAATTTCAATCGTGTGGTTCGTGATGAAGATAGCGGCGACGGTATTCCAACGTCGTGTTTCGTACTTATTCCACACGTCTGTGAAAGCACCCGCGGCGGTTTTCTGGTTCGATCTTCGCCATAATCGTTGAAACAGTCTTACACTCCGAGTACTACCTTAATTTACCGACCCTCAAGGCCCAAAAATATCAAAAAGACATGCATAACGGAGCATTCGCCGGTCATCACAGATCCGACCACTTTCCAGCCCTCAGAACCATCTCCTAGATGGGAGGGTTAGCCACAAATAGCAGCGTCTGGAATTTTCAAAAGTTTTAGCACTCCAGGCTGCGAATTCTACAGAATGCACAGAGGTTAGATCCCCTTCAACCCACTTTGTTTGCCATGGTTAGGAAAATTGGTTTTCCGAGAGCTGTTCCAGGAGCTCTACAGAGAACCGCATTATAATAACTCTCCCAGAATTACAGCCAAGTACTACTGTAGAGCCTTCTATAGCTGAGAGACTAAGGCGAAACTCCACTGGTAGCCATAGTAAGTTTTGACCTCCTAGAGTGATCCAGCAGCGATCCGGACTAATTCGAAACTCGTCGGGAAGAGAATCCTGATGCTGGGGACCGGAGTCTAAGAGTGTGGCATCGGAGATTCGATTCTCGATAGATATAGCACCGGCGTCGGTTATCACATGGGTATCACTAATCGCAAATGACAAGTGATCGTAGGCAGTCCCGATGTGAGCCTGCTGTACGCAGTCGCCCGTGTCGGGTTTCCAAAGTCGTACCGTCCTGTCGTATGAAGCTGATGCTATAAGCGTTGAGTCGTGGGAAAAAGCGACTGAGCTCACCCAGTCGTCGTGGCCCTGTAGTTCAAGTACGCATTCGCCCGTATCGGTTTTCCAAAGTCGTACCGTCCTGTCGTGTGAAGCCGATGCTATAAGTGCTGAGTCGTGTGAAAAGGAAGCTGAACCCACAAAGTCGTCGTGGCCCTGTAGTTTCTGTATGCATTCGCCTGTATCGGGTCGCCAAACTTGTACCGTATTATCCCGGGAAACTGACGCTATAAGCGCTGAGTCATGTGAGAAAGCGAGTAAGCAAATCCAGTCGTCGTGGCCCTGGAGTTCCTGTACGCAGTCGCCTGTATCGGGTCGCCAAAGCCGCAATATCCCGTTTGCTGAAGCAAATACTAAAAGAGCCGAGTTATATGAGAAGGCGACCGAGCCTATCGTGCCGTAGCCTTGGAGTTTCTGTATGCATTTGCCTGTTTCGTTCTGCCAAAGCCACACCGCCTCGTCTGAAACTGATGCTATCAAAGCGGAGTCATATGAGAAAATAACTAATTTAATAGAGCCGCTTTGGACCTGAGGTTCCTCTACGCAGTCGCTCGTATCGGTCCGCCGACGCCGTACCGTCTCATCTTTCGAGGTTGGCCCAACCCAGCTGCCGTGACTTTGGGATTCCTGCATGTAGTTGTCTATGTCGGTCCGCCAAAGCCGTACCGTCTCGTCACTTGAAGCTGATGCTATAAGAGCTGAGTCGTGCGAGAAGGCGACTGAGGAGAATTCTTCGCCATGGCCCTTGAGTTTCTGTATACAGTCGCCCGTATCGGTTTTCCAAAGCCGTATTGTCCCGTCTCCTGAGTTTGATGCTAAGAGGGATGAGTCATGTGAGAAGGCAATTGAGGTAACCATGCCGTGGAGTTCCTGGACACAGTCGCCCGTATCAGTCTGCCAAAGCCGTACCATCCCATATGCTTCTGTATCGTCATATGAAGCCGACGCTATAAGAGCTGAGTCATGCGAAAAGGCGACCGAGCTGACAAATGTGCTAGGGAATTGTAGTTCCCGCACACAGTTACCTGTATCAAGCTGCCAAAGCCTTATTGTACCGTCGTAGGAACCCGACGCCACAAGCGCTGAGTCGTGGGAGAAGGCGACTGAGGTAACCGCCCTTCTGTGGCCCTTGAGTTTCTGTGTACAGTCGCCGGTGTCGGTCTGCCAAAGCAGTACCGTACAGTCGTCTGAAGCTGATGCTACAAAAGCTGAGTCGTGCGAGAAGGCGGCCGAGGAAGATCCTTTGCTATGGCCCTTGAGCTCCCGTATACAGTCGCCCGTATCGGTTTGCCAAAGCCGTATCACCCCATGTTGTTCTGTGCCGTCGTATGAAGACGATGCCACAAGTGTTGAGTCGTGTGAGAAAGCAACCGAAGTGACCGGTTCGTTGTGGCCCTTGAGTAGCTGCACGCAGTCGCCTGTACTGGTCTGCCAAAGCCGGACGGTCTTGTCGAGCGAAGCCGATGCCACAAGTGCTGAGTCGTGCGAGAAAGCAACCGAAGTGATTGCGTTGCCGTGGCCTTCAAGTCTCTGGATGCATTGGTTCCAGTCCATCTCAGGTACTGGCCTGAGTGAAATCCAGGCAGGTATATCCTTTTCAAAAGCCTGACGAACTAGACTTTTCTGAGGTGTAAATACAAGTGCAGATGAATACAGTTGAAGGGGCGCAGTATTAATCATAAAAATATGCGATCGAATAAACCTGATTGCATCATCAACGAACTCGAGAATAAACTTGTCGTCCTGTAGCGGGCGTCCTGTTAGTTAAAGATCTATAATAACGATGGAGACTTCTCGCCTTAACACTAGGCTGTAGCGTCCGAAGGATAGCAAGGCTTTCGGATACCTTCCCGATTAAACTCAGAGCTTCAAGCCAGTATAGTAAATAGCGAGATAAGAAACGGTAGATGGAGCTAGCGAGCATGGCCTCGCTACTTGCTTCCTGTACGTGATATGCCCAGTAAAGACAAGCATACTTGACCTCTGGAGGCACACACGTGTCAACTCTGTCAGAGTCGATAGTAGACCGAAGAGTGCCAGGGGATCTCAAATCGCAGATATCCTCATGTAAACTTTTTTGCATAGTACTTAGACATTTTTCGGCAAGATTGTAGTGGCTTTGCTTCTCATCAACCCAAAAAGGGTTTCTCTCTCGCTGTGTGATGTCCAATACATAGTCTCGAAAAGACAGGTGAAGAAGTCTTACAGGGGACTTCGAGTCTTTGGGAACGCTAAGTACAGAATGTAACATGTCGAGTCTGTCATCTATGACTTGTCTAGGAACATCTAAGAGATGGCCTAAAGCTGTAGTTGAAAGGGGACTTGAGAGTATGATAATAGTGCCGACGATGTATCGAAATTGCTTGACTGCTTTCTCTGTTTCTGTGGGGGACAGATCAACGAGTTGCTGGTTGAGAGCTGGCTGGTATGTCAGCTCGAACTTGGATGCCAATTCAAGTTCTGACGATTGGACTCTGGCCTTGTAATCCAGAATTAGACGCAGTTGATGATTCGGACCCCCAAATCCACGCTGGCTGAGGAAACGACACGCTGTTGCAGCGAAGATAAAAAGCGGGACAGCCATGTTGACCAGAGTTTGAATTTGAGGATGACCTGGCCAGCTCTCGGGCAATTGCCGCTCCTTTGAAACCGAATTGTTGTAGATCTTCCTGATCCTTAGAAGCTCGTGTTCAAAGAATGATTGAATGTCTCGCTCGATAATAGGTGGCGGGATCTCGTGAAGAATCAAGTCTTGATAACTTCCCTTTACCTCGTTAAAGCCTAGTCGAATGGGTAGTTCTGGCCGGCTGGTGAGGAATACTTTAAGTCCGGGGGCACGCAGAGCCTTGACGCGGGAGAGGAGTTTAATGACGAGCCTAATGTCATCGTCTCGCTCACACTCGTCTAAAGCATCAACAACAATAGCAATTGGACTGCTAGTATAGCCGTTTACTTGTAGCTCCGATAAAGGACTGAGAATGAGCTTCTCGAACTGTTCTCGTAAGGCTTTGGTTGCTATGATCGAGTCGTCGTCGATGGCCCGTTTTATATGCGACGCCAGTGCAGGCAGAGTATTCGTCAGCTGCGAAGCTATCGTCGGAAAGAACTTTGACATGCTGCCCCGATCGCCCTCGCCTCTCTTGAAGAAGAAACTGGCGCCAAGCTGGGCTTTTTCAGCCAAGGATCGGGCGATAGTACGAGAAATTGTCGACTTGCCCGTGCCTGCCATGCCATTAAGCCAGAAGACCGGTTTGGCGTGGGAATCTTCAACCCATTCATGTATTCGTTCCAAGAGCTCGACCCGCGTAGCCGGTAGGCAGGTTGCGTTATGTTCCTCGGCGTGGGAATCGAAGGAAGCGTTGGGAGCGATTGGCAGCTTGTCAAGGATAACCTTCTGCTCGAGGTTTAGAAGAATCGATCTGAGCACAATTCAATTAGCTTAGGGTAAGCAGGTGGTTGAAGCTCGTACGTCTGGTCGATCTGCAGACCTGTCGAGATGGTCTGCGTGCATCGTGCTATTTCCTGTATAATATTTTTGACATCCTTGCTCTGGAAAGGCCATTTCAGAGCCCGAAGCCCTAGCCGGCTCATGGCCTTACGAGTGCTTCGAGGATTGAGCTCATCCTGGAGTTGTTCGAGTCGTGACCTAGCGCTCACGACGGCACCGAGAAGCTGGTGCGATGTTTCGAGTTTGGCGCCCTGGGGGCCTTCAAGAAGGTCTGAAGCGCCCGACGCGACGTATTTGAGGGTATTGAGCTCCTTCTCGACCCTCATGATCTCGTCCCTCGCATTTTTGACGTCCTTTGAGTACTGAAGGCATATTGACGCGACCTTCGCAGATAGGTCCACGACGGCGATGACGTTGGCCGCGACACCTAGTCCTTCCATGGCTATGGATCGCGAGCTGATGGACGTTGACAACGGCAGATTGAGGCGAACTAAGTCGACGGGTATGATAGGATGCAGCCATCATGTTGTTGGGCAGCGACAAGGCTGTATGCACAGCTGACCACGTGCAACTTGCCTGCAGTTGTTGGTGCCTCGTGTGTACATGAAGCGTACAATAGTAGTCAATATAGGTGCGCCTTTACGAGGATCTGGGTCAAGGATTGGTCAACTTTAGGTAGATAGATTCTCTTCTTGATAGGCTCAGCAGATCAGCAGAGAATGACTTCATATACGTCCGAAAATTTGGTCTTCACTTCATGAAATGAGTAGAAAGGCGAGATTGTCAAAGCCATTTGAAATTATACATGTAACTAATTGAGTAAGGCATACGCTATAACAAAACTTATACCTTTAGATAGGCTCCAATTCAGCGACTCTTAAAGTATACTTTTCGTTGTAGCGGGTTTCTTCCCTGTTCAGTTATTCAGATATGAAGTTGCGAGCAGTTTTGGCTACATCTCATTGCAGCATCTTGCTTAAATAACGAATGATGGATTTTTGGACGCTGCTGACGAACAAACTGTAATGCGCCCTGAGGGGTATTACCCCGCCTATTCCCTGTTCGGTTCGAGTACCAACTGGCTTACTAAAAGACGAGAGCAGTAACTAAAGCCGCACGTTCCACTCTCTTTTCCAGGCTATGCTGGCCCGTCACCCGCCTGTCATATCTCATACTAGGCGGGACTCACTTGGGGAAATCTATTAACAAACTTATTGCATTTAAAGTGCCACGGCGGGAGGCCGGCAATGAGGTTTATACAGGCAACCCGAACAGTGGAGCAAGTTGAAGAAAAATTGAACAGATCATCGGCATGATTACTATACCAGCTGGTCGTGTCGCCTAAGTGACCAAGGGGGGCGAGAAGAAAATGTGCTGGTCGCTGTTGTTGTACTATACATACATAACTATCGTAAAGGGGCGCGACAGCTTGTGTTAAGAAAGGTGGAGAAAAAAACCAACTAAAAATATCTTGAGGCTTGAAATTATAGATCGTCTTGTTTATTCGATGATGCCTTGGGTAGAATGTTAACTGATCGTCACAACACTCACACCTCATCAGAAAGCGTAGTATTGTTTGTCATCTGATGGGTGATCTACAGTAGCTGCAGCCCCTCGTCCCTTGCATAGGGTACCTAGGTACCCCTGCTCTTCCTCAGCAGAGCGCTGGACGATGTCAGGGTTGCACGAGTAACGCCTCACTCTTGCTGACGACCCAAGCCGGTGTTTATCCTTAACACCGCTCAGGAACTAACTCTAACTCAAATTCACAAATACATCTTCTCCGCCTAGCGGCGAAGCCAATCAACTACAATTGATCACATGTGTTCGCAAACTCATGTCCTTGTTTCTTGAATCCTATCAGTCCCTATGGCAATTCGTAATAGCTGACAAAAGACGCTGGATATCTTACACTATAAGCGAGACGTTGTTTTTGCCTTCCGCGGCTTCCGACCCTTACCAGCCGGCTCGGCGTTGAATCCCCCTTATAGACACTTATATCTGAGATGTGTAACGTGAACCTTGTCATTTAGACTTTGAGAAAGTACCCCATAGTAAGGAGGCCAAAGTTCAGCACCACTGCTGATTAATTGTGGCCGTGTTACCGCCATTATCTTGGCGTCATATACAACAAACAGTTCTTATGCACGTACATCATTCTTCTGAGAAGGCTCATCCTTCTGGTGATTGAGAGTCAGTACTCCATCACGGTCGCTCCGTTTGACCTACCTAATATAGACTCTTCCGTGCCAAGTAGGTCAGCGAGATTAACCGACGTATATAGTATGGCTGCGTTGAAGTAACCTCAGCGCTTGCTAGTCTATCCCAATGCACATATCCCTGTCCGAGCCCCTAATCGCCGAAGGTTAACCTTCTTTTCTCCGCCGCATCGAGGAAAAAGCTCGGATATATGACCCGGGCGCTGGAAGACACCTGCTCGAATAACACTGTCGCCAAGAAACCCCACGATAAATGGAGCAGGACTGCCGCGCGGGAGAACAGCCACAAAAGCGGTAGGGCTATCGTCAATTAGAGGAAAGGCGTGCTTGATTGATGTAACGTAAGACGGATAGTGCGAATTGAAGCGAACCAGATAGATAGGTAAAAGGAAGCACAGCAACAAAAGGCGATATGACATATTCTTACTTAATGGCCCCTTTTTTGGTAAATTTCTTCAGTCGGGAGTTTCATATTGTGATCACCCGCTGCAGGAATACGGCGCAGGCAAGTTATATGACTTTCTTAAGACAAATTAGGATAATACATCCACTCGTGTCTGTCGTGTAAGCGGGCCCAGAATAATGTTCCACATAACCAGCAGGATTTATGGGTGCCCAACTTGATTGCGACTCGCGTGAACTGGCATCTCCGCCGCCCCCTGTGAACGATCCAACGGCGCAACAACCAGAGTTCAACCGTCAACTCATGTCGTCTTGGCATCTTGGCCTGTCCTATCCAGCCGGCGTATCTCCGGATTGCGACCCTGCATATCTTGACCTTCCAGATCAGAATTCTAATGCGACATGCGTATGTCGGACATCCGGTAGACATGGCAACTGACACATTGACAGGGATCTATATTGCACCATGGACACCAATGTATAAGTATTGCTGTTGATCACTTGAGCTTTTGCTGGCGCTCTAGATGTGTCTCTAACCAGCTCATTCCACTCATTTTCTGCTCTTGGGCGACAATATTATTTGCTCGCCATGCCATTCTTTAGCCAAACTAAGTCCCAGTGGTCGGGAGTGGCCCTCGCGGCTCTCCTCGGCGCCAGCTGTGTTGCCGACGCCTACGTGATTCCTCGCCAGATTCTTCCCTCTCAGTTGCTGAAGAGCTATGATTATGTTATCGTCGGAGGTGGAACTGCGGGCTTGACTGTGGCAGACCGTCTGACCGAGGACCCTGCTATCAATGTCTTGGTTCTCGAGGCCGGTGACTGGGGCAACATGACTGACAACCTTGTGGTTTCCATCTCGACTCGAACTTCAGCTTTCACCGACTTGTTGTGGCCCGGAGTTCAGTCTGTACCGCAGCCCGGCCTGAATGGAAGGACCGGCAACGTCTTCATCGCCAAGCAGGTCGGCGGCGGTGCGTCCGTGAACGCCATGATGAACATGCGAGGAAATGCGGAGGACTACGACCGCTGGGCTAGCCTTTTCGGATCCGAGGCGGCGCAGGGAACTGCCGACTGGAGTTGGAATGGCATCTTGCCGTTCTTCAAGAAGGTATTAAGCCTGCCCTTACCTGGTCACCATGACACGAAGCTAACACTTATCTTGAAAGGGCCTCCACTTCACTCAGCCGCCTCCCGAGCTGACCGACAACTTCGACAGCGTCAAGTATGACGCATCCTACTGGGGCGACTCCTCGGAGATCTACGCAGGATGGCCTCGCTACTACTACCCGGGCGTGACCCCCCTGGTTGAAGCTTTCAAGGAGATCGACGGCGTTGAGTTCCCGGCCGACAGTGGTGCCGGACAACCCGGCGTCTTCTGGTTCCCCACGCTCATGGACCCTCGCACTGTCACCCGTTCCTATGCCGGTACCGGCCACTACCTCAACGTCAACGCCACCCGTCCCAACTACCACCTCCTAGTCAACACCCTGGCTCGCAAGTTGGTGTTGGACGATCAGCTGTCCGTCACCGGTGTTGAGTTCCCGGCTGGAAACAACACATTGATCACCGTCAATGCAAAGAAGGAGGTCATTCTCTCTGCTGGTACCATCCACACCCCTCAGCTCTTGCAGCTTAGCGGTATCGGTCCCAAGAATGTTCTCGAGGAGGGTGGCATCGATGTGCGTGTCGATCTGCCCGGTGTCGGCCAGAACTTCCAGGACCACAGCAGTCTGTCTCAGATGAACATCACGCGTAAGTGACGAGACCACCCAGTGAAGTGGACTGGTAACAAGCGCTTCTGATGGCTTTGGATTATCTGACCGGAACATAGTCACTAAGCTCGCTTCCATTCACCCTAACCCAACAGACTTGGTGGAAGGAAACGAATTCAAGGCCTGGGCCGACGAAGTCTGGCAAGCCAACAAGACCGGTAAGCACCTTACACTCCACCCTAAACCCGCCCCCTGATGTTTCGTTACTCATACCAAACAGGCCCCTACTCTATTGCACTGACCAACTTGGCTGGCTGGCTCCCCTTCACCGTCATCTCGAACAAGGCTGATGAGCTTGCCACCAAGCTGGAGCAACAAGACTTTGCCAGCCTGTTGCCGGCCGGCACCGCTGCCACCGTCGTCGCCGGATTCGCAGCGCAGATGAAGCTTCTGGCCGCCCAGATGCGCTCCAAGCACTCGTCATTCACCCGCCTTCAGCTCATCGCCAACCACGGCGCCCAGGGCCCTGTCGCGATGCAGTCCTTCAGCCGCGGTACCGTCAACATCAACACTGCCGACCCGTGGAACACGGAGCCCGTCATCGACTACCGCGCCTTGTCTAACCCCCTCGAGGCCGACTTCTTCGTCGAGTCCATCAAGTTCCTCCGTCGCTACAACTTCGAGACCTCGCTGGCCACTGAGTTCGAGCCCGTCGAGTACGCCCCCGGCCCTGACGTCACCTCGGACGAAGACCTCAAGGCCTACATTGCCGGGGCCATGTCGCCCACTGACTACCACCCCGTCGGCACGGCGTCCATGCTTCCTTTGGAACTGGGCGGTGTTGTCGACCAAACTCTCCGAGTCTACGGAGTGAAGAACCTGAGAGTCGTTGACGCTAGTGTCATGCCCATGGTTCCCGGAGCCAACACGTGCCAGCCTACCTACGCTCTGGCCGAGAAGGTGAGTCGATGCTGAATGAGTCTCCTTGCCCCTTGATGTTTCTTTATACTAACGAAATTTTGAATGACAGGCCGCGGAAATCATCAAGCAAGGCATTTAAACTGTTGGAGTTAAAAGCCATGCCTTTCGTAGACTACTGATTTCTATGTACAAATATGAGTAGAGGACAACTAGGGTAGATTCATAGACTTTTTGGCCTAATAAACCTTGTGGTTCCTGCTCATTTGAGATGATGAAAGACTGCTGTGGCGTGGTTCATGTTTTGGGAGCTTCCTTTATTCTTCCATGGAGCTTTATATTTTCGGTGTTCTGAATGTCTTTGATGTCGGTAGATGTGAAGCAATGTGCCACCAATGACTGCACGAGCGTTGGTTTTATAGACTTGAATCAAACATGGAATTTTCGAGGAACAACTTTGAGAACAGGAGCAGTGAAGCGCAAGTTGATGGTCAGGCTCTAGTATTGATAAATATCAAAGCAACCTGTTAAAGTGAACGGAAGTATCCCATCAAGACCTGTTTAACTCCAGGTACATGGCCACCGATCTTGCAGCCTTCTTCTCCTCAAGTCAGGAGTACATAACTATTTGCTGTCAATCCATGTGTTGCCCTAGCTGCGTTATTGTAAATTTGATAATTGCTGCTACTCATAGATTATAGTTAGAGTCTATAGATAATAAGCACCTTTAAAGTAAATTATATAGTTGGTTAGAAAGGTTTAAGTCTTGGCTGGTTTGAAAGTCGTTAGTTCATCTTATGAAGATGTATTTGAAATCCAAACGGTTAAGAAGTTTGGAATATTATCTTAACGGCTCAGCCGCTTTTTTGGTAACATGAATTGCCGTTAACATATAAATTTAGGAACTATGATAGAGGCTAAAAAGTCTGTCTAATGACTACCTTACTTTGCTAAGGGCTTTCTGTTGATGAGATACAGTACGATATAGAGGCGAGGTGAAATAGAGGAATCCTGAATTTGAGCTTATATAGTGCTCGTCGTTCAATTATGATTGGACGTTTGCATGCCAACTGCATTAGCGGCGATTCTTTACGGCGCAGCATCACAGAGCACGTGGTCACATTATGAGCGCTCTTCCGCTATTTTCCCGGAAAGCCTTGCCGCCAAGAAGGCCTAAGATGCGTCCTGTTGCGCGTCTGCAAGATTATTCACATGGATTGCCTTCACGCCTCAGCCTTGAGGGATGCTCTCAATCCCGACGTTGATTCCAACAACCACTCCGCAAACCCGCCCGACACTTCACGAACCTACTCTACAACAGGCTTCTGCGTGGTCTCTTGATATCTGAATGGATCCTGACCAAGAGATTCACCTGCTGAGTGCTTTTGGCGCAAGGCTCGGCCGAACTGCGATACCAAAGGCGTCTAATGACCTTTCGGCAGTGTCCATGAGCTACACAATATCTAGAGACAATACTGCAGGTGACAACTTCCGAAATGATTGTTTACTCGAAGAATGGGGCCAGAAAAGGCAGCGTCATCTTCTAGATAAGCAAGTTAGCATGCCATCAACCCAACAGCAGAAGTCTGCGTCAGAATTGGGACAGACTGGTCGGTCAGCAACCATTCCACATGGACAAGACAGATAATGATTCTGTATTCTCTGGACCTCATTCTAACAACTTGTTTGATAAAGACAAAGACTATGCGGAATCATATGCGGAGACCATCTCGCCTGATTTGTTGGAAATATCGAAACTCGGGCCAGTTATTCCGGTTAACCCTCCAACCTATCAGGTGAGCAGGACCACGCACGTCGTGCCTGCCCAGACGCAACTGGATCCTGATTCCAACATGAGAAGTTGGTTCCCTCCTTCCACTTGGAAGTTTTTCGGTTCACCGGGATCGCACTTGTCGTCTCCAGCAGCCGAGAGAGAGGAAGATATGTGGCCGTCTGCGAATGCATTCTCGCCTCACTCAGGGCCCGTATCTCCCGTTACTAGGAGCCCGTCCCCTAGGTACGTTTCTTAAATAACTCCCCAAACCTTGAGCTATCCTCTGAAATAAAATAAAACGATAGTTTCAGCGGCAAGTTTGTCCCGGGACCCTTTAGAGACGTGGTCGATGAGCTTGGCTTGAGCAGAGCTTCTGGTCAAGAATCGAAAACTCCATCTGATTATGATTATGCGGCGTTAACCTCAACCTTCGCAGAAAAAAAAGAAACCCGGAGGAAACATCGGGGTTCTGAATCTCTCGCTAAGGAGTACATTTATGAGTCGAGAGGCCGTACTCAAATAGAATCTGAGACGGATCGCCCTCTTTTTCGCCGGAGCTATCGACACAAGGTTGAGCAGGCTATTCCATTCGACCATCAACAGTCGTACTCGACTCGATACACTGTTTTCGGCACTCGAGCTATTCAAGTGGAGCCTGATCACTTGACACCTTACCACGAGGAGGTTTATTACGAGCGCCCCGCACTAGCCGATGAATCCCGCGGCCGCTCAAGCAATGCCGGTGCTAGAAAAGTGAAAACTAATAGGGGTTACAGCGATGATGATATTTAAGTGCAGCAACATCCCTCACACGCCTCGAGGTTATATCAATGAAGATATACAGTATAGCAGCATCCCGTACAGGAAATGAAGGCGCGTGGCTCCTGCCGCAGGTAGTGGGCCTAACCTGGCTGCTTCGAGCGTTCCAATGTACGTTCCAGGGGAGTACTCATAAGACTTGCGTTTACGATCAAGGGCAGAATTTGGTTTTGATCCCCCAGTAGCCACAGCATTATAACCCGTAGGTTGCTTAGTTCTGTGTCGGAAGATAGGGAATAGTTTCGTATTAGCGTATACTTAGGATCAGTTTCCTCCAACATGGAATGCAGCATGTAGGCTCGTTTAGCCAGCTCATAGCTCTGGTTTATCAAATATTGGTACACATTCTCTTAATTAGTCATGAAACCCAACTAGTTCGTGTATTACGTTACTTTGGGTGTGCCCAAAGTTTAACTGCTTGCCATAGAAGTCCCTCTCTTGTAGTCACCCCTCACATAAAACGGGATGTTGGACCTCGCTTCGATTGTGGCTATCAAAGCCGGTGGCCCTTGAGGGCCCTCGCAACGGTCATCTCGACGTCGTGGTAGCGAAAGTTTAATCAGAGTCTGTTACCAGCACGGGTCCAGGGAGTAGTAATGAATGTTAAGACATCGTTGATAATCACTTTCTCCTTTGACAAAAAGTTGGCGCTTTTAGGGGTCGCCTTCGACTTGTTCCAAATTTAATTCAATATAAAAGGTGACGGCACTCTTATGTTATCACGTTATTATTGACTTGTTTATTGACTTGTTAGCGGTGTCTCCCACCAATGCGACTCGCTAGATCTACAGTTTCAAAACCAGCTTTCCAACTTGTTTACCCTCCCAGAGGTACTGAAGCGCCTCCTCCGCCTTCTCAAAGTCATATACTGTGTCGATAATATCATCAAAAGTAAGACCGGTAGCCGAGATTGCCGCAGCCATATCTTCCATGTCAAGTCTTGATCCGGCGTTGATACCCCTGCCGCAATGTTAGCATTCCTAACTTAAGCCGGGTTAATATCCCTTTCTTACTCACCTAACATTTGTTCGTCGGTCAATGATGGTCGAGACAAAATCCTTAAGGTGGATAGGGTCTTGTTTGCCCAGGTACCCTACCTGGCTGACAGTACCACCGCGACGAGTGCACAGCGCGCTCTTTACTAATGATGGGGCACCTCCATTGTCGATGGTCAAATCGACACCAGCTCCATTTGTGAGCTTAAGAACCTCGTTCTCCCAATCAGGGTTCTTCTTATAGTTGACGCCGTATATGGGCGCGGAGGGGAAAGACTCTTGAATCTTCTTGATCTTCTCATCACTAGATGAGCTCAGGATGACTTTGAGTCCCGCAGCCTGTGCGAGCTTCAGGGCGAACATGGAAACACCACCGGTTCCTTCATTCGTCAGCGTACATCATTTGACACAAGCTGTAAAATTTGAATCGTACCTTGAATAAACACACTCTGGCCGATCGTTAGGCCCTTGATAGCAGACCAAGCTGTCGTCCCAGCGCACGGCAAAATGGCACAGTTGACCCAATCCAAATGCTCAGGGACCTTGGCAATCAAATGCTCATCGAACACCAAGTAGTCCGCGAGCACGCCATCCTCATTGGCAGCAAGCCATGACCGGCCGGTCTCGCGCCCTGTGACGAATTCCGTGTCGGTTACGGGGCTTACACGGTCACCAACGCGCAAGGCCTTGACCTTATCGCCCACGGCAATAATCTCGCCTGCGGCGTCATTACCTAGGACACCGTGAGGGATGACGGGCCATGGGTTGCCGCCGTTGGCGATGTTGGCATCACGGTAGTTGAGTGCGACGGCGTGGACCTTGATAAGAACCTGGGTTGGGGCCAGTGGGAGAGGCAGGGGCTCGGTGACGAGGTTGACCTTGGCAGTGCCGGGGGCGTAATCGTCAGTACGGCGCCAGGCGCGGCGATGCGTGGGGAGGTCTCCGGCCATGGTTTTCAGGTGCTAATTTTGGTGTAATGTGGGAGCTGAATACAAACTCTTCCAGAAGATGTGGCACCCTTTTCAAGACGAGAATAAGGGCGGTCTCGTTTACAGGGATCGGGACGGATTACTGAAGGTAAAGCTTAACTGCTTGACAGCTGTGTATGGATTTCAGAAAATATTCAGCAAGTATATGACTGTTTCTCTTGATTTTGATAAAGCTCATCGGGCTCGTCCTGTTTAAGTACAGTTTAGGAAAGGCTCAACCCTTGCACCAAAGCCGATCAAATTACACAAGAGATATCGGAGGCGACGTTGAATGTCAGACAGAGGCTTTACCCCCAAACGTTGAAGAGATGCGGGGTAGTCGTCTCCACACATGACGCCTTAAAGCCAAGTTGCTCTCACCTTTAATACCCAATTGGGGACCAACGGTTATCGTAGGGCTTACTCAATACTGTTATTAGTAAAGACAATGAGATAGCAAATATAGCACCTAGAAACTATCAATCAGAGATGCTACGCAGTTACAATCTTGGTGTATGTAACCAGCACAGCCGTCGAAGTACAGCAAGGGGATTGCCAGCCTTTAACATTGGTAAATACTGTTGAAGTAGATACGCTGGCTGAGAGAGGGAGTTCAATTCGGCTAGAAAAAAAAGGTCATAAATCATACGAATATTAGTAATAAAATCAAGCATGCTGCTTAGAAATTGGCATTGTCGTTATGTTGAGCAGCTTGGTAAAGATACCGGAGGGCGTTGTATCAAAACCGAAAACGAGCCAGTTCCGACATGTGTCCTGTGGAGCACATGAGCGTCAGCGGAATCTCTACTCCATAAGTGCACTCCTTCCTTGTTCAACAGGGTCCGTGATCTTTCAAAGGTTCGATTGATCATCTCCAAAATATGCATAGACACGTCGTGGTGTTCTCATCATCTTTACCCAAACCGGTTTAAGTTTACGCGGGGTACCGCTCTGTACGCAACCAGTTTTGACATGCACTGAATAGAGACTCCTTACCCCGCACCTTTAATGTATAACTTATCAGGCATGGGTACCGTACCAGAAATCTGCCCAGGAGTCAGTCAGCAAGGGGTACTCTGCTACGCAATAGGCCTTGGTTAATCGTGACATCTAGCAAACTACTTTCATCACCCTTGATGTGGTTATTGGTGAACAATCATGTAACTTCTCAAGTCGATTTGTAGAATGGAATCATTTTAGTATTTAATAATTGGCTGAATTATCACAATGGTATTTGCTTGTATTCACCGCCTGGCAGTTTAAACTGAAATGCTAAACCCACAAACGGATTACGCACAAGCCATGACACAACATCTCCCAGCCTAAAAGAAAGTTAAGATACATCCTAAGAATACGTGGCGACCGGTTCGCCCAAAACCTCCAAGCGAGGGGTAATCCCAAGGCCAGGTGCAGTCGGTGCTGTGACACGGCCATCACGAGCCTGGAAATCTCCATCTGCCGTCTTGACGGTGACCATGTCCGTAGAACCTAGAATACACCGCAGATTACGCTCAGGCACCGTTTGCGCCAAATGCACAATGGCAGCAAACGAAATGTCCGAGCCGGTCGTATCCTGGATGCTCATGGTATAACCCGCAGCAACACAAATGTCTCGCTGGCGACGACCTCTTGTCAGGCCGCCATTCTTGGATATCTTGAAGTTGATTCCCTCCGCGGCGTCGTCTGCAATGAGCTGAACGACTGAGGCCTCGTCCGTAGCAAGCTCATCGATAATGATGGGGATGTCGGTTCTTTGGCGCAGAGAACGAGACTCCCGGGAAGTGGCGCACGGGGCCTCCAGAACAAAGTCAAGCCCGTCTGGCAAGAGTCTGAACATCCTGAGAGCCATCTCAACCGTCAAACCGCCGTTGGCATCAACGAGGAAGAACTCGCCCTGCTGTCTATCTGCAAGAGATGCGGCGATCCGCGCAGCATCAATGGCAGGGTCGTCGCCGGAGATCTTGATCGAATGGCCGACGTATCCCCTCTTTCTATACTTGTCAACATCCGCTCGCATTTCCTCCGGCGACAAAACACCAATGGAAGAAATGAGCGGCAACCCGGGGCCGGTTCGGCCGCCAAGAAGTTCACAGACGGGAAGGCCGACGGATTTGCCAAAAATGTCCCAACAAGCAACGTCGATGGGTGTTTTGGCGTGTAGATGGCCGACAAGGGCCTCGTCCATGGCATCGTTGATTCGGTCGACCTTCCGCGGGTCCAGGCCGATGAGTTTGGGGGCGATCTCTGCAATACCGGCCCTGACACCGAGTGCGTGCGCAGCTACATAAGTTGAGCCGAATGGTGTGCTTTCACCCCAGCCTTCGAGGCCGGTGTTGGTTGTAATGCGAACGATCGTGGCGTCAAAGCTTGGGTATGTGCGTCCGCCAGAAAGATGATAAAGGCCTCCTGCGTACGGAAGGGTTACTTGAAAAACATCAATCTTGGAAATCTTTAGCTCAGACATGTTGTCTGTTAAATGAGGAAGTATGATTAATGGGTGGAAATTATGCGCTCGTATGAGATGAGGAAGCTCATGAATTGGGGTTTCCTCTCTTGAAAGAACCTAATCAGAAAACCAGGCTTAGGTCTGTAGTTATACTTCAATTATCTGTGACTTCTGTTTGTTGTCTCTCTGCATCGATATGGTCTATGAGGTGAACAGGGGTTCTGAGTCTAGAGTGCTTCTGTTACATTCCCTTCAACGAGTGTTCTTACCGTATCAGGAATGGCTGATGGTTGTGGTTGGTGAAACGCTGGGTGAGATGAGTGCTCTCACTCTGATTTCCCCAACTGGCACTACCACCCGTAACCCCTCATCTAGGCCAATGCACCACTAGCATGGAGTAATGACATTTGGTATCTCTCCAACACGAAGATAGATGACAATGAGTAGGTCAGGCTTCACAAGCACGCATGGCATTGATGCCCAAAAAAGAAAGAAAAAAGGAGTAAGAGCAATTGGTAAATGAGCTAGTGTGTATGATCCCCATGGAAAAGCTAGTGGTCTTTTGGCGGCCAAGGTATTCCATTGAGTGCCACAGGTCTACCTTGCGTGAAGTGCGGGGTACCAGGAGATCAACAATACGACTTTTTTCTTGAATCATGAGTACCGTGGTATAAGTACTTGGAGATTACGGGCTTAAAATGGACAAGTTTGCACTGCGGTCTAATAGCACGTTAATGGGATTTTGGTCTCCCTCGTTTACCGAGCCCAATTTACAAGTATTCTCTTTTTGATGATCCTTCCAACTATCAATGCTCCAATAGCAGAGCATTTTACCATGGTCCAAATTCCTATTATATTAAAAGGTCAACTGTCAATTGTCAGTTAATCTGCTTGCCAATGAACAGATAAGCAAATTTTTGGGGGTTAAAAGTAAGATATTCAGCTTTTGAGTGCAAGAAAGTGCGGCTCGTGCCTACAAGATGTCATCTTGCCGAGAAGACATTACTCGTTATCATGATGAGAAGGAACTCAAGTTTCCTGACAGTGTTTGAAAGAAACCTACGAACACAAGCGTCCTAATCCGTCCGGAACTGTGCGACAAAAAGGAAGCTGAAACTCATAATGTTGAATTGTCCGGTTTCCTCAGGGTGCTTTGAGGCTTTTTGAGCTCATGTAGAAACTCAAGCCTTCAAGGAAGCCAGGGCAGTTGGAAAAAAGCACCACAGGCCAGCGAATGTGTTTGTTTACGAGTATTGATTAGCTTCTCATGTTTACTGCGTAAAATTCGTCTCACGAGGAAAAAATTACGCAGTAACCCTACAAGTATGCGCAATCCGTCTGGTTTGTAAGCATACAGTGCTTTGTAATGGACGAGGCTTTCAACCCAACAGATAACTGGGCATACCAGGAAAAGCAGCCGGAGCTGGCCCCGCATACCGCACCCACGTAGACCCACTCGTCTTCACCACGTAGTACGCCGGATGACGCCTATCGCTTGGTATGGCTTTGCAGAACAGCTCTCGTTTTCGGATATATCCGTCATTGGATTTACTGCTATTACCGGTCAAATTTGTGATTGGATTACATACTGAGATTACTACGTAGTGTGTTTTATCATACTGGAGACCCCAGACCCGTTAAAGGGAGTGAAAGGCGTCAAACGAGGGTAAAATTTGCTGCATATCGTGAAGGATTGCTATTGCTGCTGCGAAAAAAGGGAATCGAATGAAATTAGTTTAACACACTCTTAACTAAAGCTATAAATACTAATAACCACTAAGACGATTTGCAAGTCTACCAAGTTATAAGCGGCATTCAAAGTTTTTTAGTTGATACTTGTATAATTTACCGCACATCGTGTTATTGAATTTACCTGTCGCTCGCCCGCCACTCATCATTCGAAATGAGCGAAGAAAGGGACCTTTTACTTCAGCAAAAATATGGCCATTCACCAAAAGAAGGGTCGAGTGATTTGCCATGGTCACCAACTTTGTCTCTCCTTCTACGACATACCTCCGTCCGCTCTTTTCTGCCTGACGCCCTCCCCGCCGGCACTTTAGAGATCCTGATTGCGGCAGGGCAAAGTGCATCAACATCATCAATGCTCCAGTCTTGGAGTGCCGTGGCGATAACTGACCCAGCACGCAAGGACGCAGTTGCGACTCTTGCCGGCGACCAGGACTTCATTCGCCAAGCCCCTTTGTTTATCCTATTCTGTGCTGATCTTAGTCGTCTCGACAAGATTTCGAAAAGACTGCAAAAGCCTGGGCTGGCGCTCCAAAAGATGGACTCGTTTCTCATGGCTACTATCGACGCTACGCTGGCGGCCCAGAATATGGCCATCGCTGCCGAATCACTAGGCCTCGGAATGTGCTACGTCGGGGCCGCGCGAAACAACGCCGCCCAACTCACCGAGCTCTTGAATCTCCCACCTCGCGCCGTTGCGATCTTCGGGATGAGTGTTGGGAAATCTGATCCGGAATCCTTGAATACTGTCAAGCCCCGGTTGCCTATAGACGAAGTACTTCACCGAGAGGTTTGGAACGACGAAGGACAAGAGGAACGGGTTTCTTCATATGACAAAGCTCTAAACTCGTTCTATGAGAGTCAAAATAAGCTCAACAGGGAGCCATGGAGTTCCTTTGCTGCCTCTGCCATGGCAAGCGAGAATTTAGACGGCAGGGAACGACTTCGAGGGGTCCTTGACGCTCAAGGGTTCGGTTTCTCGTGATCAGGGTTTCAGTTGATGAGGTTCAGTATAATAATTAGCGTATGATGGCAGTATATAGAATTCAACTAGAGGTAAAAATGCAGGTTGTGTTACGGTATCTCTTACAATGAACACTCGCATTGAACATTTCAGAGAATCTGGTTCTTCTCTTCGACAAAATTGTCTCGATTGCTGCGGATTATGACGTATAAGATCTTCAGCTGTCATGATCTCAACATCTTGGTTGAATCTACACATCGAGGCTATGAAGTGAATCAACTGCTTAGACATCTTCACTAGACAAAGTGGCAATCTTTGACCCACTCGAGGGCATAATGGAGGCGATTTCTTGGTTCCAAGTGTAGTCAAGCATGGTGGCGGATGCCACAGGATTCCATGGGATGAATTTCGCGAAATTGTTCAATTCAAGTAATGCCGCTCTTTTCCAAGCATCCATTAACTGCAGGATTGGTCAAGGCTATTAACACGGTGATATTCTACGTGTGAGCGGTGGCAATCAGTTTATAGTACGAACCAAGTCCAGCAATAATGATGAATTTCTTTACTATACACATACTGTTGTCTTTAGGCTGCTTGCCTGTAAGCGGCTACGAATACGACCGACAGCCTTGAACGGGGATTTCGGACATCCGTAAACTGCGTTTTTTCTTCCAATGTTTATTCCCGATTCGGCGAGATACGGAAATGTTGGTCCGCAGGTAAGCATTCTGTAAGCTGAAAGATGAGACGAATTACCTCAGTGGCCAAGTAATCGGCCGCTCTGGAAGCCCCCGGCAGCTGTGGAAAGTTGTACCGCGACTGAACTTTGTTTGCACTCACAAGTTCCGTCATCAGCAACCCCGCCGGGTCATTAGAGGTTTAAAATACCATTAAGTGGCAAAGGGGTCTGTGGTCGCGACGAACACCAAATTAAACCCACACGTGCAACAACTGTATTGTCGTTCTTACAAACATCTAGCTAAACAAGCTTACCGGCGAAATCACTAAAATTTCCAGAGCGGAAAAAGGAGAAACAACGAATCCTGTGTAACTTTGCCAACTTTGAAACGGCTCCCAATCGACAAGAATGATGCACAATAAGTTATGTAACTGTGTTTACTCTGCCTGCCCCCAATCTCGTTCCTACCCCGCGATTGAAGGTTGCTTGCAGAGTTCGGAATCGAATCTGAGTCTTCTTGGAAGTGAGAGGCGGACGATAAGACGGGAGCCGAACACGACTCCATCTTATTTCCAAACTTACAGCCTGTTCATGTTGGCTATGTCCACCAAGTTCAGATGGTTACCGAGGCAGTAAGATGAGTGTTTGCATGCCTATTTGGGACAAAGACCCGAAAAGTCACCAGGAAATGGACCATGATGTCACCCGAGACGGCCTTCAGGGAGCCTCGGGAGGCAAGCTTTGACCACGGCACATCATCTGAAGTAGACCCTTTTCCCAATTCTCTTGGGTGGGACCCTCAGAACACGACAGAGTTCTCCAAGCATGTCAAGCGCTAGAATCGCAGCGAAGTAGGACATCTGAGATCTAATGGCAAGGCGGACATCATGGCAGTTACACAGCCCTGAAAACTTCAGATGATTCCAGTCAAAAAACGCGCCGGCGTGTCATCATTTGAAGTCCGCCAGAACATTTACGTCAACGCTCAGTCGGCCTGGGTAGATTGATCGGGAACATCACGAGTCCGAACCAAGCTAATGGTAAAGTAAACTGATGATGTTGTTGTGTTCACAGCAATGACTGGGAGCTACAAACGGCAGATACGCAGTAGCAACTTGCCGTCATTCAGATTTAAGGTCAGGTATTAACCTTGATCAAAGTCAATAATGTGACCGGGGTTCCCGAAGGATGCTTACACGAATAAAGCAAATGGGTGTCAGCGCCAGTGCAACATACTTCTATATAACTTCCCACGAGTCCCTTGACCCTTTCGTTAATCTTTTGGATCTCACCATCACATACCACCAAAATAACATCCTGAAATAATCAATATGAAAACTAGCTACACCACCGCGTTGAGGGTTCTTCTCGCCTGTACGGGAGTCGTTGGACGACCGGTACGCGAACCGCACCTCAACGTTCGCGACATTGCCGCCAACCAAACCTTGGAATCAATGGACATGGAAGTTCAGAACCTGAACAAATATTTGGGTCAAGAGATGAACTCGATGAAAAACGTCAATCCTGCGCCCAAGAACCAAATCTTCCCCAAAAGATCCCAACAAGACGCGCCATATTCCCTATCTGAACAGGAGCTCCGGAGCAAAATCTATTTTCCAGCAACATTTTCCGCCTCCTCAAACAAACAACCAGTAATTTTTATCCCTGGAACAGCAGCCATGGCGGGAACAACCTATCGCGCGAACCTCGGTCCTCTGTTGGCCAACTCTGACTTTGCGGATCCTTTATGGGTTAACATTCCTGAAGCGTCATTAGGCGATGCCCAAGTGAATGCGGAGTACGTCGCCTACGCCATGAACTACGTCCAAAGCATGACAGGAAAGAAAGCTGCGGTTGCTGCCTGGAGCCAGGGCAACCTCAACGTGCAATGGGCGTTGAAGTATTGGCCAAGCACGAGAGACACGGTGACTGATTTCGTGTCATTTTCTCCCGACTTTCATGGGACTACGGAAGCTTTCTTGGCTTGTGATACGGCAGCAGCGATCCTAGGATGTACACCTAGTGTATACCAGCAGAAGTACGATTCAACCTTTGTTCAAACCCTTCGAGCGAATGGAGGTGACAGTGCTTATGGTAAGTTGAACTTTACACTGAATGTTTAAAAGCTACGTTGATGCTGATGGCTCCTCGACAGTTCCGACGACGACTATTTTTAGCGCTACTGACGAAATCGTGCAACCACAAACAGGCGTCGCTGCCTCGGCTATTCTTAAAGATGGCAACGGCGTGGATGTCACCAACGTCGAGGTCCAGAAAGCGTGCCCTGTAGGTGCGGCAGGCCAGGGTGTTACGCATGAGGGCATGCTGTATAACGCACTAGCATTCGCGCTTTTGAAAGATGCCCTGGGCAATGAAGGACCTGCGAACCTCGCCAGAATCGACAAATCAGTCTGTAAAGACCCGGCTGCAGGCCAGATGGACAAGGAGGAGATTAAAGCCACAGAAGGCATTCTGGGTCAGGCCGCCAAGAACGTCTTGATGTACAAGGGGAAGGTCAAGAACGAACCTCCCATCAAGGCATACGCACTATGAGTGCGATTCAGAAAAGGGTCTATTTGTTGATGGATGCCGCGATGAAGATATGAACATTTGATGATTGTGATTTCTGATTTAAATTAGCAAGCGTGTTCATGTTATTAGTTACGATCATAGAGTAGCGAATATGAAAATTTCAAGAGTTCTGACATTTCAAGATGAAGCGATATTTTGTAGCCACAACGTTCACAAACCTTTAGGCACTTAGAAACGCAGTTCATCTATAAATTACGGGCTTTTGTTATCTATTGGCATTTAAAGCCCAGTCTGATACTCATAAATCCACGATGACTGTGCTACCTGGCCTCTACTTCATGTTTGATTAATAACCTGTTTTAAACTCTCGATTTTAGTCTTTGGTTCACTTCTGACCGTAGCTATGAGCCCTGAAACCTTCAACGACTGGCATCCCATGGCAATCTACCATCATATTGGTCTGTGGGGAACTGGCAGAGAACTACGGAAAGAAGAGTCGACCGCTTGACATTATCTAATTCCAAAGCCTTTCGTTTTAGCCCGAGAGCGACGGGGCACCATAAGTTGCGAACAGTAGTTGAAACAGGTCAGAACCCCCTCTGTGGGAGGAGGTGGTCCTTACAACATCATAACACGTGCAAGAAACCGCTACAACTCCACGTAATCCCCACTAATCTTTTGAGAGAGGGCAAAAGAGGTGGGCTTGTGGGATAAAAACCACTAGAGAGTGCAACTTTATGCCCTTTTCCACGCATGGACAGTGACGTGAGTGGGTTCGTTTTAGCACTTTTGATAGAAACTGCGTATTTTCTTATGCCTAGTAGTTCGTGATGCAGAGTTAGTAACATTTCTGGCCCATTGGACACGTATCGATGAACATAGAGCCAAATAGTCATATATACAGAAACACTGTGCTCGTGGCAAGAGGCAGTCCCTCATCGAGGAAGACAGGTGATATTTGCCTACAAACATCCCCGACGTGAAATATTTCCCGCTTGTTAGGTGCCATGTTGCTGACGCAAGCCTCAAGTCTTCGACTAAAACTACTTTTCTTTAATAAACAATATGTTTCCTCAAGTTCGAATGCCCCACGAGATGGCGCCGGACGAGCTGATATCAAGACAGTTCACACACTGACCTTTGTCCATTTCATCAGGCGTTTTAACGATCGGCAGCTATCTGTGTGAGACAAGACTGTGGCACTTCGATTGTCGCACTTTTTCGAAGGAATCGGGAAAAAATGGATAAAAAACTAGACTTGTGAGACACGCCATATCCGTTCTATGTACAGCTACTTAGAGTAGGAACTCCCCACTTCTCCGTTGTGTTCTCCACACATATCCGAACTCTTCTGGACGCACTATACGGGAGAAGCGATGGATGTATCCAACAAGCCGTTGATCTTGATTACGAAAATGAACTTTTGAGAGTTACGTGGATATTGGCAAGGGAATGTTGGGCTTCATCTACTCTAAGCGGGAGCCGAGGAACTCTTTCCAACGTGGCGCGGATTTTGTTGAACACGCAACTCTCAGAGAAAGTATTCGTAAGACTCGCAAGGCAAGGAAATTCCATTAATAACCAAGCTAGGCATCAAATAAGCTTGTGCGCAACAACGTAGGCGCTAACCATCCACTCTCCCCACGTGTTGATGGACCTCTGTCGTTGCTTGGACGCCAAGTATCGGTGGGGGGAGCCCGAGGCATCAATCACATCATGGACCCATGCTCTAGATGAATACAAGTCGTGCTATTGAACCCTAACTGGGGCTGAGCACTTTCAACTTGGGCTATAATGACATCGTTCAATAAGTCGTGAGGAGATCGCTAAGCAAGTTTTCATCCAGACGGTTTTGTGGCATTTTGTTCTTAAAGAACACGGTAGAATGTTGCATAACCTGTATACAACATTGCCCATCCCTTATTTACATCACCACATGACAAGGAGCCCTGACTGGCACTAAGGCAGATGTCTTGTCGGGGCATGCTATAAAAGGGAATATGAAAGCGAAAAGTAAGCATGGGCCGGTTATTGTTACTCTAGGGACGAGTGTGGCAAGGTAGATGTTGCGATAGTTGGAATACGGAGTCGTGTGGCACTTCCAGCCACACGCCCGCCAGGCTGAGAGGCCTAAGCCTCCCAGACCTACGTGACAGGCCAAGGGGGAATGTCCCTACCTTCTAGTCAACAATACTACTTTCAACTATCATAAACTATCGATTAGAACTAATTTACTATTATTTATTATTAACGAACGGAATTCCGTTTTACCCCTTATAAAACCTATACTGATTAGTAGTAAACCTTATAGTTGCTATTAATTTAGTTAACTTTATAATTACTACTCTACTACGGATAAACCGTAGATTAGCAAGGTTAATATTAGAAGAGACGACTTCTTAAACTAGATACCTAAGCCTAGGTAAAAGTAGGGATTTCGTACTAACGAGAGAAGAAGCGAGAGTAACTAGGATCTACGGAAACTAGTAGAAGAAAGCTTCTTTTCCTCGAATCTACTAGCAATCCGATTATTTAAGTAACCTAGGGACTGCTATGCTTACCTTAGGCGGGATAAGGTTAATCGTAGCTAATTATCGCTAGCAAGAGCGTTTTATTATATATTTTTAATTACTAAAAGAAGAAACCTACTAAATCGACGGTCTTCTAACCTCTTTACGTTATAAAAGCAAAGATTTATAAATCCTATAAGGGATAATAACTTCCCTAACTATAACTATCCCCTACGCGCGGTGCTAATTACGAAGCGCTTGCTAGTTTCTTAATAAATCCCTAGACGAGGTGCTAACCGCGAGGCGCCTGCTATAAAAGACCTCCCTACTAAAAGAAGAATACGCCGAAAGGCAAGTAGAGACTACTAGCAGTAATCCGCCTATATAGCTATATATATACGCCTCCGAGGCTACGGCTTAGGAGAAACGCACGTAGTTATAAGCGTTATAAGGCTAACTATCTGCTAGATTCTAAACTTCCTAATAGTAAGGAGCGAAGCCCGAAGCGAGAAAGAGAGATTTACGAGAGAATCTATAATAAAACTTTCTCCTTACTAATTCGAGACCTATATATACCTTTATACCCTTCGAGAATATTAGCAAGAACGGCGCCGACGGAAATAAACGACAAACCGACGAAAATCCCCGATTTTACGATTCTTTCCTTTTAGAATCGTAATATCCCGAATCGTCTTTTAACTCCTACTTCTAGGCTTATATCTTATACTAATCGTAGCTAACGCTATTAAGGATTAGAATTTAAGATTCTAAATAGAAGTAATCCTTTTATACTATTAGAATAGAGCGAAATTTACGAGAAGGATCGCTTGCAAGTAGCGTTACTACTAAAAGCTAATTAATAGTCCCTATCTTATAGAGAATCGAAAGTATAATCGATCTAGTAGTATAAGGCAACTAGGCAATCGACCTTATAAACGCTAGCTTATAGCAACTAGGTTCCTATATAGGTTTCCTACTTAAGACCTATAAGAAGAGGAATCTTATAGGCTTTAAGCTATGGAACGAAGTTTCTCCCGATTTCGCCGACTAGTTAGAAGAAGACTTCTAGAACATACCTCCCCTAATCCTACGATTCTTTAAAGACTATTTAATTAGTAACGGCGTCTACGTCGAAATAGATAGTAAGAAAATCTTAAAAAACGTAGTATTAGCCTTTAAAAAGGAAGAATTCTACTACTAGTTACCTTAAGAACTCGAACAAGGCGTTAAGAGATATCGCAACCTAAAGGCTTTAATAAAAGACCCCGAATTCTACGAAGAGATTACGAGACCGGCAATAGTAGCTAACAGCATAGGAGGAAGAGTCGAACTAACCTTATAGCTACCTCCTTTATAAGAATAATAATAGTAGTAACTACCGTACCGACCGCTATATCCTACGGTCTCTCCGTTAACAGACTTCTAACTATACGAGTTAATAGACCGTATCGGAAAGCAATTAATAGAATTTGCAAAACTATACCCCGACGATATAAAATATAGTAGCGATATATACGATATACTTGAAAAGAAGATGCTAGTATTCGTAGATTACTATAGAATGCTAGGAATTTATACCTCCTAATATAACAAGGTACTTCCCCTAATACTAAAAGGAATAGCTAAAACCTACTTCTACGCCTTGATTAAAGTAATTAACCTATAGCCTAACTTCGAGACTATAATTAACTAATTAAAATCATACTTCGAGACTAGGGAAAGGCAATAAGCGTACGTTACGTAGTAGAATATAACTACTCTTCCCTAAATCATTCGCAATAACCTTAGAAAGACTAAATCGGAGTATTTTAACATACTATATAATAAATTAAGTAAGATTTAGCCTGGTTTGCTATAATAGGATTATAACGACCGATCCCTCTATACCTAACTTCTATACGCTTATAGAGATATTCTAGAGTATATAATAGCGTTATTTATACCGGCTAAGACGTACGAGGGACTTCGTAGCTAATTAATCTCGTCGATCGAGATAGCTACCCGTCTTAACTAATAACAATTTAATATAGTAGCTAACCTACTAAAGCAGTACTAGACCGATAGAACTTTTAACGGTCGAGGGCGTTATTTACGATATAGTCGTTTATTACGAAGTCGATTATTACGAGGAAGAAGCCGTAACAAACCCTTATTACTGCTAACGCCTAAGAAGTGCTACGTATATAGAAAACCTAACTGCTAGTTAACTAAACATACTATAGAAGAGAGACGAAAAGCATACGAGAAGTTTAAAACTACCTAATATGCCTAGGATACGTTACTTCTAGCATATAGCTAATTTCTCGTCTAATACAAGGGTTTCGACGGGTTAGACCTATAACCTACCGCCGAAGACCCCTAGCAATACTACTACGTAACCGAACAAACTAGTAAAGGTAACGAAGAGGAAGAGACCGGTAGCGATAGTTAATTCTAAGTTACTACTTATTTTACTATAATAGCAATTAATAGTAATAAGATCGCTACGATCCTAGCAGACTAGTTAACCTG